TCGAAATGCAGGAAAATAAAATATGATATGTATTTTATTATTATCATTGATTATAATTAACACTATTTATAATCCATGATATTAAACGTTATTCATTGTTGATGCATGACATATTTTATATGTTTAATACATGGTTATTCGTATTTCTATGGCCCTGCAGTATAAAATTATTTAAATAGGTACGCATTTATTATTACTATCGGTTTATTCAAGAATATCCTTATCGTGTATAATTAATATTATTTCAAAACAAATTTAGATAATAGAATTAAATAAAAAAAAAATCGATACTATATATAATATCAATTCTATATCTTGTATTAAAAGCCCGCCGATTATATTATAATATGATGCAAAGGGGGGGGGGTTGTGTAACGGCAGACGCAGGGGGTCACGGAAGGAGTTGTTTTACAATCTCTAACCCCGACCCCCTTAGTGAAATTTTTTCCTGAATCCGCCCGTGGGTTTGCGATATAGGTACCGCGACTGCATGGTGTACGTGAATGTTATTATATTTTATAACATGACAATAAGTAGGTATACGCGTGATGACGTGCAAACAAAGCTTAAAGCAATAATAACAGAGTTATTAAAAACAAAGTCATTTAAGTATACTCACCGAGATATCGCCGCGGGCAATAATATTATTAACGATACCGCTGTCGGCGAGTGCGGCGAGCTGCGGCCGTGTAAAGTTGCGGAGGACAGCAAAACGTCGACGCGACTACGTAAATGCCCCACCAACGGGAGTAGTGGGGTTTCGGTGTTACCGTATCGTTGGGCGGACGGCTGTGTCGACGGCAGCCGATGACGATCGCCAAAAACAAAAATCGCTCGTATTTTCGTGGTCACTTCGCGCTTATGGCTGTCATCGCCGGGGGTTATTTGACCGCCGCGCGGGTCGAGAATACGAGAATTATTTGCTGTACGAGGTCGGGGGACTCTCTATTTTTACGCTTCAAACTCGAAATATTTTTATTTTTTCAGCGTCAGCTGACTATATTGTCAATGTTATTGTCGTACCGTTATCGACCGGGTCTACCGAGTGATTCATTTAAGTGGGTACACTCATTATCTCGGAAAGTATTAACATTTTCCGGAATTTCTAGAACATTTAACAAACGTGCTGCTCTACAATTTTATATCCATGTCATTTTTTGTCGCCTTAATATTTGGAAGTAAAACTTTTACCTACTTTTGATTTTCAAATGGCACCTGTATATTAATAATTCTATAAATAGATACTATAAAGTAGGTAGCGGTTTTGACCCCAAATATTAGGATAACAAAAAATAACATAAATATAAAATTGTAGAGCAGCTCGTTTATTAAATGTTCTATAAAACTAATTTCAGAAAAGTTAATACTTTCCGAGATTATGAGTGTACCCACTTAAGTGAATCACTTGGTATAAATGCGTACTGTAAAATCAGCGCCGCGTTTCGCCTCATGGAAATCGTTTGTTTTATAGCGAGCGTTATTAATTTTATAGTTTTTGTTTTAAAAAAATTATGGTATGGTAACAATGTAAAAAAAAGGTTTTTTTTTCCATACGGTACCGATTTGTAACTTTATTATATAAGATTTGATATTAACGACCGGATGGAGGAGGGGAATCAATGTTATTGAACGACGAGCAAAATAATAATAATAATAATATCTAGGTTACGTCAACGATTTCACTCACTCCCTCGGCGAACAGGGTCGCCGTTTTATCTATCGCACACGAGACGATATGACGATGGCATACCTATGTGTCATCGCGCACGAATTGTTATTTTATTCATCCTATTCTACTTAATCGTCGATGTTAATTTAATAACATTGTATTAATACGTCCGTCAGAATAAATGACATTTCGTGCACGCCGATGTTTAACGGTTCGTGTACTATTAGGTACATTGACAGTATAATAAATATTATACTGTGTGATATTTTTACTGCGATCCGTAATGTAGTACATACAAATTGAAAAAAACCACGCAAAACACGCAAACGTCATTTCTGATTATTTATATTTTATCAGACATTATTAGTATAATAATTATATTCAATGATTCAGAAAATAATATAGGGTTATAATTATTGATGTGACCTACTATTATAATTAATATAATTTATAAAGTTATAAAAGACGAAACACGGTTTTATTTTATTTTTTTTGAGCGAGACAGCTGGTATAAATGATTTCATAACCTGCAAATCCCATATTATAATATAATAGTAGTACTTATGAATATTATTTATTTTTTTTTATAGAATATACGTGGGAAATGTAGAGTGGAGTGTGGCCGGTTAGTCATTTTTAGTAAAAAAAAAAAAAGTCAAAATTTAATACTTACTTTGCAATTAGAATATAAAGAATAAGGAGTAATAAGGTTATAAATTTGAAAATGGTATTGAAATAATGGATAAAAACGATTCCGCAATGACTGAAAAAAACAAAACAGAAATTAAATGTAAATTTAATTGTAATATTATTGATTAAATACTAATATAATTGATGGTAATACCTATTCAAAATCCTCAAAGAAAATAGCTGGATCCTTCATAAAATAAACACTCTGTATATATATGCGTATATATTGTTTATAAATTAACACGAAATAGTATTGATCGAACCTCGAGAAGTCTGACGAGCAAGCAAGGTTATACAGGCAGCGTTACATGCAATAATAGTACAAATAATACAAATAGTTTCACCATTTGTTGTATCCAGCAAAAAAATAAATAATTATTGGTTTTAATGTTTTTCTATGATGTAGTTTTTTTTTTTACGATTGCATTTTTGATCTAAATGGTACATAAGGGAAGTCATTTTTTGATTTACCTTTTAGTTTTCTTAATTAATAAGAAAAACTGTCAATCTTTTGTATAATTTTTCGTCAATTTCTGCGAGATTACTTTAACAACAAAGGAAAAAGAATCATTTTTCGTTATCAATGGATTATTTTTTCGTACAGGTATGAATTAAATTAGCTACTGTATATAATATGCACTCTTCTAACGTACCTCCTAAAACAATCACATACCCATCAGCAGTATCCAGTCACTTATACATAGCTGGTATATATATATATAAGAAATTAGTTTATTTTATTTACTATAAAATTTAATTGGAAATAATGGATTATTAATGGGAAAACAGAACGTTGTTAATAAAACAAGTAAAAATGCATAGATATACATTTTGACAATATTATAATTTAAAAATATCGAAAAAATAATATATATATATTTTTTGGAACAGTTCAAGTAATTGTTATAATTTATTATAGAAATTGATTATTTTATAGAATATTATTCAAATACCTATTCAATTACCTACTTCAACACGAGTTCGTTAAAAATGCGTATAGGTATCTATTCTTCGTTTCGTTTAAAACCTTTATTATTACCTATTTTTTTTCTTATAGGCACATTTTAGATTGTGAATTGTGATATCTATTTTTACTTTATAGTTCTTATTTTCGTTAGTATGATATTACACAATTTAATATAACCGAAATCGTCTGAATGGAGCGCTTGACTAAAAGATTAATGCGAAATAAACCTACACACCATATGATAAATTGTAAAGGGCACTTGTCCAATTTATAAATAAAAAATAAAAATTGTTTTCATCTAATTTTCTTTACTTACATAAACAAATAAATATTTGGAGTATCATTTACAATAATAGCACTTCTTCTGAAAAGAAATCTGACTGGGAAAATAATTTAGGGAGGTAATTTTTCGATTTTCTTAAGAGTTTTCCTAAAAAATGTGAAAAACTGAGAAAAACTTAGGAAAACGGAAAATAAGAACAAATATTATTAAAGAAAATATATAATGCCTATTTAATTATTTTATCATAATATGACATAAATAGATTGTTGATAAAGCATTACTATCAACTAAACTCTGCTCAGAATTGTTTTTTCGTTAGTAATGATTTATCGTTGCTCAAAGATGTACATTAAATTCCCTTCTGTGTCCTACCTTTCCAACTTCTTACCCACAACAGTGGCTATACCTGTACCCATTATCCTAAGACAGCTTTTTAATATGGGTTCTCATTTGAAAAATTAAACTTAGTACCACCACAAGATACTCCTTAAATGTTGTGAAAATCTAAGAATTCAAAAATATTGGCTATTTTTAAGTGTAGTTAAACACTTAAAAATGCCAAAAATCAGAATTTGAATATATGCAAAATGTAAGCATAAAAAATGGGGTGAGCGTGTATATATATATATATATTTTTTTTTCACCGAGTCTAATGACGAATCTGTTCTTTTTGTACGGTATTTATGTTCTTAATTGTCAGATAGCGCTGAGTTCACACTAAGTAAATAATAATTATAGTTTTTTCAACCACCGCCGCCACTTTTCACTAATTATTACAGTTCATTGTAGCCATTGAGATTGATTAAATAACTTAGTGTTGATTATTATTATTATTATTTGCCTTATGAATTATTGTATAATCGCATACAAACCCACAAGGCTATAACAAAATCGATCAATTTCAGTCTTTATAATAATATGCATTATTGATATACTTAATATACAACACTTTTTAATATGTAAGTACACCTGACACTACTTGTATTGTTATTATAAATTATGATATTGAGTCGACGGAGATTTGTTCGTGTGATTGTTTATCTAAATACCTACCTATATGTGTAGGTAGGTATGTACCTATTATATTAAAGGGGAAAAAACAAAAGTCAACATTATATTGTAATCAGTAATCTAAATTGTATATTTATGTTTACTAGAGCGTACGCAATGGTATCGGCTTAGCGAATCCTATTATAACCAACGCTTGGGTGTTATTCTATTACACCTGCAAAGGGTCAACGCCGTCTAAATAATCATGAAAAAAAAAAGAACAGTCTTCTTCAACCTTCTGTGCAAGCCGTGTGTGTTATGTAACCCAATGTAAACTATACGCGTATGTTACAATTGTTATTTAATGTATAAGTGAGTCGAAACACACTCTGCCATTCAAAATGATATGGGTAAGTAGAATTTTATCGTTAACACGCTTTTTATGTATTTTAGGCAAAAATAAATATAATATATTAAATTTGTCTGCACTTGAAATTATTCAACTTTACATAATATTATGATTTATAATGACGTGTAGAAACGCCTTTGACAACCGCAGTGTAAAAACGAATATTAGTGTGTTTATTCGTTTGTTACGTGATAAGGATATAGGTACTTACGGAAAATATTGATATTTATTTAGTTTGAAATAATATAAAACGACAATTTTCATTGGTGACTCGTGCCGCGTGTGGTATCTATACATATTTTAAAATGTTAAGTGCGTACAAGTTTTTTTAGTCTATATAGATTATAGAATATGTCAAATGCTTTATAGAATTATTTTTTAGTGTATAGACAATCGCAACACGTTTTCGTATATAACATTGCGCTTCAAAAATATTTCTATATAACTATTATTTTATATGTCTCAAAGACGTTAATATAATATACACATTGTATGTTTTTTAAAAAATAAATTAATAATTTATATTTGATTAGGTATTTGTATTATTTGGTTAATAATTTCGCCGATATCAAAATACTATAGAAGTTAACATATTAAAAAAAAAACCTATAGTTAATACAGGCGCGTACTGGCCCACCGGGATACCGGTTTATAATGTTAAAATTATTTGAGATTTGGTGTGCTGTTATGTACAAAAAAGTAATAATATTAAGACATGATTTTTANAACTTATTACTAACTATTGTCATAATAAAACATGAGTTAATTAGTGTTACGTATTCTTAGTCGTATTTTTAATCTAAATCTAAATTTTTTAATCTGTTGGTTATTAATGTTATTATTAATTTTGTAATTTATTTATCAATAATGTAAATATGTATAATCGTTTATTAAAAGATATTACTAAATAATATAATTTGGATAGTCTATTCTTATATTGTTTACTTATAAATAGGCCCATATCGAGTTTTATTTTCATACAAGAATAAGGAGTACATTATTATTTTATTGAATAATTAAACTAATTCAAATTAATTCTCAGAAATAATACATTTTCCTTCATTTTAATAATTTTATTCAATCAGGTCGGAATATAATATTATCACCGGTGAACTAGAATGTTGTTTTACAAACGTATTATATTACTCATTATTTTATTTATATTTTTATCGAACATTTAATCGGTAGGTATATTTTTAAATTTAAATTTGTATTTATAGTTCACAATGGAACAGAATAATCAAAAGAAAAAAATCCAAAAAAGTGGCTTTCTTAAACGAAAAGAGCAAAACAAAAAATGTCTCGATGAAATTGCCTCTAAATCTAAAAAAATGACAAATTTTTTCACACCCACTGTTTTAAATCAGGATTCCGCTAAACTGAAAAAAAATCAAAATCTAGAGTCAAATCAGATTGAATTTATTTCTGAAAAAGTTTTATCAAATTCACCGCTAATATCACAAGTCCACATAACATCTAATATTGATTCAACTACTCGTTGGCGATGTAAAAGTGATTCAGTACAAAACATATTTGGTCGAGCTGATATGTGGATAGTTGAAGCTCAACACGGAGAACGGAAATCTTTTATATATGTTAAAATAGTTCTATCCCTTTATGAAATTTCACAATCCAATGATTTTAATGTTAATGTTAGAAGTAATGCACGAAGTTTGTTGGGTCGCCTTACGAGCTATGAGACCACATTAACAGCAATGACGTTTATTCATATATTTAAGTTGACAACTCCACTGTCTGATTATTTACAAACATCAAATCTTGATTATATCCAAGTTTATAAAAAAATTGTTGTTACAGAGAAATTATTAAAGCAAAATCAACGAAATTTTACTCCAATAAGTACAGCAGCTAAGATTTTTATTAATTTTGTCTCTGAAAAAATTTGAGAAGAAGAAAATGAAATAGAAATAGAGTTTGAAATTCCTCAAAAACGAAAACGAATGGTATNGTCGTAGTTACAAGTATGGAACAAAGATTCGCTCACTGTAAAGAGCTTTACGGAGATTTAGAGCTGTTTGATCTTAGAAGATTTAAAGACATTAGAGACAACGGAATAAACCCTAATTCCATGAACGAAATTTCCCAGTTATTACCTACTATCGATAATAATGTTCTTTTAGAACAGTTGAAGTCATTTGCACATTTTTGGCCAACAATTTCTAAAACAACTTTGAAAAATACTGATGATATTTATGGACCAGAATACGATTCAGAAGATTATTTTGAAGACGATAACTTTGTGTGTAAAAAAGAAGAAAATTGTATGAAATGTTTATTGTGTGTGGTAAATATAATACATAAATACAAGGAGCTTTTTAAAGTATATTTATTTTTATTAACCATTCCATTAACACAAGTAACGTGCGAACGCTCATTTTCAAAATTAAAAATAATCAAAACTCGATTAAGAAGCTGTATAAACCAAGAAAACTTAGAAGCTCTGTTTTTAATGAATTGTGAAAGAGAATTATTATTAGACATATCGCCAGACGCAGTTATTGATTTCATGTGTGAAAAAAGCAGTGAAATGCTAAGGTTATTAAAAGTATGATTTTTCTAATTTTATCCATTGTTTTTAAAAAGTATAAGTTAAGTTAAAATATGAATTAAATTGTTTCTTACTAGTTATGTAATGTTTATGTTTTAATTGTATTAATCCAAGAAATAAAAACGGTTTTTTTCTAATTATTATGTTTTTCTTTATTTTTACTTTGATCTGTAAAAAAAATGAATATAAAATATTATGGGCATTACATTTCCCTGTACAAAAAAAGGAGCCAGTACGCGCTTGAGTTAATACTATTCATAGTTAAATAGGTAGCTGATAGGTGTAAGTAAATCACGTAGAAAAACCTAATTCCTTCCTCCTATTTTTCTCTGAAAAACAACTATCGTTGTACTCGTATTATTATGTATACACATATTCAAAAAAAAATCATACTTAAATAAATTATTAGGTACTTACCTATTATAATAATACTCTTTTATGATAAATTAGTAGATAGGTGTACGGACGATGATGATTTATGTGTCGTCTCAATTCATTTACATTTACAACATAAAACTGCAGTGAACTAAATAATACGGTTTTAAAAGTCCGTTACCATGGCGAAAAAACTTTTTTTTTTTAAATTTATTAACACAGAGTCACAGCAGGTGATATCAGACAAAATTTAAATGTACTATATGACTACCCATATATCAGTGGCTCTCAACGTGGGCGGTATCGCCCCCTAGGGGGTATTTCGGTTCTTCGAGTGGGCGGTGAGCTTTTAAATGCGGAATGATGAAAAAATAAAAAAGCATCAGCATCCAGTGACACGTATCATCACACGTGAAATAAGTATAGTTATGTACAAGACCGGATTATAGGATTGTGATTTAAAGTTGGCCAAGATTCCTATAATAAAGGTAATCAGCAAAAGATTCCTGTAATATAACATTATAATAATAATTTGTTTGAAGACAGTTAATAAAAAAAAAAAAAATTAAACCAAAAGCAAAAGATCAATAAAGAAATAGCAAGGTGCATTAGTAGTCAGTGTCTCGGTGAAGGGGCGCTAATACGAAAAAGGTTAAGAATCACTGCAATATATTATAATAATATTATAGTAATAATTATATAATAATAATAATATTTTTTTTGCGTATAGGGGTGACGGGGCCATGTTAAAATTCTAACAAATTACTTATTAATAAGTTAGATATTGATTTAAATATTGACAATTTTATTATATTCATATTATTTACAACGTAATGCGTTTTTATAATATTATTATCCAATGCAAAAATAGTTTTTAATTAACACGAAAACAGAATTCGGAGTTTATAAAATAATATGATGTAGGTTTTAGGTATAATAGCGTGCGCTGTGTAGATATTACCCTCAAAGACGCAACTAAGATCAATATTCTGGTGGGGGGGGGCTATAGCATCAAAATAAATTAATTTGCTTAAGTCTGAAAATATATAATAGTATATTATATTATTGTAATCATAAAAATAAATACAAAAAATAAAAATAATTATTATAAAATATTTATGTATCTAATTATATTCATCTTAATTGGTGGGGGGCTATTATTTTTAAACTGGAGGGACTGAGCTCCCCCTAGTTGCACATATGATTACCCCATCATTTGGACATGGCGCTCGTCGCTCATTACATTTATACAGTTACACGGTTTACACGATCAAAATACAAAAACAAAGGAGGGGATATTCGGTAATAACACGTCCGTTGCGACGGCCGTCGCGTGTTATTACCGAATTCCGACGCGTCGCGGTCGGGGCGACGCAAATTATCGCTCGACATGCATATGGAGTGCGGACTGCGGAACAACACGGAAAAGTTCATGTGTTAGTACTAGCTTATTTAATAGTGTTTGTGACGCGAGTAAATTTCGATATTTTTTTATTTTTTGTTTTTCTATAATCTATAGTATGGTAATATTGTTACTTATTGATTTTGAATTAATACATATCTTTTAAATTGGTACACACTTTTATTTTACGCTTTTAAAACACTAATATTTTTATAATCACACTCCTATTTTCAAAGTCCACGAGGTTCCAATGGTTATAATATTATATTATATCGTAGGTATTATGTAGTAGGTACTACGTACGAATATACGTTACGGAATTTTACTGAAAAAAAATCCTATTTTTAAGTAATATGTACTATGTTAATATAGTAAGCCATCTTTTATATTATATACGAATAGCTACAACCGAAAACAATCATGTTAGTTATTGTTTTATACAGTTAGGTACTTAACACTCAAACATTTGAAATATTATAATATTTACTACGATGGCTATACTGAAGTATACAATTTTTTAATTTCTAACAATGCTAATTCTAACAAGGACTAATATATGATGTATGTATACATTTTTTCTTTTTACAGCGAGTCTAATGACGAATTTGTTCTTTCTGTACGGGATTTATGTTCTTCTTATTTGTCAGACAGCACTGAGTTCACAGTAAGTAAATAATAATTATAGTTTTTTCAACCACCGCGGCCACTTTTCATTAATTATTACAGTTCATTGTAGCTATATAGGTACGTAGGAAAATAATTATATAACAGGTATATAAATATTAAATGTTGTAAATACAATCAATACATAGTTGGCGTGGCTACTTCTTCGTTCGTTTATATACAATACCTAATAAAAACATATTGGCTACCACCGTAAATAATAATAACATTATTATAGGTATATAACCTAACCCAACCAGGTACCTATGTATTTTATACTGATTTATACTGATCAGGGTGGATTAATGATTTTTTTCGACATACGGGATATAGTTAAACATCAAATCGGCCAACGAACATGCACAAATATAATACAATTTTAGGGGTGCCAAAATTACATAAATGATTTAATTATTTATTACCTTATATTAAGATTATTATAATATTATAAATTAATTACAAACAAATCTTAACAAGAAATAGCTACAACTTGAAAAAATTTGTGTGAGTAAATAATTTTTTCAATGTCACTTGTCATAGTCTTTAATAGAGGTCAATTATCCTGGCATCCACACTTTGGAATTTAATTACCAAACTAACTAGTATTTAAAATAAAGTATGTATCTGATCACAGTTTTGCGAATGCCAAAATATTTACAACTTCATTAACCGTAATCGATACATTTCTGTGTATATTGAGGATAACTAATTCATTCAATCTGTTTTCCGAGATTGCATTTCTAAGGTATGTTTTAAAACTTTGAAATCATAACATATAAATAATTAACAAAAAATTTAAATCAACATTTTTTTTAAAAAACATTTATAGCGTTCAGGATGAAGTATCATTTGTGTGGCAGCACAGTGTGCCACTACTTTTTTCCTAAGCATACTTAAAAGTGTAATATCTCATTAACGGGTTGACGGAAATCAAAAATGTTAACACCAAAATTAATTTAAACTAATATTTCGTCTACTAATGGCATTTTGAATATAGGTTACCACAATATCACTTACCATTTGAAAATCAAAAGTAGGTAATCGGCTCACCCTCAAAAACAAGGTTTACGAAAAATAAAGCTAATGTAAAATTGTTTAGCTACTTGTTATCAAAAAGTTACTTATCAAGATATCACAATGATCATATCTTCTTGAAAAACCACGTATATACATATCTATATGATGTTTGTTGACAAATATTTATCACACACGTTTTAAATAATCACAAATATTAGGTAATTAATAAATGTTTAGAAATAGTCAACAATTTTATTCAATAAATGAATAAATCTAATTGTACTTATAAATATAAAACAAAAAATGAACAATCATAAATAAAATATGCAAATTAATGTAATATTATTTTAAATTAACTTACAAACTTAAAAAAAAAAATATTAGGTTATAACTAGATACATAAGATATCAAAGAAATATATGTCTATATATGTCTACGAATAGTTTTAAAATATATTTTAATTAATATAATGCAATTAACTTGGAGATTTAAAAAATAGTAAGTTCTCTTTCACCATAATATAACGCACGTTATATGATACGTTAGGTGACAGGCATGGGGCGCCTGATCCATTTATATATTATCCATGCAAATTTTTCCGAAAATAATTGATAGATATCTGTTATATTAAGCATTAATATTGTTTTAAACTAACGCTAACTGTCAACAACCGTGATCCCAACATATCTAACTGTAACTTACCTAACTGAAACCCTCAAAAATAGATTTTCGATATTATAATCCAATGATTTTAAATCTTGTCCAATTCTGAATATAATACAGTACTGATATTAACTGTAAAACTGCTATTCCATTGTCCTCGGATTGCACCCGCTGCGCTGTCACCCATCGACGTGTTATTTTTTGTTAAATAAAAGTCAACAATAATTTTTAGATCAATATTTTTTCATCACGAAACATAATATTATAAATTTGCAACTTGTATGTACACGTGTACATGCGCATTTACTGTTCCACCTCCGCCTACTTAGATTAGTTCAGCTTCATCGTCCCCTACAACACTCGAGTATCTAAACGCATTCCAACTCTACGTTTGAGCGTTTACAGGAATTATCGGTACTTAAACGCACGACGTCATAGGCGTTTGGCTAGCCCAACGTACAGGTACCGGCCTCACATATCCACTTGCACATCGAAATTGTCCATCGCTGTGGTAGGAAGCAACGACAATTGCGAAGATTCTCAACAGCCATCGACTAGCAGTACTGCACAGCCACGTAAACTTTCAGTACCGTCGCCGTCAGCGTCATCATCTCCGCACGACCGGTTATCCCATCGTGGACTACACAAACACCTGTTGCTAATTACCGGGCAGGTGTACCACGAGTATATCGGCGAGTGTTCGGTGATGTCTCAGGCACGCGATCTGCAAGACCTAGGTTCGATGTTGCGGCAAACCATAACTCCTGCAGGTCCTGGTGACTTTGTCCTGATCCAGGTGGGCACGGGCTGGCGACTCAATGTTCGGTTATTGGACTTGCTGGTTGACCGTCTGGGTAACGTGACCATGTACGTGGATAAGAAGTTCTACAGCAAAACGATGGCCAAACACTGTCGAAACATCGGGACCGGGTGCACTCTGTTGACCAGTCTTGTGCCTGTGCTCGAACAGCTCGAATCCGGTGCCGTGTCGCAGCCAGAAAACGGCGGTGGGAGTGCGGGTGTCGCTATGTACGATCCCGAATGGATTCCGGTTCCCGCGCTTCCTCCCCTGCCCCGTAATTTCAATGGCTCCACGGAGAAACAAATCGAATACCTAACGTGGCGACTGTGCGTCCGAGACAGGCGTCACAACTTGTACTATAAACTCGATAAGGACTCGTCGACGTCCGACCTGAGGTTAGCACACATCTTTCCAAGGCTCTCCGCAATACCCTATACATTGTCCCTAACATCCAACATTGCACTCTGTTTCGCATTGCAATAAATTAGGAAGATACCTGCAATACCGTCGGACCCGACGTTCAGCTATTATTATGTACCTATCCTCCCAACAAAAAAAAAAAAAAAAATCAGTTTTCATAATCTCCTAGATTATTATGTTCCAGTGAATATTGAATATTACCGAAATGTAAATCGTGTTATAATCGGAACAATTTACCCGATTAGATTTATAAAAGTTGTTTTCAAAATATATGAACCTATTTGCGTGCTAATATTACAAGGCCTGTATAGGTACTATTAGCACATATTGATATTGCACGTACCGTTGACATTTTAAACGTTTCAACATATAGCAATTATGACAGATCGATTCGCAAAACTGCCACGAGTTTCCACAATTATGTCATGTGTGTAGCAAAGTAAACTAATCCCATATTTATTTGTACATTTGCAACACACAAAGTGGAATATGTCACATACATTTTGATGTATAAAATAATGGTATAACAATATACGATGTATAGGAGAGGTGTCCAATTCGTGGCAATTGCTTATATACATATAATATATTATAAAAAAAAATGAATTATTAAAAATAAAAATAAAATTTTAAAACCATGCTTTTGTATAAAAATCGTAATAAAAAAAAATAAAACCTTTCGAAAAAAAAAACCGCTTTAATAATGTCCTATACGATGATAGACTAAAAGAAAAGCATGGTGCGTGCACTCATAAACAATTATTACTTCATAGCGGTAAGTCGGCTATATTTGTAATATTTTTAACGAATTGGTCTAAATTATTGATATAAATTTACCTTAAAACATACATAAACTCGTAGACTACAATTTGGCATACCTACCCAATTAAAAACAATTTGAATACATTATTTATTTTTAAAAAAATGTACGAAGCGATCTTGCATAGATGACCAGTTTGTTTAATTTGGGTCAAATGAATTTTCAATTGGGTTACAGTATTACATTCTTATAAATAGTGCAATTTATTTTAATTCATCTTGAAATTTGTTATCACTTAATGTAAAATATATTAGCGTTTAAACTCACTTGTGTGTAAAAACTATATTTACACTTCTATTGGTAGAGTACTCAAGGGAGACAGCGTAAATGACAGAACATTGAAATAAAATATTACATCGAAATTAAGTTTTGACAGGATTGTTTACGAGTGTACGTGCCATGCTTTTTTCTTTTAGTCCACCATAATGTAGAATATTGTTAACATTTGTATTTTCGAAAGATTATTTTTCACTTTTTAGTACTAATTTTTTATGCTTTTTGGATTCTGAGTGTTGCAAAGAATGAATTAATAGTTTTACAAAGATGTTTATTTTTTTTTTTATATTATGTACACAAATTCTACCAGATATCAACTTTTCTAAAATGGAATTTTCCTGGTGTAGTACTATAAGGAGGTAATTTTTTGATTTTCTCAATAAATGAGAAAAACCGAGAAAAAACGTAGGAAAAACGGAAAATGTACGAAATTTATTATTTAAAAATCTTAAATATTATAGCCTTTTAGATTCTGAGCGGAGCGAGGAATGTATTGGTTTTACTATGATATTCCTTTTTTGTTTCTTGTTTTTTTTTTTTTCTACTGTGTATACAAATTCTATCAGAAATCTTCCTCCGATATAGCGATATGTACGTGTGGCACTTTTTCTGAAAGGAAATATTGTCTAGATCAGGGGTTCCCAACCTTTTTGTTATGGTGACCCACACATTAACTCTACTCTGAGTATGTGACCTTTCAATAAAAAAATAATAAAATAAAATTAAGTTTGCTCTAATAGCTCAATACATAATAAGTAATAATATTAATAATAAAAGTCGATACATTATGAACGTCATTTAATTCAGCAGACATTTTTTTTGACACAAGTACCTCTCTGTGAGGCATACATTGCGTCCATTTATCATCTGGAGCTACTTCTTTAATACGTAGTTACACTTACACAGTTTGTCCATTGAATATTATTTTAAAAAAAAAATAATAATAAATAAATATATATATATATCTACACCAGTTGTTGTGCTCAAACTATCATAGTACAAGAAATCGTCATGAATACTTCCGTCTTATAACTACAAACAATATAACTTTATTTTGAACGTCTATACTTTCGTATAACTGAATAAAAAAAAATAATGATGAGTTTCGAGTTTAATCTGTTTAGTATTAATTGTTGTTTTATGTTTTCGTTAATCTCGACAACGGACAAAGCGTCTCTGAACATTATTATTTGAAGATAGTATTATTTTTAGTTTATTATGTTACCTCCTTGAATTAAATTCCAAATAAAATAAACAATTATAAGCGTTAGATTTTAGATTCTGAGTGAAGCGAAGAAGCATATGGTTTTACAAAGATGTTTGATGTAGGGAGGCCATTTTTCGATTTTCTCAAAAGTTTTCTCATCAAATGTAAAAAACCGAAAAAAAATGGGGAAAAAATAGGAAAATATACGAAACATGATTAGTATAATATAACGATTTTTTTTTCTGTTGATAACTTTTCTACCAGAAATTTTGCTCCAATTTACAATGATGGTGTTTCTTTCTGAAAGGAAATCTAACATTGATGGTACTTTAGGGAGGTCATTTTTTGATTTTCTCATGAGTTTTCTCAACATAATCGAAAAACCGGGAAAAAAACGGGAGAACGGAAAATAGATATAGTAATAAACAAATATTATAAAAAACATTTTTAATACATATATAATCATTTTATCATAATATGACATATATTTATTGTTCACAAAGCAAGACTATCAACTAAACTCCATTCAGAATCGTTCGTTTGTTAGTAATGGTTTATCATTGCTTACTGGTGTACATTAATTTCCCATCTGTATCCTACCTTCCCAACTTCCCACCTACAACAGTGGCTGCACCCACGTGCGAAGTATGCCTGTCTTTTTACATGATGTACAGCAGGATCCAAGGGGTTGTATGCACTGATACCATGAAATATACAGAGCGTGCCCACGATCAAATAAACAATAGAATATTATAAACTATCGTTAAATACACGATATTTTTTATAAAATACTATATTTTTATTTTAAAAAAGTACAATTTAGAAGAAGCCATTAGCCAGCTATGTATTTATACACACTGAAATATTACGTTTAGTAAATATATCATAAGTGCCTAAATATTATTGTATTTAGCTCAGTGGTGTAGGTATTGGTAAACAAATTCTATACGATATAGGTCCATAATTATTGATATATTATATTTTAAAATATTTAGTTGTTAGAATTATTTTTTTTCTTTTTCTAATCGAATATTAACTCACTGGGAGCAAGTCTCATCGGTCCGAGGAAAAAGTAATGCAGTAGGCAACATTAATTTAAATTGTGGAACAAATTTAAGTACTTAATTGCGTTCTATGTACAAAGTGAATAATATAGTTACTTATTAGGGTTGGATAATAGGCAAATGGGACATCGTGAAATTTTCAGATAGACCACGATAAAATATAAATTAGGTGTATCTGGTAACGTCAGGTGAGTTAAAGTGAATAACCGGAATAAATCACTGGACGATTATAATACAACTCAAAATATGATTTATTTGTTCTGCTAAGTTGCAGTAAAATATAGTGTTTGAAAAGCTGTCAATGAGCTATCAGGGGCTATACGCTATCGAGAAGCTTTAAATACAAGCCATCAGGATTTGCATTAGATTAATTTATGACCCTGTTAATATAATACTAAAGGCTGCAGTAGGACGTAGGCTATTATGGTTGGTCACAATGAATTGTCGACAACAGGAGGGTGCTCACGGGGGAGAGGGTGAGGGTGTTATATCCCCCCATGAACTTTTTTTTATACATTTGTTTGACGTTCCTTTGTAGTTTCGATTTTCAAAGAAAAAAAAGAAGTGCATATTTGGTTTTAATTTTTACTCGTTAATTATTATCATACACATTAAAATGTGTTTAGTAGATATTATAGTTATAGTAATTAGCTATAGATAAAGCATGAATATTATTAAAAAAAGGTACTAATGGACTATTATAATATTTCAGTCTATTATATAAACACGACCATCGGCATATTAATATATTATGCAGTTTTTAGTTATGCTATAATAAAACTTATATTAATACACATACCTAATTACTTAAATATTTTTAATAATTTCATATTTTTAAAACTTAAAGTATGAATGTTGCATGTAAACGATATATAAGCTTATTTGTGGACTATAGATTATCAGATGCTGAATCAAATTTACTGTAAGTTTAGAAGTGTAGACTTTATTTCAGATAAAAAAAATCAGTTCTTACTACCTAGTGTACATAACTTTTGTCTTTTACTGTTTAGGCACTAAAAAATGTATGGATACCATTACCAACATTTAATTACCTTTAAATAAAAAAAAATGAAAAAAGAGGTTTAAAATATTAGTATAAAAAAAGCTGTCCTAAGATAATGGGATTGGGTGCAGTCATTGTTATAGTTACCTAATTTAATGTATACCTGTAAGCAATGATAAACCATTTCTAACGAAAAAACAATTCTGAGCGGAGTTCAGTTGATAGTATTGCTTTGTCAACAATATATATGTCATAGTATAGTAATATAATTAAATAGACATTATATTTTTTTTTCTTTAATAATATTTGTTTAATTTACAAATTTTACCGTTTTTCCCGGTTTTCCCATGTTTTTCCTGGTTTTTCACATTTTCTGAGAAAACTCTTGAGAAAATCTAAAAATAGCCTCCTTAAAGTACCTTTCCAGTCAGATTTCTTTTCAAGAAAAAAGTATTAGTGAAAGAAAATAATAAGCTTAAATCGGGCCGCTGTATAACTTTTGAAAGCGCTAGAATAAACATTTCCCAGGCTGTTTATAAGGTACTCCAATCAACTCTTAAGTACTTATATCGACGCGTTATGGTTTTGAAGAAGGCATCATTGTTATATATTTTTTTATTATAGTTATTTTGTTCTATTTTTTTAACGTATAAGATATGATAAGAAATAATTCAGATTTTTTACTCGTAAAATTGTATAAACAGGAAAAGAGCTATATTAAATTATCGTTTGTGAAATAATTCAGATAGATATAGGTATTGATTATTCTAATTACTTATTAGTTATTGGTTATTATACTTATACTATAAAATCAGATTCGGTATTATTATTAATTATTATTATTTTTCTTTTCTTCTCTTTTTCGATAAACCATCTCACTATTTACGTTTAGCCATAATTAATAATTCTTGATTTCACTTTGTTTAAGAACTTAGTCAAATTCAAACATTTAAAATATCTGTGCGCAAGATTTATTAATGAGAGGGTGGGACGGAGAGTTTTAAAAAAAAATATTTACTCTCTCGTCATTTTTTAGACGTGGATTTTTAAAAATTTTCGAATGTCCATTTCAATGTTATCACCAACGGTGTGTTTGAATAATTAACGTCTCACTCTGAGCTCACTATTAATTTTTTTTTATATAAACTATTTTTCACATATCCGTTACCCTATATCACTCGTGTTCTTGTGTGTGCTCTATACTTACATTATATTGTCATTTGTTGCTAATGAACGTGACGCTATAACGTGCTATAATAGTGGTGTATCATTATGGTACCTATATGCATTATTATACAGCAAGGTACTAATAAGATTATAAAATATATAATATAATTGACCAAAGTTTTTCCAAATAAATGAAAACATAATTTATATTTTTTCGGAAATGTAGGGGGTTGAGCCCCTCCTTTGCACATGGGCCTGCTACTGCACTATTTTGGTTTTGTGACACGTAACATTTTTGTTTTTTGTTAATTATGTACTAATTTACTATTTACAGCCAAGTTTATAATATACATCAGTTATAATTCCTTTACACGCACTGCACTGTAGATAAATCATAAAATATAAATGTATAGGCAATAGGCATATTAATATATTATAATACAAATTAAATATTCATAATATTTTAAACATTAAAGTATATTGTACAATTTTAATAAATATCTGGCATTCTATATAGTTATCCTCATAACAATCAAGAATATATATTTATATATATATTTAATCTATAACCCAAGTAATATGTAATATATTATGTAGCCTTGTATCTAGGTTATCACAAATAAAATTGCATTAAAAACTTTTGTTTATTAATGTGCTTATCATTATAACTCGTATATTAATATAAATGTTTTGTATGAATGAAATGTTTCAGTGACCAGAGTGATATTGCAGAAAGCGACAATGTCGTCTTTGAAACCAGTTTGTCTCTAACTGACATACTGCCCATAAACCCGAAAAACTATGATAAAAACCGTGCACCCAAAGTACAAGGGCAACCGACTATCGTTTACTTTCATATAACAGTGCTATCGTTGGATTCAATTAATGAAGAATCTATGGTAAATTAACATTTCTATAATTCAATTATGTTCGATCAAAGTGATAATATTTCATTGTTGGATCTTGTTCAAAATTTAACATTGCCAACTAAATTTCCATCTGATTCTAATGTTTAATTTTATTGATATTTCCAGTCAGTTCTTATTTGCTGTGATTTAAATGAGTGCTAGGGATAAGGTGCTTATTATATTTAATATTATAAGGAACATTTTGCAATCATGTGATCATGTTCTATTATCTAATGCAATTTAAATATTTTTGTATGCAACAACTTTTCAACAAATCCTTCGTTTAGTTGAATTTTGAAAGACAAAATTGAAATTAATAGTTATATTATCATTTGATTTGTATAAAATAAATAATAAGGAATCAAGCCTGTAAAGTATTTTTACCAACGTTCAACTATACCTTGAAAATAAATTTGTATTGATTTATTAAGAAACAATTCCAATATATAGACCGATAAATATAAGTATAATAATAGTAATAAGCAATGCTCGAAATAGAAAAATAAAACAACAAGAGGGACTATGAGACATATACAAAATAAGCGTCCCTATTCTAATTATTGAATTTAACCTAATCCCCGGAGGTCTTCACCCTCATACCTATCTTACATAGCTTTTCGAACATAATACAATAGTTAATAATTTAAATTAACAAAAAAAAAACCATATTACTTATATTTGTATTTATTTTTAAATTATAATATTTACAAAGATGTGTTCATTTTCTTTTTGAAAAACACCTTTAATGCTTTGATTTTTTCTTATCATACCTTATGCTACGCCCTAACTAGCAAGTGCACGTACTACGTTTCGGAAATAATAAATATAAACCCGTGCAAATCGCAGTCACGAAAAAAATGTTCACAAAACGCCTGCGATTTTTCCCTCTATTTTTATCATATTATCCCTTAGAGATTAAATGTTTTAATATAATTAATGTCAAGACGCTAAATGTTACTTATTATTATAATAATATATAATCCAGTTTTTTGGCTTATGGATACGTGCGTGTTCATAGTGCGGGGGCAGCTCGTTATGGCAGCCAGCTTCGCTCACATACCCTGTGTGACACTGCGCGGCACTCTTTGACAGTTCCTTACGAGGGTGCTACTAACTTACATACCCTAGCATTTCGAACCTGATAGTGCTTCAAGAAGCTTCAAGAAGAATAGTGTCCTTAGTATAAACTTAATCCTCACAAGGCAAGATCAGGAATTCGGCCACTTCGTTTCGTAAGCTGATGTTGAATTTATAATCGAAAATAAACCCTGATTTTTATGCAAAAACCACGTTTCGGGTAGATAACAAACGAAAAAAGATAAGCATACTTCATACAATGGGTGGGCTACTGTTGTAATCAAGAAGTTGAAAAAGTGAGATATAGAGAGGAATTCACTTTATATTTGTATACATCAATAAATCCATTGCTACCGAAAAATAATTAAGAGCAAAATTTAGTTATACTTGTTTTAAAAGACCGAGATATTTATGATTGTCGTCAAAATTTGATATTACAATTCTTATAAAAAAAATACTACATATTAAAAACAATATTTTTTTTTTTATTTTTTGATCACAAAATACGACTTATAATAATAATTTGTTGAAAATTTGACAACGTTTAGAAAAGGCAAATATAAGTTTTCTGTCTAAGTTTTATGTTTCTTGATATTTTTAACTGAGTTACAACAAAAAACAAAATTGAAAATAATAAAAGCGTTATTTTCGTAAATTTTTCCGTTCCATTTATATTTTTTTTCAGTTTTTCAGCTCAATTATTAAAAAAAAAAAAAATACGGGAAATCAAGAAATGATCTTACTCACCCAACTAGATTAAAAATGCAACAAAAATGTTCTTATATTGTTTTTTTTATTGGAGCTGCTAAAAAACATAAAGCGCAAAAATTTAAAATAAAGGAATCGTGACACTGTAAATTTATGAGTTTTCATTTTCGTGAGCACCTAGATCCAGAATGCAATAAAAAAAAGTCTCTTGTCATTTTTTGATTGAAGCAATATTTCTAGGAGAAACTAGGGACCTGTACTGTTGTAGGTGAGAAGTTGAAAAGCTAGAGGGGAAATATAAATGTATATCTGTTCGCAAAGATTAATCTTTGTTAACAAAAAACAATTCTGAGTGAAGTTTAGTTTCACATATTTTGAAAGGCCATAATAGGTGTATACGATTTGAAAATAATACTTTTTCCTGTTATTCCTAAGTTTTTCCCGGTTTTTCTCATTTATTTTTAAAACCCCTCGGGAAATCAAAAAATTAACTAAAGTACCAAGAGATTAATCTCCTTTCAAGAAAAGTGCTATACTTGATACATCGGAGCAAGTTTTAAGTTTTCCAGTGGAAAATTTGTTCATAGAATGAAAAAAAAACTGTTCTAGGATAATGAGGACGGTTGTAGCCACTGTTGTAGGTGGGCAGTTAGGAAGATCTTCAGTATCTTATCTTTAATATATATCTGTAAGCAACGATAAACCATTGCTAACGAAAAAATGATTCAGAGCATAGTTCATAGTAATGCTTTGTTAACAATATGTTTGTATGTCATATTATGGTAAAATATTCAAATAGATATTATTATATATTTTCTTTAATAATATTTGTTTAATATTGATCCGATTTTTCCATTTTTCGTAAGTTTTTCCCAGTTTTTCGTATTTGCTGATAAAATTTAAAAATGACCTCCTTAAAAAAGTACTTTTCCAGTCAGATTTCCTTTCAGGAAAAGTGCTATCATTATAAATCTGAGCAAAATTTCTAATAGAAAAGTTGTCCACTGAAAAAAAAAATTATAATATTTTACTAATATTTTTCGTAAATTTCCCCGTTTTACTCCATTTTTTCTTTTCGGTTATTCACATTTGATGAAAAAACTCCTGAGAAAATCGAAAAATGACCTCCTTAAAGTACCACCCCAAGACAATTTGCTTTTAGAAAAAGGTCTATACCGTATATATCGGAGTAAATTTTCTGGTAGAAAAAATGTTCTCTAAACAGTGGCACATCTATTAGTGTTATTAGCTCTTTTTTGTTGGAAGGTTGTATTCTTTACAAAGTTTCGGCCTGGGGCCTTGAGATATCATATAACCTGAACTTGATCTCATCTGTTGTAATTATTATAATAAAATTGTTTACTCACTCAAGTTCGAACACTGAACATTGCCTATGTATTTTATGGTTTTAGACGTATGTAGCAGACATATTTTTGGCACAAAGCTGGCGGGACCAGAGACTCCGACTCCCAGAAGATATGAGCGAGGACCATCGAATACTCGACGTTGAATGGTTACATGAAATATGGCGACCCGATTGTTTTTTCAAAAATGCAAAAAAAGTCACTTTTCACGAAATGAGCATACCAAATCATTACTTATGGTTGTACCATGATAAAACGTTACTATACATGTCAAAGTATGAAAAGACAGAAAGAGGGGAATTGTATCTAAAACACCAAACGAAAGAAGAGCAACTTACACTAATTTTTTCGATATTTCAAACGATACTCATATAGTAAAACACATTACATTGAACAAGTCTACAAATTATAACAATTTCTAAATGTCTATTAGAGCGTTTTAAAAAATTGAATGAATAATAATAATTATTTAACATTTTTTCTAATTAAAAATTGTTCATATCTGCTCTTTTTTCATCTAGCAATAATACTGTTACTTTTAACACTGTATACCAATACAATATAGGTATACTATAGGTACCTATCTACTATTTAATACTATGATTTTTGTTCTCATTTATAGATTGACACTTGTATTGTCATGTGCGATGAAATTCGAATCGTATCCACATGACACACAAATATGTTCAATGATGATCGAAAGCTGTAAGTATATTTATATACGAGGATAAATGTATTAGTATTTAATTTATAGTTATTCAAATTGTTTTTATATGTAATTTAATAGTTATTATTTAAAATAAAAATATTTGTTGAACTCATATTTTATTATAAAACACCAAGATTCATAACAACATGTATATGGTACGTATATATGCCTAAAATGAATAATTATACTGTTAGGATCAAAAAATCTAAAAAAGGTTGACGTTCCCAAAAAATGAACTAAAAATATATTGTAATTTCTATCTTCCTATCAATGAACTTTAAATATGATTATTCAATATAAACAAATAATAATAAGAAGATAATTAATCCTTAATTATTTAAGAATATTTAAACTAAAATTGTGAGATAATTTTCCAATTTAATGATTTAAATAGGTATGATATAGAATAAACGAATACAAATTATTGTAAGTATCTATAATATTATATAATTTATATATTTGTTTAGTGTCCCACACAACTCACGATTTAGTATTTATATGGAATATGACAGATCCATTAGTGGTGAACCCGAAAATTGAATTGCCTCAACTTGATATATCAAATAATTATACAGCAGATTGTACAAATGAATATTCGACAGGTTTGAACATTATCTTATTTAATTAATATACATTATATACATACATAACACACATCAAATATTTAACGAGCACGATGGAACATTGTTTATTAAATTTATAATTTTTAGGGAATTTTACTTGTTTGGCTGTGGTGTTTAATTTGCGGAGACGATTAGGATACCATTTATTCCATACATATATTCCATCGGCTCTTATTGTTGTTATGTCATGGATTTCATTTTGGATAAAACCCGAGGCTATACCGGCCAGAGTAACATTGGGTGTGACTTCATTATTGACGCTTGGTAATGCTTGATAAAAAATATAGATTAAAAATTAAATAATTAATTGGAACGACTATTACCTACAGCGACCCAAAACACTCAATCTCAACAATCTCTTCCGCCCGTTTCTTACGTTAAAGCCATTGACATATGGATGTCCTCGTGTTCAATTTTCGTGTTTCTGTCATTAATGGAATTCGCTGTAGTAAACAATTACATGGGACCTGTGGCAACTAAAGTAATGAAAGGGTACTCGGAAGAAGACATCCAAGGAGGTGACGAATTCAAAGAATATAGTGTAAGCTATACCTATTTTAAAATACCTATTGAAATGTAATTAAAAACAAAAATAGATAATGTTAACGTAACTTTTCAATGTTATCTTAGGAATTGGATCCGAAGAACCGAAGTCCAATCAGAAGTATGACTACTGTAGCAGCAGTACCACAATATCCGACTTTTTGTAACGGTCGCGCAATCGCATTATATATTGACAAATTTTCGAGGTTCTTTTTCCCATTTTCATTTTTCATTCTCAACGTAGCCTATTGGACTTCGTTTTTATAACGACTCTTTTGGTCTACGGTTTTTTTTTTTTTTTGTATATAATACCTATGCACGTTTGCAACAGTGAATGCACAATAAATAGCTCAGGTACCTGCCAAGCCACTTTCTAAAGTCTATATTAAAAAACACAATGCACTCTACTAATATGTTTAGAAATGTATATTTTACTTCATGCAATATTGTTTAGTAAAACATATCATCTTTTAAGTTATTGTAATACAAAACTCGTGAGTGTACCGATACAAGTTTGTAATTATATGTTTGTGTATGTGTATTTACATAATTATTAAATGTTACATTTTATTTTATGGTTGATTTTGATTTAGGTAAATATCCACAAATTTTACAGATGTACTTATAAAATTAAACCGTATCTAAACTATTATCAATTTAAATGTCTTGTAATTTTGTTATAATATAATGTAGTATTATAGCCTAAAAATAATCTAATCTCTAACGTTTTATATTATAATTATAGTATAGGATATAACAATGTTATTTACTATATAATAGTAAAAACCTGTTACCTACTAATCTGCCTTCAACCATACAAACATTTTAATAAATAACAACAATATTTTGATGAATGAGTTTAAAATAATTTAGTGATATTATTTTAATATTTATACTAATTACGAGATTAGGCTATTAAATAACGAGACTGCGCGCGCAGAGAGCGTCCCAAAAAGGTTAGGGGAAAACCGAATACAGCGCTGGTTAGCTGGAAGTGTCTATTATGCCAGTACAAAATTGGGTTTTTGTTGGTGCATTAGTATTTTTTCTGTAGCGTTTAGAAACGAACATGTTTTTTTCTCTTGCCGAAAACGATGTGTGAGGAAAAACATGAGCAACAGATAAACGTAAAATTTTCTCGTTAAACTAAAAAAAACTCCAACTGAGTGCTATAAGTTGTTAAAAGAGGCCTATAGTGAGGATTTCCTATCTCGGGCGCGTGTTTTTGAGTGGCATAAATTATTTTCTGAAGGTCGAGAGTGCACCGGAATCCAATTCAGTCGTAATCCAAATTCAAAACCATGCTGATCGTTTTCTTCGATATCAACGGCATCGTGATGACTGAATGGGTTCCAGAGGGTCAAACTGTAAACCAACATTACTATTTGACAGTTTTGGCAACATTGTGTGAATGAGTTCGTAAGAAACGAAGAAGTATCTTGCACCAGGATAACGCATCTGCCCATAACGCGCTGTCTGTGAAGCGTTATTTGGCCGCTTAAGGCACTCCAGTACTCGAACACGCGTCTTACTCACCCGACTTTGCTTCCTACGACTTTTACTTGTTTCCGAAGATAAAGTCTTCCTTAAAAGGAATCCGGTTTGAATCGATGGAAGAGGTGAAACTAAAATCGGCGGAACTCCTGAATGGTCTTACAAAAACAGACTTCCAGCACTGCCTCGAGCAATGAAAGAAACGAATGAAACGGTGTGTGAAGAGGGGAGGAGAGTATATTGAAGGGGAACATTTGGTTGTGGAATAATTTTTAAAATAAAACCATTTTTCATAAGCAGTCTCGTTGTTTAATAGCCAGACCTCGTATTTTTATCGTGTTACTTTCACAAATTAAATAATAACGAGTACTGATAATATTAAATTTCGTGCTTAACGAAGTAATTTGTTTTTCGTTTTTTTTTTTCTATGTAACACAATATTGTTTATGACTACGGCATCTTTATTGTAGACATTCTGGTGTATTACCAATTTATACCTAATAGGAATTGTTAAATAACATATTTGTATCATGATCACTACTTATTACTAATTATATATTATGATATAGAGTGTAATTATATTCACTGTGCGAAACGTAGACCCACAGATTAACAAAAAATAAACACAATATTTGAAAATAAATTTTCGACAATTTAAAGGCGTTTGGAAAGAACTGCATATTTCATAGATTTTTTTTAATATTATAGTAGAGTGACCATTTATCACATTGTCTCTTTTATGATCATCGTGTCCCGTTGTCTCAAAAAACAAACGTTTTAATCCCGTTATCTCCATATTATTATTATACGTGAGTAAAAAAAATCAGTAAGTATATGAAATAAATAAACATTTTTTTTTTTGACCACGAAATACGACTTTTAATGAACCTCCTGTTAAATTGTCAAGCATTTCTGTTAGGTCCAACAATTTTACCACAGAGTACCTACCGAAACGTAGAAAACTTGTAAAATTAAAATGTCTATAAATTGCTCAAAATAGGCTATTATTTTTTTTTGACAATTTTATCACGTCTAGAAAAAGTAAATATAAGTTTTGTGTCTAAACTTCAAGTCTATAAATATTTTTAACTGAATCAAAACAAAACAAAATAAAAAAAGATGTCCTAGAATAATGAGGACGGGTGTAGCCACTGTTATAGGTAATTTAATGTATATCTATTAACAACAATTAACCGTTGCTAACGAAAAAAAACGATTCTGAGCGGAGTTCAGTTAATAGTTTAGTTGCTTTGTCAACAATATATATATATATATATATATGTTTATACGTATAATATATATACTTGTATTATGGTAAAATAATCACATAAGCAATATATATTTTGTAATAAATATTTGTTCAATATTGTACCTATTTTCCTGTTTTTCCTACGGTTTTTCCATGGTTTTTAACCGGATTTCACATTTATTAGGAAAACTAGTGAGAAATGACAAAAAATAAATTCAAATGACCCATTTACCAAGTACCTCAACAGCCAAATTTCCTTCTAGAAAAGGTGCTATCATTGTAAACCGGAGCGAAATTGCTGGTAGAAAAGCTGTTTACAGGAAAAAATAAAGCCGTAATATTGATTAAGTAATACCTACATTTCTTACATTTTCCTGTTTTTTTTTTTCGGTTTTTCACATTTTATGAGAAAACTCTTAAGATAATCGAACAATTACCTTCCTAAAATATTTTACACCTATTTCCTTTCAGAAAAAGTGCTACACCTTGCAGTCAATTATGGGCAACCATTTCAAACTTCGTTTATAATGAAACTTATTTAACAAAACTTAACATACTGATCGCCAATCAATTCTTTAAAAGTTTATTTTTATATTTACATATATAGTCACTAATCAATCCATTGATATCCCTATTTACATTACTCATTGAAAAACTCATCTCAAATAAAGACAGAAAATAAGTTATCTGCCTTAACCATTTTTCTATGGAACGCAAACGGAATCACCAACATCTATCTTACTCCCACAGCTCAAAATTCAAAATTTTGGGATATGACTATGCCCAAGCCAATCACTCCGATGACACCCCATGCCGGTGCCACATTATTAATTTCTACTAAGATCCCGCATTCACCTTTTCCTCCTAAATCTATTCAACATATGCAGATTGTCACTATACCTATATATATTAGCCAGGATCACCTTTTCCTGCAGATCTGTCACTGTGCGACCACAGTTGTAGATGGGTAGTTGGGAAGGTAGGACACATAAAGTTATTTTATTTATATCTGTAAGCAATGGTAAACCATTGCTTGAAGAAAGACGATTCCAAAAGAAGTTCAGTAATACATAATTTGAAGGACCGTACTTTTTTTTTTTAGATTTTTGTTTAAATTTTTATTTCAGACAGCTTATTAAAAAAAAAACTCATTCGATTATTTGAAAATAATCTATCACGTGTAGGTAATTTTAATATAAGTATTTTTACCAAATTTCAAGTCTCTACGTGTATTTATAACCGAATTTTATATATATCAATTTAGATTCTGAGCGTAGCGAGGGAGCTATTGGTTTTACAATGCTGTTTATTTCTTTCTTTTTTTTCTTTATTCTAGTCTGTGGAAATATTTTTTCCTGCTGAACTTGCTCCGATTTTTATGAACCACACCTTTTCTGAAAGCTCAAGTCATCTAGATTGTACTTTAAACAGGTCGTTTTTTTATTTTCGAAGCTATTTTTTTTAAATAAAAGCACTTAAGTGGGAAAAAAACATAGGAAAACGTACAATTTTATGATTTCATTATTTTATAAAAACACGGATACCTTTTTCTACTAGAAAAAATAATTTGATCGAAAAATCACAAAACATTTTTTTTGATTTACTTTCTTGAGGTATTATCAACAAATATTTTGAGCCACTCTTGTGCATTTATGGAATTTTAATTTTTGGAAGTTTTTTGCTGCGATTCAGTTTTAAATACACGTAGGAGATTGAAATTTGGTAAAAATACTTGTATTGAAATTAACTAGACGTGATAGATTATTTTCAAAATAATCAAATGAGTTTTTTTTTAATAAGCTTTCTGAAATAAACATTTAAACGAAAATCTAAAAATAAATAAATACGGCACTTCAAATTATGTATTACTAAACTGCTCTTGGAATCGTCTTTCTTCAATCAATGGTTTATCATTGCTTAGAGATATAAATAAAATAATCTTATGTAACCCAATTTCTCGCCTACAACAGTGGCCACCCCCATCCTCAATATCAGCTCTTTTTTTTTAAATTTCTTACATATTCTCTCGTTTTATATTTAGTTATTTGCATAACATTTAAGTATGGAGTAGGCCTACTTTTATCTTTTATTTCCATCATATTCTTTTTCAACGAGATTATTGAAAAATTGCATTGCAGTATTTCCTGTACTGAATTCATTTTAAAAATTGAAAACAAATGAACGTCTAATTTACGTTATGGTCGATAGAAAACAGAACACTATAATTTTTTTTAAATTTACTATAATGATCGATGAACATAATGAATACACATGAATATAATAAATGAGAAAGAGTAAATTATAATACTGATGCACGACAGCGACGTCTAAAATAATTCGCTAATAACAATTGGTACGTGCATATCAATTCCATTATAATGCAGGTTGCTTGTTTTTACTTGTTTTAATTTTTTCACTGTTCAAAAATGCGCCTCCAGTACGCCTTCACCAAATTTAGTAACAGGGATCGGAATAAGGGATTTCACTTAAAATGGTCGATGTGTCATTATATAATATATAATATAATTTTTAGCATTTTCCGTTTTTCATGAAATTCAGAGGGGAGATTTCCCTCACTAAATAATGACACACCGACCATTTTAAGTGAAATCTCTTATACCGATCCCTGATACTAAATTTGACGAAGGCGGAATGAAAGCGCCCTAGGGACCAAAGTTTGGCAGTAATCTGACGAATTCCAGGGTAGTTTCCTTGAAAGGGATTTTATGGTTTCAAGCTATGGAGGGGACTTGTGTGGAGTGTTAAGCCAAATTTGTTGGCATTAAAACCACTTTTTTATCACTTATTCCTGCCGAAATATACTTAATCCAAAAATCAGAAGGGGAGGGAGTAGTTGTTTTATGAAGTACCTCTAATAAACCTCTAAATCTTTTCCTTAGCAATGGTTTGTTGTTGCATACAGATAAAAATTAAATTACTCTCTATATCTAGAGTCAGGAACCACAATAATGTATTAATGAAATAAAGTATTTCTAAATTTAAGACATAAAATTATATTTTTAATATTTACTAATTCCCAGCGAAATTACTTAGTAAAATATAATAATTACAAAAATATAAAAAGTACAATACAATAAACAATTTACTTGTTAATGTTTAGAAGTGTCTGGGAATAGATGATGTTGGACAGACATTCATTAATGTCACCCAACAGATTATATAAGTAGGTCTCTAAGCTTAATTAAATAAATTGTATTCAATTGTATATAATTTATTTATTTAATTTATATATTTTATATTATATGAAAAGATATTTAAATACTACTTTATAAGTAGACACTTAAATATTTGTACTTACTTCACATTAATACTAACAATAACAGATTTATTAAGAGAAACCATAACTATAAACTGTGGAGATCCAAGAAAAGGAAAATAATACGAAAACTCCCCAAAACATAATTGTGGTAGCTTTGAATATAATATATAATTTTCCTTTTAATAACATTATTTTAAAAATTAAACAAGAAAGTATTACTAAAAGTACATTCCTGTTTAGCAATTAAATTAAAATAATAAAAAAATATAATATAATAATAATAATAATAATAATAATAATAATAATAATAATAATAATAATAATAATAATAATAATAAAAATAATAATAATAATAATCATAATCATAATAATCATAATAATAATTTAATAATTGACATAACGGACTGCTGAAAAATTAAGTTTTTATGAGCATGAATTGTATTAACTAATCTCAGGTTTACTGAATAAAATGTATTTTTTTTTTTTAAACTAAATATTGCACAAATTGATGCATTTTTATTTATTACAAATATATTTATTGAAAAACCTACAATATCTCAATTTTTACAATTGTATAAATGGCATTCATCATAATTCATATCATGACATATAAACCTTCACCCAAAAATACTTTTCGTAACTAAGACAATATTTTACAATTTTTTTTTTTTTTTTACAAGGTTATACTTTTATCTTACTGCACTAATTTGCCATGTCAGCTTTAAAGTTTTTGAGTTTCATTTTTATAAAATATATGGTTTTAATAATTGATAGTATATTGTTTTTCTAGCTAATTATATAAGTTTTATTAAATGATTTAAATACAATAAGCCTGACTAATAAAAAATCTAATAAAAATTATTTTATTGAGAATATTGATACATACATGCAATATTGAAACAATAATTAATAGTATAAATTTAAATAGATAGGATTAAAATATTGACCCTAGCAAAACTATTTTATATAATATCTACTATTTTGCTTAATACTATAACAGAAAATACATTATATGTATAAATATTGCCTATCTATTAAAATAAAAAAATTGGAAGAAAAGGTTTCCATTTATATTAATAACATTTTTTTATTAGTGCAATTTACCTAATAAATACTTCAGATTATAAAACAAAAATGTAAAAACTTAAACTGATACAGACAAATAGTATAGCATGATAAAAGTACCACTTAGTATAATAAATACATTTAATAAGTTAACAAAAATTTCTCTCGTGTACTTAAAATATTTGATATTATAAATACAGATCTGTACAAAAAAAAAAGTATATCAATAAAGAATTTTCTAATTTTTTAACTCATTACAATTCATAACATGAACATTGTTTTTTTTTTAAGAAAAACAGTCAACAACATTTGGAACTATGTAAAAACATACATTTTGGTTAATAAATGTATAATACCATATTAATGTTAACAATATTAATTTTATTTGATGTTAAAATAATAATTAATAAAATTTTAAATTTATGAAAGAGATGTGTAATAATTAAAGGACAACATTAACAAATGTAGTAATTATTTTGTATAGATATTTTAATGAGCAGTAAAAGTAATTTAAAAGAATTCAAATACAAGAATAATTATGAGAATATAAATAATTTGTTTAAATTTAAAATGGTTGAATACATAAATTAAAACAAAATCATAAATCCCAAAAAATAAAAATTTAAATTATGTTAGTAATTAAAATAAGCTTATGCTAAAATAATTTATCTCAATGTTAAGATTTTTTTGATACTTAAAATTTTGAATTTATTATGAACATAAATAGTTAATGAGGAACAATAAAAAATACACAATAAGTAAAAATTTTAAAATTGTCCGTTACACATAAAAACTATCAGCTATTCAAACGAAATCTAAGCTTTCAGACTATAATTTGTTGATTTGTGATTCAGTACAATTTTGGTTTCCAGTTTTATATTTTTAGTAAATAAGGTATAAGTTTTAAACATAAATCCTTTGATTAAAATGTATACATTTCATTAAACTAATACACATTTTTAGAATTGATTAAATTCTAAATTGGGTTAAATCATTAATAATATTAAATTTCATAACAGTTTAACCAATTAAAATAAGATTGAATACTTTTAATATTAGTGGATTAATACCACTATTTTAAACTAAACAAAATTAATAAATTAAAATATTTAAATTTTACTTCCATAGATTTGAAAATTAAAAAAGAAATAAATAGGAGGGAGGAGTGCAATTTTAAACTATTTTTGTGTACAATATTTACCTAAACAAATGGACTGAAAGGTAAAAACTTTATTATTATAAGGGATAATATCTGGTTTCTCAAAATATTTAAATATTTCAGCAAGTGTAATAACTTACCAAATGAGTCTATTGCATCATAAAAATAAAACAAAGACTATTAAAAGTTTGATTGGTCATTGAGTTTTAAACTCTTTAGCTATGCTGTAAGAAATAATTTTGTTCCAATCAATTTTTGTTCTAGTCACTGGCAATTGGCGACGTAGTGCCTTGAATGTAGTTTCTGACATAGCTTGATAATTTTCTGTAATAGCTATCTGGTACTCATTTTCTGCAGTTTCTGTTATTTTCAAAACATCTTTAATTGCTAATTCTTCAGACTGAAAAACAAATGTTACCATAAAAATATAAATTAGATTAAATTAATATATATAAATAAATAAAGCTTACTGTAAATGTAATGGAATCTTTTATTTCTCTAGAAGCAACAAGTTGAACATTACCATTTTCATAATAATGTATATGAATTCGTAAAAATCCAAATATATCAATATTATTTGGCCCAACTGTAAAAATCCATTGAGATCTCCAACGGCCATTCCTTTAAATCCAATAATAATATTAAACATTAATAACCATCATCAAAATATAATAAATAATCCCTACATCATTTACTAACCAAAAATTTTTAGCTTGAAATTCATGATCCTCAATGCAAACTGTTATAATAGTTAAAATACCTTCTCTCTTTGAAAAAATACTACAAGTCCCATGTTTGTAATGCAGTGATGTATATAATGTAAATTCTGTTTCAAATGCAGAACGCCAAACTTCTGATTCTAAATCTGGTTCCCAACTCTGTAAATTGTATAATAATTAATTAAGTTGACTTAGGAGTCAGGGCACACTACAAAGTTTTCCAATTTAACAATAGTTTGATCAGTATTAAGCTATGACACAAGTTTATCTTGAACTAAACTCCTTAGTTGTTTGATTTTGTAATCAAAAGGAATTCTCTCTTGCTAAATTAGTAAGTAATTTAGTAAATTGATTTTGTCAATGTGTTTGTGTGCATCTGCTTTCTTAAACTATGTTATGTATCAATCACAAAACTGATCCAACTTAAAATTCTACAGTATGGTAGCTCTTAAATTTTACCAAGCTTTCAAATTAAATAAAAGTTGAGTCACGTTGAGTTTTATTTAAATGATATATATATATACATTAGGGAGGTCCTTATTTTACTATTTTCAAAATTTTCTTCTTGACCCTCCCTGGCCTTATGCTGTATAATAAAAAAAATTTTTCTCCAAGTTTAAAGCTTTTTGGTTATCATATAGTAGAGAGGCACAACTTTTATCCTATTAAGTCCGAAGTTTTTTTTAATTCTAATTTTTTTTATAATTATGATTAAAATTTATTTTTCAACAAAAAAAAGTTGAAATTATTTTTTTTATTTTTCAACCCAATAATGGGGTACTTAATGTTACTATATAGTAAGACCTGGATAGAAGGTGGTCAGCATTTGAAATTATGATCAAATATTTTGTGCTAAAAATTTTAGTTACTATATAAAAGTTACTAAATGGGTATTCAAGGACATAATTGGTTAATACTCAATAACAAAAAAGTTACATGGAATCAATGAAAATAGTATATGAATAACCACAGATTGTGTAGAACAGTTTTTTTTTTTTTTAAAACAAAGAACCTATTTTACACAATACTACTTATTGTGCTATCTCTAGCTACAATATAGCTACAATACTAGTTTTTAGGTCCCTGTAAAAATAGTGATAGTATAATGGTTACAGTAATTACGCTAGCTAGTATACAAGTTTTGATAATAGAACATGTCCAATTTTCCACACCAGTTACCAGCATAGAAATATTTGAAAACAATCAGAATACAGAAAATTTATCAATATACAATGTTATCCCAAATATAAACAATAAACATCAAACAATATAATAAACAAAATTAAATTAAACACCATTCATTTACTTAATTAATTACGTAACAAATTATAATGCCACCAAAAATGATCCTTACTCAACCTTGATCCACTTTTTTACCATGTATTTATTTTTATTTTTTTAAATTTATTGATTAAAATTATGTTGTATCTGATAAGGCTAGCGGCAATGTCACAATTAGACACTTGGGCGCCCTAAAGCCAAATATAAAATGGGATCTCTACCTCAAAATGTAAAAGGTCTTAAACAATCTAAGGTCACCACTCCTTCCCCTCCCACAAGGCAATCAAAACTTATTCCATCGTTAATATTTGTATAAAATTCAAAGCAATTTTCTAAGTTACAATATATAATATTTTTAGAGATCTTTGTAAAAAATCATCTGCAAATTTTTCTACATCTTAAGAAGGATCAATAGTAGAGAAAATATATTCTTAATAGTTAATAATAGTAATATATAACATAAATAATCTAATGTAATTCAAATGCAATAATATGAAATATATATTAAGATATAGATTGAAGTATAGTATGTTTTTCTATGTACCTACCTTTGCATATAGTTCAATTATATAATTTAGTAAAACATTTAAGTCTTATTCTTTATTAAATGATTTGAATTTTACATTCTGAGTGGAACAAAAAAGGTTATAGTTTTACAGATGATAATTTTTTTTTTTGTTCAGTGGACAAATTTTCTAACAGCAATTTTGTTTCGATTTACAATGATAGAACTTCTTAAAGACTGATGGGAAAAATACTTTAAGGAGTTCATTTTTTGAATTTTTTTTTAATAATTGAGCAAAACCGAAAAAAAAAATGTAGAAAGTACAGGAAAATGTATGACAATAATTCTTTTATTATCTTAAATTTAGGTTTTTTTAATGTAATTTAATTTAATGTATTCATAAAAACTTAAAATGTAAGCAGAAAACTTATATCTACTTTTTCTGAACATGGTAAAACTTTCCAGTTTTTTACATATCTTTTATAGGTAGGTACTCTGGATAAATTGTTAAACTAATCAAAAATGTTTAAAAATTAAATAGGAGATTGGTTGCAGGTATAAATTAAATAACTTTATGATTCCACCCTTCCCACTCCACACCTACAACAGTGGCTGCACTCATCCCCAATATCAGTTGTTTATTTTAGATTCTGAGTAGAGCAAAAAAGCTTATGGTTTTACAAAGAAGTTTTTCTTTTTTAACTGTAAACAACTTTTCTCCAAGTAATTTCACTCCGATTTACAATAACACTTTTTCTAAAAGGAAATCTGACTGAAAAGATATTTTAAAATTGGTCATTTTTCGATTTTCCAAGGAATTTTCTCAACAAATGTGAGAAACTGAAAAAATAAATGCAGGAATAACAGGATAATGAATGAAATGTAGAATAGTTAAAAATAAATAAAACCATGCTGGCGAGCTCATGTGTCTTCTAAGAATCATATATATCGCGAAACTTTGAAATGACTAAGCCCCACTTACTGTTTGGATCAGAGCAAAGCGCTTTCCATTCTTTGCTATTAGTTTGACTCTCGCTGCTTTCTGTTTTTATTCACAGACAACCTTCAGTGTAAAGTAGAGACCAAGTAGGCACCAGGGGGAAATACCCCAGTCTACAACCCTGAGCTTTCCTGAAGTCAGCATATGACCCATAACCACAATGTCACTCCTGTGACAGCCACCACAAAACCATTCCTCCCCTGGTCGAGATCCGTTATTTCTATGTTTTAATGATTGTTTGTGGACTTTAAGAACATAGGAATCCAGTTTTTAGTTATAAGCGAGAAATTGGTAAATTAGTAAAAAGGAAATTTAATGTATACCTGTAAGCCATTGCTTACGAAAAAGCGATTCTGAGCGAAGTTCAGTTGATAGTGATGCTTAGTCAACAATATTTTATAGTAAAATAATTAAATGGACTATACATTTTCTTTAATAATATTAATTTATTAATAATGTACTGATTTTTTCAGTTTTTCTTTACGTTTTACCAGTTTTCCCATGTTTTATCCCGTTTTTACATTTGCTAAGAACATTTCAGAGAAAATTAAAAAATAACCTCTGTAAAGTACATTCTTATTGAAATTTCCTTTTAGAAATTTAATATCATTAAAAGTTAGAGCAAAATTATTGTGCATAAAAATGTGCACAGAAAAAAAAATAGTAATATTTCAGTAATAAATTATGTAAATATTCCAGTTTTTTTTTTTCAGTTTTTTGCATTTTATGAGAAAAATATAGCATAGAAAAATATAATATAATATAATGGTGTACAGAATATAGATGTTTTCTTATCATCATTCTTATTTTTGCTGCTAATTTTTAGTACCTTTTATAGTATACATACATTATGGTGTGAATTGAATATAATACAAGTTCTAGTACACCAGATTACACACAATATTTAAAACTAGCTAGTATTATAGAGACAGCACAATAACTAAAAGGGCTTTACATAAGAAATGGATTAAATTTATTTACTTTGATGATAACTATTTTAGAATATGAAATTTATAAACTCGCCTATATGGCATATAAACACAAGAAGTTCCTTATCCAATTTTATTATTGTATTGTTAAAATTATTTTCACTGATCTGTTTAATTTTATTAATTCCAAATATATTAGAACTTATATTAATCAGCACCTGTATATAATAGATACCTCTCTTCATAGACAAATAATAAGGTCCTAACAAAAAGATAATTATTTAAATGTACTTCAATCTGTTAATAATGGAAGTGGAAAACAATATTTCTAACAGACATGATAACAGACAACAATTTAACAGTGAAATGAAGAAAACCAACAAATTATATGTCCCATTACTTTTATATTTCTGAAAATGATAAAATTGTATGGCATGGTCAATAAAGACAAAATAATATATTTTATTATTCTATTTTAAACAGAAACATCATTATACTGAGTGTCCCATGAAAGTATACCCATTGTAATACATTTGAAAATAAAGATAATCATAGATTATAATAGGGATAAGGACTACAAATATTTATATTCTAATTAATTTTTTGTTTTGGTAACTTAAAAAAAAAAAATGTTTAGTTTATAGTTTTAAAAATTTTAAGATAAATTGTATAGTGTTTATTCTTCAGAAAATCAACTTTTTATTTTTATCATGATTTTGAATAATTTTTTAAAGTTCGGAGAAAAGAAGTTTACAGTAAATAATAAATTAATCAGAATAATAATAACCAATTAGAAGATGTGATTAAGCCTAAAAAAATGCAAAATTGTCAGCGATGCTGACAATCGCCCGTCATAAACTTATGTTTAAAATGAAAAATATGATTAAAATACAAAAACAAAGGAGGGGGAATTCAGCAATAATTCGGCTGTCAGAATAATCACCTGACATACATGCGGACTATACATAATAATTTAAAATTTAAAGTATATTTCACTGTTTGTGAGTTTATAATGTGTATTATATAATTAATTAAATATTTATACAATAAATTGTATTATTTTTATTATTATATGAGTGTATGACTATAATATTATGGATACAAATTCAGTTTTAAATTTAATGACAAACTTTTTTTGTTAATTTACAAATGAGCAAAAAATTGAAATTAAACAACTTGAAAGACCAATGCCCAAAAAGGATTGATCAATAGAGCAAAAAAAAAGGTAAAAGTGAATACACTAGTCACTTTAATATAGATTATTATGCAAAACACAAATGATTATGTGGCTGTGACATAAAACTTGCCCTTTTTTGTATTCCTTGCATAGGTTTTGGTGGTAACATTTCTTAGACTAAAACAGGAGTAACTCATTTGGGTCATTTATCAAAAAAAAATTTAAAACAACGGGAATTCATTTATTCATTTAAAAAATAAAGCTAATCTTAGGGTACTTGCTACCATTAATATTTTGGATAAAATGAACTCTGGTTACAAAGTTGTAATACAACATCATAATCAAAAATTCATTAGATTTTAGACAAATTTCTAAACTTTAGAAAACATAATTTACCACTAAGAGGTCACAATGAAAAATAAATACTAATAATAAAGGCGTTTTTCTAGGTGTAGTTGAGTTATGCAAATATTTGGATATAAACTTAAGTAGTCATTTTGAAAATTCGAAAGTGTTAAAGGACTTCTAAAATAATAAAAAACGATTTACTTAAAATAAAAACTGCGCAATTTGTTTCTATAATAGTTAATTATATATTAACAATATATAATTATAATATAATATTAACAATTAGCAGCATTTTACTATGAAATAAAAGGTCAACCGGGAAAATGATTCTGGGGTTTTCAAATGCTGATGGCCACAATGCAAAATCATTAATATCAACAATATTATCTGAAATAAATCCTATTTTAAAAAATACGCTAAACAAACTAATAGCGCAATCGTATGATGGGGCGGCAGTAATGAATAGAAGAAAAGTGGCGTAAACGTTAGAGTAAAGGAATTTTACCCATTCATTACATTCAATGTTATGTACCTCAATTAAACTTAATTATGACTCAATCTTGTTCTCAAAACAAAGAAGTTAGGATACTTTTTTCAAATTTATCAGAAATACCGGGGTTTTTTTTTTTCGAATTCACCACAAAGAGTAGCAGTATTAGACAAATTAGTTGGTGTTCCATGGTTGGTTACCATGGGATGTACAAACTAGATGGAATTTTAATATTTGTTCTGTTAATACTGTTTATGAGTATAAAAATGAAATAATGGAGTACATGAACGAATTAATAGAATTATCCCAACAAACATTAATAATTAATTAGGCAGGATCAATAAAATGTTTGTTAAGCCACTCAGTATTTTTTTTCTCACAAACTATTTTTCATAAAATAATGCCACATATAGACTATTTATATAATAATGTTCAAGCTTTAAATACTCACTCAGTACAAATTAATAGTTCAGTTGAAAAATGTATAAAATAAATAACCAAAATTTGAAATAATGTAACAGATATTTATCGTTAAACTTCGAATATGCCCAATATAAATAATAATAAACCATGTTTGCAATTAGATAAGGATATTAATATATTTCTAAAAAGTTCAGTGCTTGAAGCCTGTGATATATTAATTGTCAAAGCTAAGGATCCTTTAGAATTTACCGAACATTTAACAGCTGCTAACTTATTTAAAGCTGAAAGATATTTGGAATTTTCTAAAATATTTTCACTTAAATATTTTGAATCTACAATTAAATGCTACCCGTTCTTCTATACAAAAAGGTTAAAAACTGAGCTTGAAGTTTTATATTCTCGCAATGACTTTCAAACTTTGAATGGAGTAATAATTATGCTTAAATATATAACAAAAAATGATATGAATGGAATTTTTAACGAAGTTTTTACATTGTTAAAAATATTAATAACAATTCCTATGACATCATCTGAAGCCGAAAGATATTTTTCAACACTCAAAAGAATTAAAACATGTTTACAAAGCACAATTGGAGAATAAAGGTTAAACGATTCAACTAAAACTTAGTATACAATTCTAATTTTCTTAATTTCTAATAATTTAAACACTAAACCCTTTATACAATGGGCGCCTACATAATTAAAGAACACATGATTTTATTAGAACTGAGAGTATCTAATATAGGAAGATTTCACGTAATCACTAATTTATACATAAATGTTTACTTTATATTCTAACCAACATCTTATACATTTTTGTCTACTCTAAATAACAAATCTGAATACTACCCTTATCAAGTGTTAAACCACTGATGTGTACAATGTGTAAATATGACAAACTATAAGTCATGGTGAAAAATACACGAATGTTAGCAAGATAACCAAATTACACTATCTCTATGCATATTATGTCAGTGTCAGCTATATTGCATCTAATATCAATTCGACAACTGTCAAGACACAATAACAATGAAAAAAATTGGTAATAATATTATTTATTCTAAGATCTACAACAGTGATGGCCATATTTTAGGTGCAGTGTTATCTTACTAATACCTGTATTTTTAGCCATACTTTAAGTAGTCTGATCTATTTTTTTTATTTTTAATTATTTCTCTATACAAACTTTGAATAAATTAATCAATTAATTTATTATACTTGCCTCATAGTTAGATGGCTCTTTTCTTAAGTGATCAAACTTAAAAGATTGCTTTGATCTGGGATCGAAAAATCTATTTGATCCCAAGTCATTAAATTTAGTAATTAGAACTGGATATTCACTGTTTTCTATCTTAATAGGTAACGTTTGTTCTTTATTGTACAACGCAAATGCCCTAAAATGAACAACATAATTAAAATCAAATCAAATATTTATTTAAGATACCTACCTATTAGGTAAATACCTAATACAATAGTGTTAACTTACCAACATGTACGTTCTTTAAGAAACGTGTCATTATTCACCAATCCTCGGACATCTTATATAAAAAATAAATAAACAATATTATAATGAATCATAGTTTAAAATAAACTATAGTTTTTTACCATTGAACACCTCATTAAATTCGCCTGGTGGTGAATGAAGAATGAAATCAGAAACTATTCTAACCTATAAACATAAAAATATTTTATTTGTGATACCTACTTGATTGATAAAAATAACTATTAAATAAAAAAAAAATATTTAACAATATTCTAAAAAAAAATATTTGTATTTATAAGTATTGTCTACCTCCTAAGTATCTTTCCATATTAAAATAAAGTGTAGAATTTTAGCATAATTTAAATAAAATCTCCAGAACATTTCAAATACTATTTTTAAAATTAACATAAACAATTTCAAGTATCTTTTGTTATAATAATAAAATATATTAATTTTTTTTTTTCTTAAAAAATTAAAAATAATAAAATAAGTTTTGAATTAAAATTAACGTTAATACTTTTTTTATTTGACAACCACCATAGCGTCCATAGAAACGTGGTTGTCCTCACGACTTTTAAATTTAATTCATACAAACCAGCAAATTGTACAAATAAAAATTTTTTATTATTACTATTATCATCTTATTTATTAAAAACATCTTTTGTGGATTAGTACTAATCACTACTTTATTATATTAAGTATTAATTTTGTTATTATTGTTATCGACTATCACTGTCAAACCGTCCTATGTATACTTTTAATATAAACTTACAATGTAGCTACTCATCACTGTAACTACATAATTCATCATGTTTAAAAAGTTAACAATTAAATACATTGCTAATATTTGTATGGCTGGGAATGTATAATTTTCATAATAAAAAAAAAAAATGTATTTTAATTAAAAAAGCCTACATTTTAATATTTTAATATAAAATCATTAACACAAAAGTGTATAGGTCAATATGTATTATTATATTTCTCATTGGTTAAATTAGGATAATGATAAGTTCTTATCTAGTCAGTAAGTATATTTGTGGTAAGAAAAAAATTTTGTAAATCCATTCGGATAAATGGTTCATAAATTAATCTTTTAAACAATTTAATAATTATTCTAATACATTTAATAAACTCATTATAATACATTAATTTTCTAACCCTATATTCATTGCAATAACCTAATCAAATACATAATTCTAAGGAATTTAGAAAAAGCACTGAAAATTAAGATTAAGAAAAAAAAACGATAAGTTAGGTTAGGTGTATCTCTTTTCTCACTTAAATATTCTTCACGTGTTTGTTTAAATACTATTACTATTTAAAAACAATATATTTAGCCTTCCTCCAAAAAAAAAAAAAAACCAGGAGCATTTTTGGAATGTACAACGGAAGTTATTTCATCGGGGATCAGTAGCCTGTAATTAGCTACTAATATTTGTAATTTTTAAGTAAAATACATTTGAAATTTTTTCCCTTGTTGGTTGATACCGTGTCGTATTTAGCTGATTACCAGTTCTAAGAGAGCCAACTAAGCGATTGATCCAATGAAAACGGCCAAATTAAACAATCTATTTAATTTCCAGCTTCATTTATGTAAACTACTATTAAATATTTGAAATAAAGAATATAGCAGTAGCAGCTAGTAACAGTAGAAGTAGGTAGGACGGACAAGACAGCCATGAATTGTATACATTTTCCATTAAAAATGTATGTACCTACTCTTAAAGGTTGAGTAAGTACTAAATAAATAAAATGGGTATCAACTTTAACTGATCTACTGTGTAATGGTAATATAAAGATGTAAATTAACTTCTTCATTAACAACCAAAGACTTATATTATTATTATATTATATAAATAATATGAATACATTACAATATGAAGTACATTATACATGTTTTTATGTTAAGAAAATCATACCTTTTCCTGGTCTGAAATAGGTTCTTCTCCTTCCATAGCCATGGCGATCTCTGGATACGTTGACAGGAATCACGGTCGTGCCAAAAAATTAAAATTAAAAATAAAACACTAAATGTGGTATACCTATAAGATGAAAAGAAAACAGTTATACGAAATAACCCAATTACAAACGGTTAGTGGTTACTACAGTACTGCCGCCTGCCACCGAGTACCGTGTTTGTTTATTATCACTGCAGAAAAAAAAACAGATTGACACGGGGCGATAGATAATCCATGAACGGCGGAGAGGTGGGGATAAAAATAATAATAAATGATTTCTACAATAATAATAATAATAATATTATTATTAGTTTAGTATTAGGTACCTAATAAAATATCAGCTCACGAGATAATAAAAAGGCCAGACAATTGCTCGTCTCGGAAATACTGATAATAATACAATTATTTCATAATTATAAAGAAAGACATTATTCTTACGGTATACAGGAATACAGGTCAATAACTGATGACGCGCGACAATAAACGATTTTTTAATATAGAACTTTAAAATTGTATAGAACTATAACACTTAACAATGTTATTACTATAAATGTAGGCGAAGGGAATACGAATAACACGATACGTAGTCGATGACAAATAAATTTCTTATTTGTACGCTAGACGCCGAGACTGAAACGGTGAACTAAAAGAGTACACACGCACGCGCATGCACACGGTCAAAAAGTGTTATCGTTTGATACGTTGTTGGAAAAGTTTTATTCTTTAACATTTTAAAAAAAAAAAATACATAATGGTGTTTCATTAATGATATTTTAATAAAATAAATGTAATAATATTATGATTATAACAATAAATAAATCAATAATAATCATATATATTCCAAATAATCCGATTTTCCAATGCTAAAGCGCCACCTCGCGTTTAAATTTACTACTATTATTACGGTACCTATATTGTTTATTCTACCATTCTACTCTACAAAAATTAATTTTTAAGTAACAAGTAACGATATTATATTTAAGGTTTTAAATAAAATAATATTTTTGGTATTGGTAGACAACTGATTGCATATAACTTAATATGGTCAGTTACGCCTATATTATGTAAAAATGTACACAGTATTCCATTTAAAAAATTAAAATGGAACTTGATTTTAATTTTTTTGATGAAATTTTTTTGAACCTAAAAAATTATTAGGTACCAAGGTATAGTCAATTAATAAGCTAATACATTTCAAATAATAACAATTTATTCATATTTAATACCTATTGAATATGAAGGTACTCTGTAAAAAAAACTCAATATACAAACAACCTAATTCTCTCATAGTAGTGCGCAGATCTCGCTGCCAGGGGGGGGGCAAAATATATATTATATATATATGTAATATAATTGAATATTATTTTGGTTATTACTTATTAGTAGGGTTCAGATTCAAAGGCAATATAATAAATATAAAAAAAGCATTTAAAATGTGAAAAAAAGGCAAAAAAAAATCCATTTAATTTTTATAAAAATCAATTAAAAAATTTACTAAAATATTAAATAGATATCAATTCATTTAACTAGTTTGTATTAAAAAAAAATCACTACCATGTATTTAAATAAATTGTCTCAGTATAACGTTGACGGTTTGAGCTCAGAATATTTAGGTAAATAGAAAACGATCGTTTTACGTCCACTGAAGTTATTGGGGCGTATTACACTCATAATTAATAATCTAAATTAAGATTACTACTTATTAAATCGCCATCGTCATCATTGATTCATCACCATTAAAAAGGTATTTATAAGCAAAAAAATTGTTTTTACTGGTAACAGGTGTGGCCACTATATTAGATGGATAGTGGGGAAGGTGAGATACCTACATAAAGTTATATAATTTGTAACTATATCCAATGATAAACCATTGATAACGATTCGGAGCGGTTCGGTCATATATATTTTAAAAGGCCTTAATATTTACGATTTTCGTCAAAATTTGATATTAAAATTTCTTTATAAAAAAAAATACTACATAAAGCTCAAATTCTTTTTTTGACCACAGAGTACGACATTTATGGAACTTCCTGTTAAATTTTCAAGCATTTCTGTTAAGTCTAAGAATTTTATTCATAAAGTATCTACCGAATAAAAATTATGTACAAAACTTGCAAAATGAAAATGTCTGTAATTAGCTCAAGAAAGGATCAAATATTTTGAAAATTTTACCACGTTTAGAAATAGTAAATATAAAATAAATATAAGTTTTCTGGCAAAATGTAAACTTTCACAAAATTTCACTTAGGGATACTTTAGAGAGATCATTTATCGATATTTTTTTATTTTTCTCAACAAATGTGAAAAACTGAATAAAAAACAGGAAAGTACCTATTAGTAAATATTAGAAAATTGATACAACATTATTCAAATATTTTTAAAGAAAATATAATATAAGGCTTATTTAATTATTTACTATAAAACGATATATATTATTGAAAAACCATCACTTTCAACTGAACTCCGCTCAGAATCGTTTTAAAGTTAGCACTGGTTTATCGTTGCTTATAGGTGTACAATCAATTACCAATAACAGTGGCTGCACCCGTCCCCATTATCCTAGGACCTCTTTTTTTTTTTTTTATAACTACAAATATAATATAGTTACAGTTATTTTATTTTTACAAAATATGCTCACCCCATTTGTATGGGTTAAGTATGCATAAATTCAAATTCTGAATTTTGGTATTTTTAAGTGCAGCGAACAGTATTTTTACATAGGTACTTATATTTTTCACAATATTCTGTGGCGATATAACTACTTTGGTTTTTCATATGCAAACCTACATGTTTTGATGCAAATTATCAATCATGATTTTTTTTGGTTTTTGAGAATATTGACACATTTTATTCTAAATACAGACGAAAAGTTTCTTATTATTCTAATTTAAATACTTACTAAAGATAATACCTTTATCCATATATATGGATACTGACTGTTTCACAGGAGTCGTGAATAGACGTTTTTTTGTTTTGAATTGTGCAGTTATTATCCATGAATATTTAATGCATAATAACTAAGGAACTTTGTTCGTATATTAATTACAATATGTCAATATTTTCAAGAAGAATCTTGATTGATAATTTACATTAAAACCTATAGGTTGCATTGGAATTTAGCAAATTCTTTAGTTTTATTTTAATGCCATAATTAAGTAGATAGGTACTAAGGTAGGTATTTTTAGTTGCATTAGTTTTTATTTTAAATTTAAGACTAAATGTTTAAAAAAAAACAAAAGTTAATGACCATCCAATGATTGATAAGGTACTAAATTTTAATTATTTTTAATTAATTAGGTACCTACTTAATGTTCTAATATGATAATAATGTGCATCTTTTTCATTGTTTTCATTATCTATGTAAGTATTTAATATATATTACATTTGATACATTAAAGTCTATTTGTTTTTAATTAAAAAAAAAATATATATTATGGCCATAAGCGAGAGAAATGTCTGGTTATAAAGGAATTTACAAATTCAAAATGAAATTAAAATTTTTTGTTAAATATAACTTACAAAGACTTGAAATTAAACCAAGTATAGGTAAGTTATGTTAAAAAGTATACTTGATTTGATTTGTAGGATTTTTCTGTGATCATTACTAAAATTAATACAATATGATGTACACAAAAAACAATAAATGTGGCCATAGGTGATAACTATATGCTATGTATATGTTGAATATATAACCTAATAATTCATAATGGTAATATCTAGTTTAAAAATTTGGATATCTTTAAAATTTAATTCTTCTGTTCCAATTAACAATAATTTAATTACAATACCTAAACATAAAAGAAATTATATTTTCAGTAGGAACATTGAATTTTGGCATAGATCATGAACTAATGGTACAAAACTGTTTAAAAGTATATCAAAAACAAAAGATTCATAGTACAAGATCAAAAATAATAGATAATAATAACAAATACAATTAATTTATGAAATATACACAAACTTTATTTATATACTCAATACATCTATGAATCAGTTTAGAAATTTTGTACACCTTATATTGAATAGTCTACCTAAAACAATTTGGTTATCTAGATTTTTAGATTAAGTATCTAAATTGTATGGTTTTTTTGGTTTTCTTCGAATTCCGAAATGGAAGTTATTTTGGTCTTTTGTTACTGACATTGCTAACAAATCCCTAATTTATAAATTTTAACCATGAAAAAAATAATTATTTCTATTATAATTTTAATAAAATATAAAAACTCAATAATATATTTGATCAATTCTTGATTAGTTGTAAGTATAATAGTTTGAATATTTAGGTACTTTTACAAATTCCATTATGAGTGTCACACTTTTGTTGCAAATTTGATTGTGATGTATAATTTTGTATAGAATTTGTATCTGATATTTTTTAGCTTCTAAAGTTGAATTATGTATTATAATTTTAACTCCTTAGTTCGATTACATAAATCTAATAACCTTCAATTCCATACGTATAATATAGATGATACGTGTTGAATCTATCTATCAGTAGAACAATTTATGTATAACCAGTAGTAGTGCCATGACATAGTACTTTATTGGTCTAAACGTGCAATAATTAAAAATCAGACATTGAACATTACGGTACTATGGCTATTTAAATGTTAAATACTAGCCGTTTATTTTCGATCAAAAATCCAACATGAGTTCATATAGGTAATTTTAAAACCTAAAACATTTAATCATTGAAAAAATAAGCAGGATAGAAATAAAGGAAAAATAACGGAAACAATAACGTTGACAGTTCACATTTTGGAATATAAAAATAGTCCAGACACAAGACTACAAGAGCCTACAATACAAAATTATGATATTTCGATTTTTAAAATAAAAATTAGTCACTAGCCACTAGGTATATAGACAAATATTTTTATATGACAAGTTATTATAGTAGCACATTTTTGAAGAAATTCAATTCACTTATTTTTTAAATTTAATTATAGATATGTAATAAGTAATAAAGAAACAATTCTTTTGTTTTATTAAATTCATGTCTAAAAACAGGAAAATATTGTAACAAGTTTCTTATCAATTTTCTAACAATTAACTTGGATTAAAGATAATACGAGCAAATTTAAAGTATAAAATAATAATAATAATAATGTATTATCTGCAGATTAAATGTAGTTGTTATCAGCGATGCTATCACTGATATCATCATGGATGAATTAAAGAACATATGGATTCTCTACTCATACCAACCATACATAACATAACCATGTTCGAAATATGCTGTGGTGTGTACACAGTCGGAAGCGTCATGACGCCCTTTGTACTTTGTAGTCATGGCGTCGTCTGCTTATGTCTAGTCGCGTTTTGAAAAAAAACAAATACAAAATCGTTCAAGTATTTTGTTTAATCGCGTTTCTCGTGGCAAATTGCGCGTTCCGTTTATGTACCGAATAATTTCCCCGGTTATTGGTTTTTAAGTATAGTAATGTGTTTTAACTTGTAGTGGTAAAGGTTCTTCTGTTGTATGGTTTGAAATCGGCTGTATTCATATTCACGTGTATACTATAGTGTTGGGTGAATCCATCATGGCCGCCCTAAAAGAAGTAATGCACACTATTAGTTCACAGCGCATATCCAATCAGTGGTTGGAATCAAACTGTGACAAGTCTGGTGGTTTTTTGATGAGGGGACAATATGTATGGTTTGCTTTTGGTGCGAATATTGTCCTTTATTCAAAACAACTCGGGTTCATCTTATCTTCTCGATCATTTGACAGTGACCAAAAGGATAAATCTTTTAAGGTTTGCATTACACACACACACACATATATATATATATATACTTATATGAATACCATGTAATATATAATCTATTATTATGTAGAACAATAATCATAAGGGAAAAAATAAATATTCAGTGGCATGTAGGATTGTGGAAAAAGCCATCCATTGATGACACATGCCAACATGAATATTTACATCTCCATTTTATAATTTATTAATATTACCATAATACTATTTAAGTATGAGTATGTATGCCACCAAGCGAAGTTAAATTATCGCACTTAATTAAATACATTATAAACAATTTCTAATGGATATAAAAAAAAATTAATTGCTTCACCCGCAATATTTTTTACAATCAAATCATATAATATATATACTACGCAATCAATTGTTAAAATAATATATCTATTCATATTATAACAATTTGTTAAATGTACTACTCTTAACAGTTAATTTCTTGATCATATCATTTGAATTCAATTGTATTCAGTAAATCTTTTTCAATATTCAACAGTATTAAACTTTCTAAAATGTCTTTGCCCAATGTATTTCTTAAGTAGTTTTTTTATGTATTTCAACTTTGAAAAACTTTCACATCCTACTTGTGTCATAGATAATACCAGCATTAGTTTATACGCAATAAAAAGACGGATATACATTTATGTGTACATTGTACTGATAGAGGAGCTACTTTAGGGAGGTTAATTTTATTTTTCTCATGAGTTTTCTTAATAAATTGGAAAAACAAGAAAATAGGTACAATATTAAACAGATATTTTGAAGAAAATTTATAATGTATATGTAATTGTTTTACCATAATATGACATATGTATAGTTGATAAAACAACACTATCAACCGAACTTCGCTCAGAATCGTTTTTTCTTTAGCAATGGTTAATCATTGCTTACAGACATACATTAAATTACCTATAACAGTGGCTACACTTATATCAATTATACTAAGATATCAGCTTTTTTTATTTTACTGACAATTTTTATAAATTTTGAACAGCCCTACCTGAACTAAATTTTTGAATACAGCCTGTATATGGTTATCAATGCGTATTATGCAGAGTCCCTTAATGGATTATACAATTAATATTACAAATACCTACTCATTAATATTGTACAGTCGCCGGCCATTACTCTATTATAATAAAAATTACAATTTCATTTTTAAATTTTTGAGATTGTGGTCCATTGGGACCTTTGAGTGTAATATTGATGGGGGTCTACTGGGAAAGTTCCGATTTGCAAATAGGTCTATCTGCCTATGCTAAAATGTATTTGTGGAAATTGTCTGTGTTGGAGAGTAAAAGTAATGTGGACAGATTTGTTTTTATTGATTTTGACGTGCCAGTTAGAGTACCATTTGGGATAGATTATTTAGGTGATTTTGGAGATAAGCTAAGATTACAAAAAGGTCAGTATGGAGGAAATTATTTTGTATTCATATGGGTGTGTTAATTTACTGATTATGTATTAAAGAGTGTTGGGGATGTAAGTGCATTTTAAGGAACATCAGCTAAAAATAGGAAAATACGTGAAACTTTTGTTCTGGCTCTGATAGCGAAGTGACATTTGCTTAGGTATGATTTAAAAAATAGGTAATATAAAGGGGTATTTTTTTAAATTAAGCTAGTAGTTTAATATATTATTTACTGTAACTTCATTGATTTCAGAAAATCTGATTTTGGTTCATTATACTTACTATTTTGTAGGTACCTATACTATATTAGAGTGGTACTTATTTTGCCAATCTCAAATTTCTTCCAGGATACCCGCCCATCTTGTGCCATTAAATAAAAATTTGAGGTCATTTGGATAATATTTAGTGGAGGTGCACAGAGTTTTAATATTTAATAAGAAAACATTAATAATATAAATGAAAATTTTGTGAAAAATCTAAGTATACCCAAATGTACTTAAAAATTCCGAAAATCAGAATTTTAATTTATGCACAATTTAAATATACAAATGGAATGAGCATAATTAAATCTCTGTATATTATATTATATCTTCATAAGTATAAAAAAAGATTATGTAAACAATAATTGTTCTTAAAAATTATCCATATCTCCTCCCCATCCCATTATAAAATCATTTGACCGTTACTGGATTTATTAGAATTTTTTATTTTGTTTTTCATAAAAAAACAACCTATTTTAATGTCTTTTTTTATACCACATACACAGGGATTAGATTTTTTAAAAGTTTCAGAATTCAATTGAAACTTAATGAAATTACCAACTATTTCTACACTAAAATGGTTTTAGTTATAATATTAATAAATTACAGCCAAATCACAAATCAATATAACGCCAACCTTGGATACTTGAAAAATTTTGCAATTCAAATTTAATTTTGGCCCCTAAATATTCTCATAAAACTCAACGTATCTATCTCTCGAAAAACAAAATAGTAATAAACAGCTTATTAATTTTTTAGCGTCTTCAATTAATATATTCTTAAGTGTGGTATCAAAAAAAAAACATTAAGATTTTAGGATTAAAATATGTCCTTTGTTTTTTTATTTAAAAATTAATTCTAAATGACCTATAATCCGTTGTACACTATTTTCATTGATTTCATGCAATTTTTTTGATATAAAATATTAAAAAATTGTGCGCCTCCACTAATATTACCCAAATTACTTCAAACTTTATAGATGTTTATAAGTAGTTTATAAAGAGTAGGGTTCTACCCATAGTAAAAAAAAATAGAGACTGATTTATTTTAAAATTATGTTATTTGTAATACATGAATGAAAATTTGTGGTGTTAACTCCATTTAACTTTTAAAACTACATACACTGTATTATGATGTCCATTCATAACAATTTGATTTTATTTTTTACTAAGAATTGATTTATTACCTAATTTATTAAAAAACTAAAAAATAATAATAATTTGTTACCATACTTGTTATCAAACAAGATAGCTACACTTGGCTAACATAATTTGATAAGCATTTATAATAGATTATTTATTTGTTTATTTATTTTAAATTATCCCTTTATTGTAGCATAAGTAATAATAATAATCAATATAATTGTTTTTTTTTTATATAAATTTGTAATTATTTACCTATGTAGTATTTAAGAATCTATATGAAATTTAGATTCTTATTTGTAATTTTATTTTAACAAATTATTTTCTTTGTTTTTATTTTTTTTTTATTTTAGATTACCTCTGTTAAAGAATTATATAACAACAAAAAAACAAATAATTTTCTTTTGGTTGGATGTTCTTTTAAATCTTCTGGGAAATTATTTGTATGTCAATTGCCCACTTTGACTACAATTCGGTGTATTGAACTACCATGGCCGGTATATTATTTTTTATCTTAATTTATTATTTTTGTATTTTAAAAATGTATTACATAAAATAATGTATATTTAGATATCTTATATTGATAAAATTAAAAATAACTCACATACTGAAGATCAATTTTGTGATGAATTTAAATTAATGTCTACTATATTGCTAGTTGGTATGGTAACAGGAGCAGTTTATGCAATTGATTTAAGACAAGATGATATTGAAGAAGGTAAGCTGATCAAATATTATATTCTTATATTTTATAGCTACCTAATTATTTCATAAATAAAAGATCAATTTTAATTTAAAGAATTAAGACATAATGGAGTTATTGTAAATGAATCACGACCTAATAAATTACTTATGATTAAAAAAAATGATTGCCAAGAAATTAAAGAAATGCGTGGTGATACTAATTGCCATCTGGCTATGTTTATTAATGGTAAAGTTAAATGAATAAGTAATATAATTTATTGTTAAAAGAAATTGTTATTAATTATTATCTCATATCTAGAAAAATTTCATACCTACTGTAAAAAGCAATTCACTAACAAATTGAAATTAAGTGTATCTTGTCTAATGTTCATTGAAGAAATTAATACTATTGCAATGGGTTTCTCTACTGGACATTTCCAACTATGGGACTGTAAAATTAAGCGTACAATGTATGTATTTTATAAACATAATATATTTTTTGTTCCAAAATATTAGTTTTTATAAATATGATTTTATGTGATAATGTTTATTATTTATAAAGATAAATTCAGGTAATTGTATTTTTATTTTCTTAGATGTTCACTAGAAGAACCAAATTGTTTTATGCCAATAACTCATATTAGTTTTCTTGAACCATCTGATGATCCAAATAACCTATGTTATCTTTGGGTTATTCAATCTGATAATTCTAAGCTCCCAAGTGCGACTATGATTGGATTAAATTATAAACATAGAATTATGATGCCCAATGGTTTTTCATCATACAGAGTTAGTTACTTTTTAAAATTTTTACAATGTTTAATACTAATCTATGTCTATCTATAAAAAGACGTATGCAGGAAATGGTATAAAACTACAAGTTAATTTAAAAAAAGAATCTGGAATTGGTCGTTGTATTTCTGCATTTTCAATGTGTAACATGAATCCATTCAGAGATGAAAATGGTAACTTAATAATTTGTATTATAATTAATGACTTAAATAATAATTTTAGATTCTGGACATAAAGAGGAATGAGTTGGTTTTACCATATGTGTATGAACAACTTTTCTATAGAAGTCTTGTTCCACTCAAAAGCTGATTAGAGATTTTTTTGTAGCAATACAGATCTTATAGTTGCATTGGGAAAGTTGGTTTTTGATTTTTCATGTAGTTTTTTAATGACTGAGAAAATCTATACGAGAAAAGTGACAGTTAAAAGCATTGATAGTTTAATTATTTTCAATTTGGTCAAGGCTAAATGTTTGAAAATTTAACATTATCATAAATTGTATTTGATGGTAAAAAAAAAAGTTGAGCATTATGTAGGTTTTTATATAAACTACTTAAGTTCAAATTTTGGTGAAAAATTAGAGGCATTTTTTTAATATGTTAAACCCAAACTCAGAAATGTATTTTATCTGCATTGTTCTGTAATGTATCCATTATATATGGATATAAATTAAATAACTATATATTTTAAATCAAGGATGCATATTTTGTTGTTGTTTTATATAAGTTATGTTTTATAGATATTGATGAAGATTCTGAAATAAGGTTATTTTCAATGTTAATTGAAATATGTCGGAATCCAAATGATGATCCAGAATGTTTTGTTTTTGTTTTTGATATTAATCAGTGGTATAAAGCTCAGATGCCATCTGTTATAAGCCATCTTAAAGTGTCTAATATGTATGCTAGTTTTGTGAAACTGCCTCACAATGCTAAATATTTAGATTTCAATATTTCGGAAAAATCATTGCGGCCATTTGGTTATAACTTTGGAAATAATAACATAGAAGAACTTTACTATCCATCATCTATGTATTTTGGTAATTATCAATTAGGCTTATGTTTTGCCCTATTGTGAATTGCATTATATTTACTTACATATTTTCTTTCTTTAGAATGTGATTGTTTAGTCAAAGATGAAATAATAAGTTTTAAACATGCTGGTATTCAACAAGAAATTTTGGATCAGTTGCTTTTAAAAAGTTGGAAATTATTAATAAATCCAACTCTGGTATTTAATCAGTGTTTACAAACTAATTTAAAGCCATTTTTTTGGGATAAGACAGATGATTATGTCAATTATAGTTTGGTAATAATATTTATTATGCCGGTTCATTTTTTCTATAATTTATGTTAAATATCATGTTTTTAGCCTGACCAAAGAAGTTTTTTAATTTCCATATTAGTAGAAAACAAATTAATGTCTGTAATTAGTGCATGTGCCGAAGAATGGAAAAATGGAACATATATTTCTAGTGAAGCTACTATATTACATCTAGTCCAATGTTTGTGGAAGCATGTCATGGCTGTGAAACAATATGCTGATAAATTATGTTAATATTAATTTCATTAATTATATTATATTCATAAATTACTAGTGAAAAATTTTAATTATTTTTAGGTGTTCCGCTATTTGACTATTCTGGTACTCAGATGGACAAAAAAAATCAAAAAATATTAAGTTATTGTTTGTCACAGATGCAATGTGTTAAACATTTCCTTGAATACTTAAGCAATGCATATGGAGCTAATATAATTAATGGTATTTTAAATTATAATATAGTATTTTAATATTTCACATTTGATTTACATTTATAAAAATAATTCATACTCTTGGAAGAATACTGACACAACTCAAAAAGTAAGATTTTTGAATAAATAACCATCAAAATATGCAAAATGTCATTCTTTTAATTTTGTATTCTTGAATGTTTTTATTTAATTAATATTCAAGATAGTATGATTTGAATGTCTTTATGTCAGCTTAAAATAAATTATAGTTTCCAGCCTAAATAATGACATTTCTAAGATGTAACTTTATTCTGAACTGCCATATATTACAAAACATTTTTTTAATCAAAATAAATTCTTATTTCAAAAGTAACACTTTTATATGAGAACAATTTTAGTAAACTATGAAGAATTAAAAAAACATTAATAGTAGATTTTCCAACATTTTCATATTTTTATTTGTGTCACTATTTTTTCAGGAGTATGAATTGTATATAATTTAGAGGTATAATATGCATGATGATTATATTATATGACTTTTATTTATCACTGGAGTTTGTAATTGATTTTTTAAAGTAAAATTTACTTAAATAAACTGAATCTTAATTTAATAACTGCTGTAAAAATTAAAATTATTTAATATTTAAATTTAAAAGTTCACACTACATTTTTTTAATTCATTTGAAATTTATTACTGTGTATTTATTATTTAAAAATAAAGGTGTTCCAATTCGATAATCTATATAAGTTATGTTTACTTAATTTAATGAATATTGTTATTTTATTTTAGTTGATTACTCTTATCGTGTGTTCACATTAAACTTGGTTACGGAATATTTTAAAGCAGTTATATGCTTTCTGAATTATGGCCTTTTACCAGAATCTCATGAAATAGATTCTATCAATCATATTATACAATGTGATTTTACATCATTAATACAATATGCTGTTAAGCGGTATGTTATTAGTTCAAATAACAAACAAAATGTTTATATGAAATATTTAAATTATTTTTAGACGGACTGAATTTGGAAATTTGAAATTTTACTTAATTGATGCAATTGTATATAATGATCCTAAGGGAAATAAATTAATTGAACAATGGCAACACGAAGGATGTGAAATAACTAAAGGCTTGTATCCTCCATCTAATGTTCAATGCCTCCTGAGGATTTATTTAAATGCAGCTTTAACTGATACAGTGAAAAATTTCATTACTATTTATTTTTTGATTGATGTCTGCGCTTCACTGAAGTTAGTGATTATATTTGTTAAATTTATTTAAACTAAAATTTGCATATTTTAGCTTGGATATAAAAGTTGCTAATCGGATGTGTAACTTTGCTCTTGAATTTGATGTTGAAAATAAAATATTGAACACATTATGTCGTGCAAGTTGGTTATTTGATCATGATATGTTTGAAGTAAATTTTAATTGTATTTATTAAGAGTTATAACATTGATTAAATATATATAGATAGCCCAAAGCTATGCAAAATATGTAATAGTCATAATTAGTACCATAAATTCTCAAACAATAGCATTAGCAATTTTATTAACAAAAAAAAATTATAATTGAAATAAGATAGGCAGTAGAATTATTAGAGGGCAAGAGAAGACCACATTATTTTGCAGACCATCCAGTTTAAACATTGGACTTGAGATAAAAGTAAACTCCAATAAGAAAACAACCTTTTGTGCATTCTTGTCAGTCTTATAATTTATAACATTGATGTACAGTGGTTTTTTACTGTTCATTGAAAATGTATAATAATGTATTATAATTTCATGTTTTCTTAGTTTTTTGAAAGGTCAATAAAATATTTTTGTCTTATTGAAAAATCTTAAAAATTATACGTTTCTCATATATTTCTTTTCCATATATTATAAAAGTTATGCGTAATTTCGTAAACAATTTTTATCATTGTTTCTATTTTACATATTGACAAATCATAAATATTATGGCCATAAGGCTTTTCAAAACATCTGTAACCAACTGCTCAGAATAGTTTTTTTTAGCAAAGATTAATCTGTGCATACTGGTGTACATTTTATGTCTTAGATTCTGAGCAGAGGGGGGGAATATAATGGTTTTAAAATGATGTTTTTTTTATTATTTTATGTGTACAAATATTTTTCCAGAAATCTTGCTTCAATCTCCAAGTATAGAACATTTCTAGAAAGAAATTTCCTTGGAGTGATACTTTAAGAAGGTCATTTTTTTAAAAACAGTTTTTTACAAGAATTGAGAAATAATGAAAACATTTACAAAAATTATGCTTTTGTTGTAATTAAATTTAAAATTAAACTAGTGTCATTAATTTTAACACCAGTTTGATTTTTAAGGGGAAATTTACATGGGTTTGTACCAACAAATTTCTTGATGATTACCATTAGAAATGTAATAGTGTCGAAAACTGCACTTTCTGATTTCAAAATTCAAACTTATTTTTGAGCTCCAATTTTCTTGATTTCTTATTGATAATTTTTAACAGTACATTGAGCTCTATGTATATTTAATTAATGGTGATAGCTACTATGTTTAAACTATTTTGTTTTATTTATTTATTTATTTTTTTTTTTTGTGAAGGATGCTATTAAAGTATTATCAAATGATAATGATTGGTCAAAAATTGAAAGTAAATCATGGAATTGGTTTCATTGGACTGTTTTGAAATTGCTTGTATTTAAAAAGGAATATTTTTGGGCACAAATTTATATGAAAATCACCAAGATGGAATTTGTGAATGTTGAAGAACAGAAGTAATCCAAACATAATTAGAATAATTGTTTTTAACAATGGCATAGTTTAGAATAGATTTTAGGAAGAAATCTATTGTTAAGGGATCAGGTGCCAGCGAGTTTTTTGCTCATTACATACATAATGGGAAAATTTTAAAATCCAGCAGTGGACCCCTCAATCATTTATGACAAAACTTTTAACCTTCTCCCTAACTATTTTGATGCTAAAATTTCATGTAGAACATGAAATATCCTTACTAGAAATTGAAATATTGTATAGTTGTGATGATAGCTCTGCTGCTTCAGATGTATGTTTTTAAAAACACTCGTTTTAAATTGAATGTAAAATAAATTTTCAAGTTTAATAATAAAAATAAAATTACCAATTAAAAAAAAAAATATTTAACTTCTTAGTTATTCTGAAGAATATAAATATAGCTTTTATTCATATTCAGCTTAAGAAATCTTCAATTATTTATTTACTATAATTTATTTTGTTTTCAGATTTTATATAAACTTACAGATCATGAATAATAAGTCATTTGATGTTTTTAATTTTATCCATGCAAGACCAATTAATAAACATATATTATATGAATATCTTTTTGATCGTATGTTTCATGAATATTATCACCATAATATATATTCAAATTATAAATTAATGTTTTATATTTGTATGTTTGCAATATTTAGGACTCAAAGAAGTTAAAAATTTAAAATGTTTGATAGAATATCCTTTTGAATGTGATGAAGAAGAACTATTCCTTAATTATTTAAAACGATTTAAAGACATGGCAACAATTACTATTAAACTATTATTTTTATTACAACGAGGAAGGTAAGTTACACTGGAATGACACCTATTATGAAAATATATGTTTTCCCTTAAATTATATGTTTATAATCTGAATAATGAAAGAAATGTATTAGTTTATAATGATGTGTTTTTTTATCTGTTGATAAGTTTTTATACTAGACAATTTGCCTGGATTATGCATAGAAAAAGTTATTTTTTGATTTTATTTGTTGTGAAAAAATAATTTTAAATACTTGACATTTTTAACAATTACCAATTATATTATTACTAATTGAAATTTTCTAGTTTTATGTTGATAACAATATTGTAATTTCATTATATTATTTTTTTTTTAAATTAAAATTTGTTAGATTAACATCTATAATTTATTTACTAGTTATGAATTAATACAATGTACAATTTAAATCATTCATAAGATATTTAATTTAACTGTAAACAATCTTCTATCGGTGTTAGTAATTTATTGTTCCTTAACATGGCCTACACAGGATGCTAAGTGTTTTGTTTTTTTATTTTTTTTATGAATCTGTCAGTATTCAATACAGATGCCTTTAAAAAATTTAACTATTCATAATTTTAAAAACTAAAGTAAAAACAAAATTATTAAAATGGCAAATAATCATAAATAAATGAATGAATGTGTCTTCTGGAGTATTATGATAAGTGTATTATACTTTTCTACAATCCTCCTTGAGTTTTTTTTTATAATTTTTGTGAAAACATTCAGTAGCTCTAACTATGACAAAATCTCTATTTTTTTAATAGATGTTGTATTAGCAATGACTTTAACTTTAATTAGAATTAAACTTTAGTGCAGATGCTAAACTTGGTTTAGCTCTGTAAGGTTCTTCATTGTCAGAAAGGATGAAAAACTGAAAACAATTCAAAATTGATACATCTGTATGAGCTTTAAGAGTAATTGAATGAACTCAGTTACTCAGATTAAAAATTTGACATTTTGTGGAGTTCATTCTATTACTCTTTAAGATCGTATATGTACAGATCACGTGGACACCATACTGCCAGCAGTTCTAAAACCTGTGACAATACTATACTTAAGAATACAATAATACTTGGCTTGGCTCCTGTAATTTTTTTTGTATTTAGTTTGCTAATATTATTTTGCTTAGTTAGTCTGTACATTTTTATATACACCACTGGCGCATTTTTTAAAAATGCACATAGAGTTTGTGGTTTCACAGTACCTCACCATGCTGTGCAAGTGGAAGGAGATGGTTCCTACTCTTTTTATTCATTATTGTATCTCATGTATGGCACTGCCTCACATGTGCTTTGTTTATAAGCAAGAAATTTGTTGTAGAACACATTTGTAAAAACTGACAATGGTGGTTTGAACTGTACAGCATGATGTAGTGTGATAATATTTACAGACAGATCATGTGTCCCTGCATACCACTTATGTAACTCTAATGTTATACTTATGCATTTAAGTAAATTAATAAATTTTGCAATAATTAATCGCTAATGTATTAACAATCAAGTTGTGTATTTTTAAAATAATTGTAATAATATTATGAAAGGTGTTATTTATTTAATGTTACGGATTACCATAATAACATGGATGAAATATAATATAATTTTAAAAATATTTTATGTTATAAAACCGTCCATGAGTGGATTGGTGTAATACAGCTAGTTTAATTTATATTTTTACACAACAATAATTCACTGATAAAGAAACTGTTGAACCAATTACACAACTCATCACATCTAAAGTTGATGATTGGGAAAATTGATTTTTCGTAGAATAGTTTTTCATAAACAGACAAAAAAACACATACCTAACTGTAACATTCCTCATTATGCTCATAATACAAAATAATCACATTTTAGGTATTTAGAAGCAAGTGAACAAAAAAAACTATTTAGAGGCAACAACAAATCAAAATGCAATGATGCACTTGCAATAACTAATCTTTTAGTTAATGGATTTGATAAATGTACACCAGATATAATGAAAAAAAAATACATTTGCCCTCCAGTTAAAAATTTGTATAAAAAAACCGGTTTGTTTTATTTTTTGTACATTTTTTTACAATCTCATATTTTAATTAATTAACTTAAATTTTTAAATGTTTTAGATGTTGTTTTAAAATATGTAAATTCTGATAATAGAATATTCAATATAATAGAAGAGAAAAACGATTCAGTAAAAATTAGTGATCCGAGTATACAATCAAATCCTATGTAAGTAATATTAACTACATTATTCTTTATTGAGTTATATTAGTAAACATGCATGTCTATACATAAATTATTTTTGGTTTTTATAGTAATCTTATTATACCATTACATAATGATAACAAGAAGAGGTCTCCAACATTTGATATAGTTCCTATTTTAAAGCGTAAAAAAATTAATGATACCACATGTTCGCCAAAAGCCATTGATGATATTCCTAAACCAATGATTCAGAAACAAGAACTAGAAATTCTCAATACACCATTAGTTACAAAGAGTATTAGTCAGACTTTGGTTAAAAATATTTCATCTATATTAAAGGTAATAACTGATAAATAATTATATTTTTAATATAAACATTGAAATAATTCAAAAGTTGTAATATTGTAAGATAGACTTTGTTAAAACATAAAATAACATTTTCAAATATCAAGATAAGACATAATAATAATGTTATTAAATGTTATCTAGAAAAACAAAATAAGACTATATGTGAGTGACTATTATAAAATCAACTCTCATGTATGGTTGTGAGGCTTAAAAAATCAAGCAAATAGAAACTTGAGGACTTTTGGAGAACAGAGTATATAGGGAACTATGTGAACCTATTATTGATAGAACAATGGGTGTATCTGACAGAGAAAATTATAATAAAGAGTTTTACAATATTTTAGAACTAATACTAATAATGAGTTTTATTAAGAACCAAAGAATATAATGGTTTGGTCACATAATGAGAAGGAAAAGACAACAAAGTTACAGTAGCTTTGGAATGGAATCCATAAGGAAAGAGACCCTAGGAAAAAATGAATTGGTGTGGTGATGGAGGATCTAAAACTGTTAGGAATTGACTGGAGAGAGGCATCTCAAAATAGAGATTGATGGCGGAAGTCTATTAATGTCTGTTAAAATTATTAGGTGTAATATTTTAAGCTTAAAATAAGTCAAATAGACATATAGTTGATAGTTGTTACCGGTTGATAATTTTTATTTTTATATTTTTCTATAATAATGAAAAATATTTGTGTCCTTTCTATATAAACCTCACTATTAATTAAATTATCTGGATTGTGGTGACTGAGGTAGTCTTCCCAAATTACTAATTTCATTCTTTTCTATTCCTATCAAATAAAAAATACATAAATAATCAAACATCATCAGGTAACTTAGCTAGTCTTTATAATATAAATAATGATTAAACGAAAATAATTGTTCATTCATATTTTCATATTCTATGACTTAACTTTCTGATATAAAATCGGTGCTCAGTAGTAATAAAATATATTTTAGAAATTAATTGTCAATTTAAATTATATATTTTTAGACAAGCTCTGCTAAAAAAGTTAACCAAACATGTTCAATAAAATCTGATACCATTGGATCAAAAACCTCATTAAGATTCAGTTTACCTGGTAATAATAACACTCAACCAATTGAACAGTAAGTTATAACAGTTATTTTTAAAAATATTTATTCATAATATGTAATTTAATTTATTGCAAATAAAAATTCTAGTTAATGCCTCCTTTACATTCAGCCATTGCCACTGCTCCTCATGCTGTCTTATTAACTTCCCAAAATAATTTAGTGGCAGCAGTGAGTCTTTACATTGCCTTGCTATTTTTACAGCATTATCAGCAACTTAACATGTAGTGATTGCGTGTTTACATTCTACTAAATCAGTTACCACCAAGTGTGTGTTGTACTCGTACTATTTGCATATTGTTTTTTTTAATTTTACGTGCCTATATCTCAATTATTGACTTTCAACATTCCAGCTGATTGGAGCAAAAAATCAATAATACAATTATTAAAACTGTATGAGACTGAAAGAGTCATATAGGATCCCCAATAGACAAAAATCATAAATTAAAACATAAAGTACATGAAATGTTTTTTTTTTTTAAAACACTCACATCATTTATATCAGCAGACAGAGTGCCGAATTGCAATTATTTCAGTATTCTCCATTGAGTGAGGTTGAATATGAGGTCAAACAAAGTACACACACACACGAAAGTAAAAAAATCACAAAAATTACGTGCACATAACTGTCTTCTTCGCACAATTGTGTGATAACTGCATTTGAACAGAATGTAAGCATGTACACATTGCTGGTTATATTTCTACTTGCACTGCTCAACTTACAGCAGGGATAATACAAGGAGTATGATCAGTGCGAGTGATGTGCTTACATACTCACCCTGCTGACTTTCATGCCCACTTCCCTGCTTACTGCCAGGAAGTGAATTGAATGTAAACAAGATATAATAGGAAACATGTAGGGATATTACAAACTGTTTGATTTTTGATCTAAATTAAACTGAAAAATTAAAAATAATTGAACCAAACCAAATACCCAATAGTTTGTTTCAAAAATCATTCTATGCCCATTACAATTATCATTACAGTTCATTATGTGTAATGTAGCATGCAGCATCAGTATGAGAAAACCATAGATACAAAAATAGAGTATTTGGCTATTTTATAACATTTCTGAAACTGTTGATTTTTTTATGTTCAGTTGAAGTTTGATAAATATTTAAAAAAGTTTGATTTATTCTGTTTAGGCTCTTTAATATTAAGGAAAGTTTGGTTCCTGATCCGTTAAACCTTTGAGCTGATCTGGATTTGTATCATTAATTTAAAAAAAGAACTGGGAATGAGTCTGGCCATTGTTTGTATGTAGGTAGTTGGGAAAGTTGAATATATTAAGTTATTTAATTTATTCCAACTATAAACCATTTTAACAAAAAAATAATTATTCATGAAGTTTAGTTATACATGTTTTGAAAAGCCATAATATTTACGATTTTCATCAAAATTTAACTTTAAAACTTTATAAAAAATATTATATTACACTCAATTTGTTTTTTCACCACCATTTACAACTTATAGTGAACCTTCTGTCAAATGTTCAAGCATTTCTGTTTAGTCTTAACAATTTTATCCACCAAGTTCCTACCAAATAAAAATTACATAAAAACCAGTGAAGTTAAAATGTCTATAAATAGTTTGAAAATCTCACAAATGTTTTGAAAGTTTTACCGTATCTAGAAAAAGCAAATATAAGTTTTATGCCCAAATTTAAAATAATTTTAAACTGAATCACAACAAAAACCAAAATTAAAAATTATATAAGTATTAAATCATAAATTGTTCTGTTATTTCTATGTATTTTTCGGGGTTTGATTTTTGAATCATTTTAATAATAACATTTTAAACTTGTACCATGTTAAATGTAATACCAGGCTAGTTTAAATATTCTGTGAAACTTTCAAGTTACTATAATTACTTTTAACTGAAACTGTTGTATAATTTATCTTAATTTTTTTCTAATTATTCAGAAAACCAAATAAACTATTCCTTGTATATATATTTATATACAGTAAAAGCTGCTTATTAGGAATACGGATAATTGATACAATTGCACTATTGGAACAAAATGTATATGGATGGACTTGTTGTATATTAATAACTATCTTTTATTAGAAAAAATCGGGTTCACTTCTGTCTCAAAGTGTTCCTAATAAGCTATTGTATATAAGCTACTGTATATAAAATAACATTTCTTGACTGACTGATTCATCATCGCCTAGTCCTGACCACTGGACAGATTTGGCTGAAATTTAGCACACAGATAGCTATTATAAATCCGCTAAGAAAGGATTTTTAAAAATTCAATTTGTTTTAATCAAATGGTACCTTGGTGATGATAATTTGTTTGCTATGGAAAAGAAAACTTATAATTATTATTATTACTATTATTTACACTATTAAAATTTCACAATAGAATACATTTAGTCTATCGAAGTTGGACTACCCGCTTCCCACCTATTAGTTTTCATTCAATTCTCAAATAAATATGGGTAAAATAATTATAATACAAATTGGCATGGGCAACACTGTGCGTGAATAAACTATTATTTATATATAAAATAACTTATCTTGATTGACTGATTGATTCATCATCTAGCTTTATGAGATTTTAGTACGGTTATTGTGAATATGGTGGCTGACATTAATTCAAATTTTGATTCAAGTTCAAGATTTAAATTTAAATATGACACGTTACAAATACCTGTTCCTATAAATCTGGGATGATCAACTGTGATTTTAATACTGTATACCATAAATCTAGGTGCAATAATCTAACATATTTTTTGTTATTTTTTCTTATTACCTTAATATCAACGAAAGTATGGTTATTATTGTTGAAAAGTGTCATAAAGCTATTACAGATAAATTGATTATTTTAATTTATAAAGTTTATTAACACAGAGCTATACTACAGTAATATATGCTATATTTTTTTTCAATATATCTTGGATAAGAATTCTCTTTGAAATATTAAAATATAGAGTTGTTTTGCTAATTTTTGGTTGTCACAATACGCAGGCATTAAGTAAAGACATCTACATACAACCTATAAATGTAATATAAAAACTGATAGAAAAAAGTTGTAGGTAATAAAAAAAAACTGCACACAGTCAAAGCTGGGTTATTTAGCTAATATTATTGTATTATATATGTGTGTAACTTATAATTTTATTTTTATAGAAATATTATCAAAGAGATCGTGGAAACATCAAAAATTGATAATCAACGAATTTACAGCAATAAAAACAGAAATGATATAGTTAATAAATCTATCGCACAATCACTTAGTTTGAATGAAATATTAGAAGAGAATTCTAAAATAGACCAATGTAAACCAATGGAAATTTGTGCAGAATTTGAAATTAGTGACATTTTTCATCCAAATAGTAATATTAATCAAATTAATCACAATTCGTTAAATAAAAAAGTTATTTTGTTATCAGATAAAGAAGAGGAAAACATTAAAAATAACACTAAATTAATTCCTGAAACACCCAATTGTTCAACTTCTAAAGCATATCTATCTGATTTGACATCTAATGAGAAAACAGATAACAAACAGTTAAATGTACCTGGAAACACAAATGAAACCTCTCATCAGCATTCAACAAATACTGTTTTTAAAAATGATAATGTACAGTCAAATATACAAGACAATTTATGTAATAAATCCAAATCTTTTATTAAAAACATACCAGTTATATCATTAGATTCTGATACAGAATCTAATTGTTCTTGCTCTGTAAAAACAAATGGAAATGGTTCATCCACCTCTGGGGAAGTAAGTGAAGAACAGAGTATATCTTCTGATGAGCAATCAGTAGATGACGAACAAAGTGTATATTCTGATGAGGAACAGAGTATATATTCTGATGAACAAATTGATAATAAACAGAATACAGATTCTAATATACAACTAATAGATGATGACCAGACTACAGATTCTGATGTGCTACTAATAGATGATGACCAGAATACAGATTCTGATATGCAATTAATAGATGATGAATCAGTGGATAATGGCCAGATTACAAATTCTGATGTGCAACCAACAGATAATGAGTCAGTGGATAATGACCAGATTACAAATTCTGATGTGCAACCAACAGATAATGAGTCAGTGGATAATGACCAGAATACAGATTCTGATGTGCAAATAATAGACGATGTGGAGTCACTAGATGATGTGCAAATAATAGATGATGTGGAGTCACTAGATGATGTGCAAATAATAGATGATGTGGAGTCACTAGATGATGTAGAATTAGTAGATGAAGAGCAGGAAACGTCTTCTGAGGTGCATTCAATAGATGATGAGTCAGTAGATGAAGAACAGGATGTATCATCTGATGAGCATTCAGTAGATTATAGTCAATCAGATGAGAGTGATTTAGAAATCACAAGATCTGGTCGATTTAAATATCAACAAAATATAAAAGATGTAGATTTAGAAGAAGAAACTGATGTTGTGGAAAAAAAAAGATATGAAGATATTGAAGATATTGAAGTTGAAAAAAACATTTTGAATCAACAGAATGCATATGAAAAAATGAATGACTCGATAGAAGAAGAAATTTTAAGTCAGCAGAATGCATATGAAAAAATAAAAGACTCAATAGAAAAAGAAATGTCGAGTCAACAGAATGCTTATGAAAAAATGAATGACTCAGGTAATACCACTGAACTCATGAAAAGTGAACATGTGAACTTGTGTGAAAATCCACTAACAAATGTATATGAATATGACACTAAACACAATTATTCTGTAGCTCTAAACTTGAGTAAATCACATAATTCGACCTCTTTTGAATTTGATCGTATTAAGGAAACTCACCATCATAGTAACAGTATTGAAGACATAGAAGTTCACTATGTAGTGGAAAATGAAAATATTGTTGATTCAAACCCAAATGACCAAACAAATTTAAAAGAAGATGAATATGTGATAGGCAGTCAAAATGTAGTCGAAAATGAAAATATTGCTTATTCAAACTCAAATGACCAGACAAATTTAAAAGAAGTTGAATATGTGATAGATATTGCTTATTCAAACTCAAATGACCAGACAAATGCTTATTCAAACTCAAATGACCAGACAAATTTAAAAGAAAACTCAAATGACCAGACAAATTTAAAAGAAGTTGAATATGTGATAGGCAATCAAAATGAAGTCGAAAATGAAAATTTTGCTTATTCAAACCCAAATGACCAAACAAATTTAAAAGAAGATGAATATGTGATAGGCAGTCAAAATGTAGTCGAAAATGAAAATATTGCTTATTCAAACCCAAATGACCAAACAAATTTAAAAGAAGTTGAATATGTGATAGGCAGTCAAAATGTAGTTGAAAATGAAACCATTGTAGATTCAAATCCAAGTTATCAAGACAATTCAAAAGCAGTCAAAAAATATGTGATAGGCAGTCAAAATGTAGTTGAAAATGAAACCATTGTAGATTCAAATCCAAACCATTGTAGATTCAAATCCAAGTTATCAAGACAATTCAAAAGAAACTATTGAATATATGATAGGAAGTCAAAATGTAGTCAAAAATGAAAATATTGTAGATTCAAATCTAAGTAACTCAGACAAAAAAGGAACTATTAAATATGTGCATGAAACTAACTCAGGAAATATCTTAATTAATAAAGATAAATCATATAACACTGAGGTTGAACCAGTTAATAATGAAAATAGTATACATACTGATGAAAATGACTTTAAAATGCTAAGTAATGAATCTAATTTAGTTTCTTGTAATGATTTCAAAAATCACACAATATCTAAAACAGAATTAAGTCAACAAGAAAATATAGAAATTAATCATGTTAATCAGCCAACTCCATTTTTGTTTGGTAAAGCATTTTTCGGCCAACAAGAAAAACTTGAAAACAAACCATTACTTTTTGGTCAACTTTATACCTCTGAAAAAGAACAAGTAGTGGATTTACACAATGATGAACTAGGAATCCAAAATGTGATTTCAATCAACAACCACGAAGAAGATATACTTATTAATAAAGTACCAGAAGAAAGAGAAGTAATTGATGAAATGCAGGATATATTAGAATTGGAATCATTACCTGAAAGTAACCCTGACGAAAATACAGATGTACCTTTAATCTTAAATACAAATGAAGGTAATCAACAATCACTCAAACAATCCTCTGTTTTATTAGGTACTTATCAATTATCAAAAACCATTAATTCAACATTGGTATCTAAGATGGAAATGAAAAGCCAGCAGCCCCTACTTCAAGATGTAACCAAAATAAAAAACCCACCGATGGATCCTTCAAATTTACAAAAGTTTGACAAAGAACAGTCATTTGCAAAAGAATCTTCAACCAATCAGTCAGATAGAATAATTATAACTCGATCAAGGGCTAAAAGTGTATCAAGTAAATTAGAAGGAAATCCTAATCTATTCAGACTTTTTGATGGGGATGATAGCAAACAAGTTAGAGTATCATTAAATAGAAAAAAATCAAAAAGTCAAGAAAATATTTCTTTAACAAAACGAAAGCGTGAAAAGTCCAAATCACCTATAGATAATTTGATAACTACTAAAAAGACTGTGTTTGGTTTAGAAAAAATTCCTGAAGAAGGAAGTTGTTCAAATGTAGATAAGACTATTGAAACTAAACCTACTAAAAAATCAAAATTTAATTTCTTAAAACATACATCAAAAGTTGTTAAGCATGAAAATTTTATACATTTACAAGAAGATATTAAAGTAAAAACGCCAAAGAAATCTAAATCAGTCTATTCGGAACCAGCAGCAACAATGTCTGTAGTGAAAAAAAATAGATCTAAAAGAAGTTCAAGTATTAATTTAGTAATTTCAGATGATGAAAGTGTTACTGAAAATGAAGGTTATATGGAAGTTTTGCAAAAAGCACTGGGGCCAAATACAAAGAAATCATTTCGAGCTGCTTCAGTACCAAATAGAAAAAAACCAAAAATGATAACACAAAAACCATCAATTGATGATTCTAGACCTAATTTAAATGAAACTAGTACAACTTCAGAAGATTCTATTACTCCTCAAATATCACCCATTGAAGGAAATAACTCTAAGCATATGTTGATTACTCCTGCCAAATACCAAACTAAAGTGCCCATGAAATCATTAGAGAGTGAAACTGATGATTCTTCTTCCGATGAATCTACAAATTCTAAATGTTTGGCAAGATCAATGATCATAAAGGTTAGTAAAAATTGTACAATAAAATATGGTCAACTTTTAAATTTTATTGTAATTGAAATATTCTATGGTTTGTAAATTTGTATTATTATGTTTTGTACCACACATAGTTAATGTTCATGTTTTTTTTTTTTTGTAAAGGAAACTATAGTTCCAGCATTTACGCCAGATAGACGTGTAACTCGTTCCCAAACATTGAATTTAGATAATTCATTACAATCTACATCTTTGATTGGGTAAGAGTAATAACTAATTAAATTTATTAAATCCTCAAAAATTAAATTAATTTTTTTCATGGGACAAGGGCATGCTCTGAAAATTAAATTTAGGTGGTAAAAGATTGTATTTATATTAACTATTTATTTTTTTTTGACTATGAATGTAGATGCACAAACATATTTTGTTCATTGATATCCTTGGGTTTAATTCGAACCTCATGATACACTACAAGTACAGTGTTGATAAAGGATAAGTCCAAATTCCAAATAATATTTATTGTACATGTTGCTCTTATTTTCAGAAATAGATTATTATATAAATTAATGAATTTAAGATTCAAGTATGCTAATATAAATCATTTTTGACATTAGTTGTATTATATGTTTCAGGCATGATCAGACTGAAAAAGGGCTGAAATCCGGTACAAAAAAAACAGTTAAACGAAAGAACTCTATTAATTAAATAAAACTTAAAACATAATATTTACATTCTTTTTTTTTTTAATAATTAATAATATATAATTTTAACTAGTATTTCGTGTCTTCATTTATACATTAAAATATTATTTGAAATTTAAAAATAGAAATTATCTTCGGTTTTCAATTTAGTGATGCTGTTGATTTCAAATAATTTTATAATAATTTACTTTGATTTAACTTCTTTAGGTATATAAAGTTTAATTTGTTAAAACGTAAATAATTTTTAATTTCTTAAGTATTCAAGTGCAAATAAAACAAAATGTGCATTATTTAATTTTTATTGATGTAACATGTTTTCTGTTGTAATAAATACTGTTAATTATGAATCATTTAACTCTGGTGTAAATAATTTTTAATGAAAACAGATTTTATTTTAATTTTAAACATCAAAGCTGTCAATTGTAACATGTTGAACTTAAGACTAAAGTGGGAGGAAATATTACAGAGTAATAACTTAAATCTAATGGAATGGGTGGTAGGGACCTTGAATTAGCAACATTTTACATTGAAAAGAAGCAGAGGGGAGATATGATCCATAAGAGGTATGGTGGGTAGACAAATAGGAAGGAACCTGTAAATAAATAACTGATAAAAGATCTGGATGGATGATACCATCAAGAATATATGAAATAAAGGAAATATCAGCCTTAACCAAGTGTTAGTAGCACTATGGTCAAAATGACTGCATTTTTAATAAAGTTATTAAAAATAATATAATAATATTCTAAATCAATTTAATTCCTTATAAATAAATTAGCGTGAGATATCATAAATTGCTTTCATTTCAACCAACACTATATACTTGAAAATTATAATGTGTCGAAAATATTAACTAGCACAAATAACACAGGGTTAATAAGCTTTAAAATAAATAAGAATGTCAAGGATAAATTAAATATTTGGTATGATTTATTTTTAGCTGGAAAGCAGTGTACAACAGATAATTGTTTTGTATGTGCTCAATTACATGCAAAGTGGGAATGCTACATCACTGTACTAGAGTATGAAGCGTACAATGGAAGAATATAACACAGAAATTACTATTATATGATGTTAGGTAGATCTTTGAAAAGAGTGACATAACCAATTAGAGGTTTATTGAGATTATTATTGTTGACCCAATTACAGAAGAAGGTAAGGTCAGCTGAAAGAAGCAGATAATCAGATGGAGAGTAAATAATCCCATGTCATCAGTGAATAGTAGTTTTGGCAAAAGTTAAATTGTCATTAAGGGAATTAATGAACAAGGTGAAATGAATGGACTGAAATGCCATCCTAAAGGATATCAGAGGAAGTGAATGTTAATTTGGAGGAGACACCATTAATATGGACAATTTTTTTTCTTGGGATAAGGTAAGAAAGATGAGATATCCATCTCGCCGATTCCAAGTCTGTGGAGGGTGTTTATAGGTCCATAGTCACGAAATCAATAAGTAAAGTACATATTATCTTGGGATCAAAGCTATCCAGAATATAGAAGAAAACAAACACTAGTTGTGGTAAACTTATCAGAGCCAAGTCATGTTGTCAATAAGTTATGTTGGTTTTCAGGATTAATGTGTTGAATCATGGTTGAAACTTCTCTCAATCGGTATTTAAATAACTCCAAGGCCTAAAATACTTTGTTTCCTTGTGTGGCATAAATGCAGTTTAGCTCCCAAGCGATCTTTTGGAATTTTTTTTTCCAAAATGTATGTTTTTACATGATTAATTTGATAGTAATTTCAACAAAATAAGTTCAAACTTTATTTGGAAGTTATGGTCAAAAAACTTCAAAATATTCAATTTTTTTTAGAAATTGTAATTATATGCTTAACATTTTGATGAAATCAAAATTCACCTATCATACTTACTAACCTACTTAAAATGGTACTTACCTACTGTACGTGGTTAATAAACCATATAAAACCTAATTATAATGTTATTTCATTAATTTGCATATTAAAGTAAATCAAAATTGATATTTGGACTTTTTTTAATTTGGTGTGTAATAACAAACAAAGAAGTTTTTGGTGAAATCTGTTTCTTTGGCAGTAATTGAAAAATTGTAGTTTTGTTTTGTGTAGGTGTCATATAGAAGTATAGAATTTAGGGTGGTCGTGGTCCATCCGGCTCTCCCCCATGGTGCTGCTACTGATCCTAATATCATATAAATTTATAAGGTAAGTTGTGTATAAAAGGGGTAAAATTTAGAGCGCTACAACCACCCCCACCCAACAGGTTTTTTTTTGGTATAGGAATCTATTAAAATTAACTATTGAATTAAAAAGTGGATCCCTTGAAATTAGATGTATTTTAGATCTTGTGTAACCCGTTGACTTGGATATTTGGATATTTGGATATTTTGAGAGATGCAGGGGATGTGGATATTAGTATAATTGTTTGAGACACCGATAGGTTGCTAGATTTTAAAATAGGGGTTATAAAGAATGTTTACCATGTTGGAAAAATGTCTGCAAAAAAGACCCACCTAAATAATTGGTAAATATAGTAGGCTGGAGAATTTTAATAGTTATAGTGTAGGCTGATCTGTTGAAAATGCTGTTTTTTCAAAGATCCAACTGTGCAAGAACATTGTCAAATAAGAAAAAATAATTGGTGGGAAGACTGAACGAGAGATAAATTATTATTAGAACTAGTGGGAGACTGGATGTTTTTCAAAACAAAAAATTTGTCCCCATGTATTTAAAGTAGAGTATTTTTTCTAAAACGAAATTTTATTTAATTTGTGCTTAAGGGAGGTAATTTTTGATTTTCCATTAAATTTTCGAAATAATTTAGAAAAACCAAAATAGAAAATATTTACTGCTCAAAAATATCTTCCCGGGTTAGGGAAGAGTGGTGATGCATCATTTGTGTGGCAGCATAGCAACGTGTCATTTTATTAGTGATCCACTACTCTTCTCCCACCTAAACTTGAAAGTGGAATATCTCATCAATGGATTGATGGAAATCAAAAATTTCAACATAAAGATTTATTTTAACTAATATTCTATATATATATATATAAGGCATTTTCAATATAGGTTGTCATTTATAAATCAAAAATAGATAGTAGATTCATCCCCAAAAATAAATGTGACAAAAAAATGTCACATTTTAGAACTATTTGTTTCTCGAGATTTCAAACAAAAAAGTTTAAAAATAGTCAATACTTTAGAAATAATTAATGTGTTATGATAAAAGATTTACCCAGTATATGTGATTATTGGATTGATCACTGTGACACAGATACAGAATTACAGATACATATGTGTGGATAGAATATTATAAAAAAATTATTCTAAAATATGTGCTATAACCATAGGATTGATAAGAAATGTTATTATATAACTCAATTGGGAGACCGGAATTTGTGTGACTATAGGTATAGATTAGACCCAATCTATAGCAGTGAACTATTATACCAATGAACAATATAGAAGCACCTACTTATCTGTGGATAGGTCTTGCATTCCTCCTTGGTACTACAAACTCCCTAACTATAACCCGTATACATACAAGAGATCAATTCCTCTGTCATTTCCAGTATATTTTATTTTTGTCCATATTCAGTATCTATTCAGTAACTAACTTAATGATATTTGTCAGTCATGGTCTTACTATTTACACTTGGAAGAGTGATATATGAAGTGGCTACAATTTAAACCAAATGTTAAATTTGAGTTTAAATTATTTATAAATTATAGGATGTTAATAAATTTAATAGTTTATTATCACATATTTGAAAAATATTTTGACAGTGTAAACCAGGCTTTAATGTAGGTGCTTAGTGCATGACAATAAATCAACAATTCTTGACTGCACACAAGTAATTTGAGCATTTTCTTTCAGTTTATTACCAAATTTTTCCAAAACAGAGATTCGATTAATTTCTTATGCATCAAAACCAATATTCCTATGAGGAGAATCCCATAGCTAAGCTTTGAGATAAAAGTACACATAATATATTACTGGTTATAGGATAAATAATGGCTAGTTCAAATTAAACACAATTTTTAAAGTAAATAGATAAAACTTACTATTCAATATTTATTTTTTAAAACAAAATAAATATAATTACACAAACAATGTATTCAATTAATTAAAATACACACGTGTACACACACAAAAAAAAAAAAAAAAAAAAATGATAATTTGAAAAATATATCACTAAAAACTTAAATATTAATATTTTTTCATTAAAATCAAATTATTAATACAGACTAGTATAGAAAACTAACAAGTAAATAATAAACACTTTTTAGGTATTATTTGTAATGAAGTTTACAAATTCTATTTCTATTTGGATTAATATTTAAATTTTATACTGAATATAAAAAGAAAAGTTAAATTGAACTTCTTATATGTAAATACTTATGATTATAATTTGTTTTAAATAGCATCTACAATTTTGAGTTTTTCTAAAGTGAAAATTATTTTAATAAGCAAAAAAAATTAGGAACGAAAACAGTCTTTTTAAAAAATTATTGAATAAAAACACTATAAAATTGTATTTTATTTATTTTTATAATTTAATACATATAAATTGTAGAAAAGTTATACATTTTAATCTCGATAATTCCATGTAGTAGACACTTATGAAAACCATTAAATTATTGAGTGTTCAAATTACTAAGAAATTGAAATATTAAAAGTAAAAAATTACAAATGAGCATGAGATGACAAACCATTAATATGGCAAACTTCTTGTCTAACATTTTCTAAAGTCTGATAAATTGTACGAAAAGATGGACGTGCATCTGGTTTTCTATTCCAACAATTTTTCATAAGCTCATATATCATTTTTGGAGTATTTTCAGGACAGTTCATAACATTCCCATCTTTTATAAATTTTACAACTTCTTCATGTGTCATCCCATAATAAGGTTGTATAGCAAAAGAAAATATTTCCCAAAGACAGACTCCATAAGCCCAAACATCTGATTCAACTGTATATTTGTTATATAGAATACTTTCTAATGGCATCCACCGAACTGGTATGGCATCACTTTCATGGCCTTTATAATAATTTTGAAAATAAATTTTTTGTGAAAGACCAAAATCAGCTATTTTTACTGTCATCAAATCATTAATTAAACAATTTCTTGTTGCTAAATCTCTATGTACAAACTTTCTGTCAGATAAGTAAACCATGCCTGAGGCTATTTGTTGAGCTATTTTCAACATATCCAAATTAGTCAAATTTAAATCACGAAAAAAGTCACCCTTCACTTCACTTGATTGTACAATGTAATTACTAGGTGCACATGAACGGAGAAATTCATTTAAATCACCTCTCCCCATGAATTCAAAAAGTAAACACATAGGCTTACCTAATGCACAAACTCCTAACAACTTTACAATATTAGGATGGTCAAATTCTGATAATAAGCAAGCTTCTCGTTCAAAGTCAACTTGGAGATCATTAGATGCTTCTTCCTTCAACATTTTAACTGCTACAATAGTAAATTCTTCTTCTTTCAACAGATTGGGTGCTTTAGCCTGTAAATTATATAAATTAATATTTGCTTTCATTTTACTATTAACACTGACACTCTCACCTGAAAAACTCGCCCAAATGCCCCTTGCCCTAAATCTTTAACATATATAATATTATTTCTGGGAAATTCAAGTTTTTCTAATTTTGGATTAGAACACATTCCATATTGGTGGTATGCAGAATTACTTGGCAACTTATTCAGATCAATATCAACTTCCTGTAAAAATGAATTGAAAAATTACAAATATCTACAATGTGATTAAAAGTAAAATATTTTTAAAAAAAATCATAAAATTATATTTATATTTGATTACTAATTACCTGAGTTTCAGTAGATCTATAGGAAACTTTTTTGGACAAAAATTTATTAAATAACACTGCTATTAATATACATATTAAAACTATTAAAATTCCAACAATCAAAAGAAATATAAGCAAATGAGTTGATGATGTTTGATCAATATATGTTTCAAAATAGGTGATTATATTTGAAATGGTATTGATAGATGTAACATTATTAATAATATCAAATTTGTTTTCCGTTATTCCAGTAATATTTTTATCTATAATTAAATATAAAAATAAATCAATAACAATAAAAATAATGTTGGTTATAGATTGCATTATTCAGTTCCAAGAAAATATTTTTTATTTAAAAAAAAAAAAACATCACTTGTAAAATATTTAACAAAATTAAATCATACCACAAATAGGTATATCACATTTTTGCCATCTGACATTGGGATCCATAGTGTAACACCATGGTGACAATTCTTCCCCACCAGCATTTCGACAATAATTTTCAGAATTTTGTATTTCTGGGAATACATTTGGAGGTCTGACAAATTCGTGGGGTGTTTTAGAATCCCACCGTTGACATGGCAGACCTGATTTAGTTACATTTACATAACCTGCATAATACCGTCCATTTCCACGAATACAATCAACTAAAAAAAAAAAAATAGGTATTAAAAATAATACATTCATAAATATGTAGTTATAATAAAAATATATTATCAATAATAATATAAAACAAATATATATATATACTAATACAAATGTGTAATACTTAAAATTATAATAAATATTCCCATACAATTTTATAATAGAAGTTGTATAATAAAAAATTCTTGTAATTATAATTTCAATAAAACTATACTAATTTTGTGGTAGAGCACATAATTATTATGCCAATGCTTATACAGAACAATTAAATCCAGCTTAATTTTGATTTTAGAGTGAAAGTACCTATTATGAAATTTATAGAGAACAATATTTTGGAAGGAATTTCATATTCCTTCCAGAAAGGAGTTTCAATTATAAACTATTAAAAAAGTTACAGTTATTTAAAAAATAAAACAACATTTTTTTTTATCTTTAATGTGGAGCTGTATATTTTGAATAACATAAAAACCCTATGGCATTCCTTTTAAAATACTGTTCTTTATAAATTTCATATTAGATACTTTTAATCTAAAATCAAAATTAAGCTATTTTTACTTATTCTGTGTAAGCATTATTTTTGTTTGTTACCAGGTAGTTGGACTGAGACAGTAGATGTGGGTATAACATCCTCTTAACAATATAATAATGTTTTTATTAAAAAAATAACATTTTTTTTTATTAATAATTATTGAATTATGTTTAAAAGTACTGTATGTCTCTTCCCCTCACATGTTAGATTAAGTTCAATAATTGAAATAAATTACATTTTTGCATGTATCATTGTCCCTCTTATTTTGTTTTTTTAATTCCAGCACTAAATGTAAAGTTAATATATAATTAAAAACATTGCGATGAAAAATAACAAATTGCCTAAAGTATATTTTGATTTTTAAAGGGATATTTTAATTTCTAAAGCCATAATTTATATATTTTATATTGATTTTTTTGTTATGTTTTGATGTTTTGTATCCCCCCATCACTAGCCAGTTCTAACCTGAAATCAAATTTTGTTGCTAGTTAAAACACATGTGGATGGAACACTCAACTATTCACTCTTACTTTATTCACACCCTGCCATCCCTCTCCTTTCATTTCCTCATATCCTATTGATCCCTCACATCTGTCTACCTTTTATATATTAAAATAGTAGTTATTAGGATATTATTTACTAGCAGTACTGTATGTTAAAGACATAAGAAATTGTATCTACTATTGTATTAATATTGGTACCATGTATATGATATCTACCAACATTATATTATCTAATGTGATCTATACTACAAAAATACAGCACTACTACCAAATTTTTAATAACATACAAAAAAACCAAACATTTAAACATTTCCTTTACTGTATAGGACTTAAATTTTAATGTTTAACATAAATGTTAGTAACTTTCTATAACTCAATACAAAGTTATTAAAATAAATAACAATAAAAATGTAAATAATTTACCCTTATTTTAATTTGACAATTTTGAACGAGTTTATTTTTAAAAAGTGTTCCTATCACTGGAGATATATGTTGAAATAATTAATAACAAATAAATTTGAAATTTTACTAGATCAAATTTCAAGAACTAGCCAAACCAATTCAATGAGGCCTATTATCAACTTGTAAGAATTATTATAAATTAAAAAATACTAACTAGTTATTTCATCTCTTTTTAGTTCTGTAAGCTTTGCGTGGGAACATGATAGTTTACCATACTGTGAGTTATGTGGTAGGCTCTCACAATGTGGTAAAGAAAAGTGGCCTTTAGACTTATACAAATTTCCTCTTTGTTTGTTGAGCTCTATTAATGCCCACTCTTTGTAACAAAATAATTCTCGCACAGCAATGCAGTCTTCATAACATAATGGGAGATAGGTATCTTGATGACAATGAGGAAACGCATATAAACATAACAATTTCTAAAAAAAATACAATAATAATATACTCATGTAATTAGTTATAATAGTTTAAATCAAGGAATAGATGCACTTTACCATGCCTCTCATGAATTTAAAACATTTTTGTTTGAAAAGACATGGTTATTTAACACCGATTTTAAAAAAATTTGAATTTTTCGAAACCAATATTAAAGAAGTTATGATCAAAAATATTTAAAACTTCAGATATTTAATACTGAAAATTATGGTATATTCAGACTTTTTTTCAACACTTATTTGTTATATATGATTTAAAGACTGTAGGTATATTAGTATATATAACAGTGACAGAATAATCAATTTTTAAGTTCTTTTTTTATAATTTATTATTATGAACAAAAGATATGAAAATTTCAAAATATGGAACCAGGCTTTCGGTGAGCATCATGATCCACCAAACCATACAAATGACAAACTTTAAATCGATAATTAATCTATTCTATCATTTTAAAACTGGTACAGATTCAAGGAGGATAGTGTCCTAAGTATAAACCTAACACTCATTACATGAGACTAGGCTTTTGATGACCTCCATTTGCTTACTTCCTAAATTTAAACAAAAAATAATGTTGTTTGTATGAGTGGATATCCTAAAAACTTAAATTGCTTCATAGTTTCCAAAAAAAAAAAAAATTAAAATTTTCCAAATCAATGTTGAAAGCATGTCTAAAAAAAAATAAATTTGAAAGGGGTATGAAAAAAGTGTACTTAGGCCAAAATCTAATAATTACTTCGGCTGCTGGTCTACATGTTTTTGAAAAATTTGGTAACATTTCATCCCATAATCCAGTGGTTATAATTTCATTTTGTTCACTTCCTTCATTATTCATGGTGTTATTAAACCATATAAGAATTGAAGCATTTAAATATTTTCTACATATGTTACCATTATACTGAGCACAATATCCTTTAGGACCTAATATAAAATAATGAATATAATATACCAAATACCATTATTAATAATAATTACCATACATTTTTTTAAAAAATTGTATTGTATTTGTATCATTATACCTAGAATAGGGTTACCATAATTTCAAAAATTAAATCTGGGACAGACAGCGCGATAAAAAAAAAATTAAAAATATTATAGAAACATATTAGTTATGTGTTATAAAAATACAATTCATTTTTTTAAAGGTATTTGCAAATTATTTAATGTGTTAATACAGTATTGCGAAATTGTTTCTGATTTTTGACTTTAAGGAAACTCATTTTCACCAAATGACTTTTCATATCATTTAACTATGTACAATTTTAAATTATAATCGGATATATTTTTTTTGATTTATGATTACTAGTGTTCATCCCCAAATTAAAAAAAAAATGGAATTTTCTAAATCTAATTTAAATATATCAACTAAAATATGTTTAACTATTGCGTCTTTAAATTGCACTATTGACATTTTATAAGCAATTTTTTAATTAAAAAATAATTTTGAATAAAGTGTTGGTTTGTTAATTGTTTATCTGAATCTTCACTTAAATTATTGTTTAGTCTATATATTTGGCATCATTACTGTATCCTGTACTTTTAACAATAAAATATTGACATGATTACAATTATTATTTGAAATAATTGTGGAAATTAAACAATTAAAATTTTTTCTTAAAACCGGGACATAGTTAATTTCCGGGACATCAGTGTATTTAATAGAAAACCGGTGTAGTCCTGATTTTCCAGAATGTATATTTTCAGAACTCTTACCTAGTAAAATTGTTAAACTGCAAAAAAAATTATAATTTGTAGTTTTAAGTAAGTACTAAAGTACCAACAAAACAACCAAATAGAAAATTAAAAAAGAAATAAAATTATCAACTTTTCACTTTACTAAGAAATCGGATTAGGTATTTTATATTGCAGTTTTTTCCACAAGCCTAGGCTATTAAAAATAATCATTGTGTTTCTATTAACTTGTTGTACCTATATTTTTCTTAAATGCAATAAATATAATTATTACTATTATTATTATTATTATATTAACTAAATTTTTGAAATAAAATTATATACTTACTAAATTGTGTTGATCCTTTAACTAATAAAATCCATATCATGAATATGAATGGTAAACATTTATTGCAATCCATTTAGTTATTCAACAATTATTTCTAACTGCATACCATATAAATTTTTATAAACTTCTGTGTAAATGAATATATTCATGAAAATATTTAAATACTAGTTCTATACTAAATATTATGTCATCTAATTACTAAAATTAATATACATTATATAATAAACTACAAATTAAATATTAAATGGCTTGAGTTAGATTATAAACCTAATTATTATGCTGTAATTTTTAATGTTTCTAATCTATATTATAATTAGAAAAAAAATGAATCAATAAATGAAAAACATCATAAGTAAGATAAGTAAATAAATTTATCATAAATAAAATATATTAAATTCTATATCAATTATCTGTATTATTTTTTCATTGTTTATAGAAATTTTTTTTGTGATATGATGATTTCCTTTTTTAGTATACATGTTCATGGTTTCTACCCAGTCTAACCCCTGGTTACTCTTATAAACCCGTGAGCTATATCATGGAAAAATACGGTAACATACAACTAGCATAGATAATCACGAATTAAGATATATAGAATACAGAACTGTTATCAGTAAACTATTGATTCCGACCTTAGAGCAATAAAATATCAATACATAATAGTAATTAATACCGTAATTCGTGTAGATAAAATGAAATTATTATTAATTATTATTAACATTTTCAGTAAATAAACTGGATATTAGAGATTATACATCTATATGGAAATAAAAAGATACTTATTGTTCAAGGAATTTCATCTTTAGATGACAATTAAAAATACATCTTTAATCGTACCGAGGTGGATTAATATTAATTAATATTGTGCTTCTCAACCTCTGGATTACCTTCTTCACAAGAAGTATCGATTATTAGATTTTTGTCAAGATAGTATCAGTTTTTTCCAGGTACATTCCAAGATTTATAGATAATCTTATCTATTAACCGTAGTATGTTCACAGATGAAGTGGGTTATTTCCATAGAGTAATAGTGTGTAATTGTACTGTAAAATAGAAACCATTTGCGCATCAACTCGTTGTACAAAACGATATTGAGAACGACGTCTCTGTATTACCCTATGGTTATTTCAAACCTCGACAAATAACCACCCGACATGAAACGTAACGTAGATAACATAAGATATAATAAATATATTATCTATGTCTATAAAGGATGTAAGTAAAACAAATATCTTCACCGTTGTCACAGTCTCACCGGTTACTATTAATTGTAACTGTATGAAAATGGTCTACTATCAATAATAAATAATTTGTGACCGGTGACTGTCTTAAGCACTCGAAAATCTACAACTCTACCAATCTAACCAATCATCTATTTCGGTACGACAATCGCGTTCAAACATTTTACATTTTATACTAAAATAATCAATTTCACACCTAGCGGCATAAACATAATTCACCTTGAAAATGTTTGATTAATTTCTGTGCCTTTTTGTCGAAAGAAATATCGTAAAGTTATCGTATCCAAATATATTATATATTAATATATGGTTGGTAGTACTATCTGTTATCACATATTCACGGGGCTCTATGTCGCATAGTTATATTTTGTCGGGAGGGCTTTTTGACGATAATTATATATTGTCAATACAGTTTAAGATACATGTAAATTATAAGATTATTAGCAAATCTGATTATCAAATGTGTACTTAAATATTCTGTTAGTAGTGCTGTAATATGGTGTTTTGTCGAATAGCTCATTGTCATTATCTGGTGATTTTACGTCGGGTGGCTTTATAATATGGTATCACCGGTATTTCAGTGGGTATATTCAACAAAAACCGATTCTTAACGATAATGACTTCTTGAAATCTTCTACATATGACGTATGTTTGTAAAAATACTCATTAATTAACCAATAATTGCGATATAAAATTCAAAATTCAAATAAAATATTATGGGTTGGTAGGTCGTAAGTATTAATATTTTATTTAAATTCTATGTAGTAGGTATTATTATTGCATAATGTATTATATCAGTTGTTTTTCAAATATGGCTTATTATTTTTTATAAATCTTTTCAAATTTAAATTTTTTTTCATAATGCATTTTTTGATGTTTGCATGAAGCTATTGAATTGGTAATATCTATAAGTATGAAAAAAAAGTAGTATACTAAGGGGCGAAATGTAGGCAAACTATTAAGCTATTCATAATCTCGCGGGGCATTGATAATAAATTACTCACAACTCTTTTTGTACGGAATGCCCCCGCCCCGTATTTTCATTTATTCTTAATAGTATTTAGATCGAATAGTTTTTCTCGTGTATCTGTGAACATTGCATAGGTGCTCGGCGTTTTTTAACTCTACCAAATTCTGTTTTTTACCTATACAGTCGTAAAACGGATTCCCATGAACTTAATTACCGTTGAACGATGATGGTAAATTGATAACCTGCAACGTCCTCGTCGTCACCACCCGTCAGTTTAATTTTCAAAACATTATGATGCAGTTGTACAATAATGAATTTTGATGTCGAAAGCTCGGTGAGTTTGACACTTTAATTGGTAAATTGATCGTCATCACTTCAAATAATAACTCTTTGACATTTAGTTTACTAAAGACGTTTAAATTTATGTTCAATAGGGTCAGTAATATTATTTAATAATAACTAAACTTCATTAGAGAGTTAAACGTGCACGCTTTTTTATTATCATAGCTTGATACTGTATTGTTTTTTTAGTATTTATATTTTATTATAAAGCATAAGCAAGTTCTAAATGAAACCAGGCTATTAGACATTGTATTTTTAAATATCCATACAACCTTTTATTTACCCTGTGACTGTACAAAATAAACAAAGATTATAGTTTATAGGAGCCAGTAAACTGATAAAAAAGTTCACTTAGTAATGGATAGACATCACCTCGATTCACAGTTGGAAGAATGCATGTGGCAAATACTAATTGATGTTATATCTTATGCAATTTTGATAGATCACTCTATGTATAGTGATAATTCAGATATTTAAAAATAAAAAAACCAAGAAATCCATTAATTTATTTAACAGTTACTACATAATACTTAATTATATAAGTACTGTTTTAGCTACCAGAGTATTAGCTATACTTGCCTTCCTAAAACTATACAGGATTATTTTGTTTGAACAACATTTTATCATACCCTTGTCCTTATTTTCAATTTATTATCAATGACAGATTCACAAAGAGTTATAATAATAGGATTATGATATTATGTTTATCCATGACTTAACAATATAACAAATTATCTGACCAATAACCTATTAACCTATATTATTTATCTTCGCCTATTTATGTAGCATATTCATTTTTATTAACATTATTAATAATAATTATAGCAACCAACATGGAAACTATGGGGTGAAGAAAAAGAAATTGATGCAGTCTACACAATTTATTTAAAAAAAGTACGATATCAGAATCCTACGAAAACACTATTGTTGGTATGTTTATTTTTAAATTAGTAAATTATTTAGTTATTTACTTATAAATAATAGTAGAAAAGAAAAAAACAATATTATTCACATACATATTTATTAATTTTATCTTAATATTTGAGAATACATATAATTTATTATTTTAAGTAAGTAAAATAAATTATAGCATGTCTTCTTGTCTTAAATATGTTCATATTAGATACATTTTTCAAATTTCAAATCAAGTTTCCTTTTTATTTATTGGTTATTCAAATTGGCCACAGATAATAATCTGGGAAACCTTATTTTCTTATATTAGATTTTGAGCGAAGTGAGTAATATATTAATTATTATGTGGGTTTTTTTTCTGTATCTGTTAATTTTTTTTTTAACCTATAAACTTTGAATATTAGTGTTTTCAAAATAAATCCAAAAAGTTATTTAAAAAATAGTTGAGTAGTCTGGTATCTCATAGCGATATTTAGGTTTACACTGATCTCCTTCTAGTAGTATTAGGTCAGGTGTTATCCTGTTCATAGTGGGAGGGTGCATATTATGAAATATAATTTATTGTGGTATATTGCCCATTACCACATATGCTCTCCGCAAGGTTTATTTTTATGTACAGGTATAAACTAAATTCTTCTATCAGTCTATATGTACAACTTTTCAACTTCCCTCGAAAACATTGGAATACCCATCAGTAGTATTAACATTTTTTTTATTTTTTTTTTTATTTTTTAGAGTTTTTTCACCAAAACAATATTAGTTATTAGGTTTTTTTTAAAACTAAACAAAATATTATACATTACTATTCACTATTTAAACTTGAGGCTTTTCTATTAGTATAAATATGAGCCTAAAAATGTTATTATATATTTATTTGTAACACATAACTTATGATATGTTATATTAATTCAATCAATTTTTACAGCTATGATAAACATGTTTTCCATTGTATTACTTTTTTTCCTAGATCTGTTATTTTAACATTTACCGATATACTATTATAGGAGTCTGATGATGAACGATCCCATCTGGAATGGGAAACTGTTAGAGTTAAATTCATTAAAGCTGGAACAATTGAAAAATTGGTTAATAGTCTGGCATCAGATGATGGAGAGCTAGAGTCTACTTTTGTAAATATATTTCTCGCTACATATAGAACTTATGCATCATCTCATCATGTACTGTCTTTATTAATTGAAAGGTATATGCAATTATTATTTATCTAAAATAATTTAAACCAATAGAAGTACAAAAATATATTTAAATATAGTTTTATAAATTGATAATAATTATATTCTTTTGCAGATATGAATATTTACTAAATGCCAAACAAAACCTCACAGACATAATGATTGATTCACATAAAAAGTAATTAATTTTAAACTTGACTAATGATTAATAATAAATGTTTATGTATATTTCTTTAATTATATTTTAATATATAAAAACAATTTACTTTTCATTTTCATTTAATTATCATATGTTATTTTTAGGACAGTTATTTCTGCATTACATGTATGGCTAGATTCATATCCAGAAGATTTTCGTGATCCACCATTACATACATGTTTAAGATGTTTGCATTCATTCACATATACTTATTTGCCTAAAACTGAACTTCATTTAAAAGCAACATATAGACTAGAAAAATTCCTTAAAGAATGTAATCAGTTAGGTAGGTTGAGTTAATAATATACCCTTTTATTTAAACTTAACATTTTTTTTTTTTTCAGATACTACATATATAAATGACAAATATGATTTGGTGATGACTAGTAATTCACATTCCTCTTACAATTTTCCTAACATAGCAGAAAGACATTTTGCTGAGCAGTTGACCAGAATGGATCGTGTATGTATTTCGAAACAAATATTTTATTATATTTATCTATTTACTATTTATTAGTATATTTCATTTAAAATGTATCTTTAATTGCATTAAAAAGATGTCATACCACTCATAATTTAAGTAGAAAAACTATTTTGTGTGGGGCAAATTTTTTTCACTATATTAACAATAGAATTACCTAAATTTTACATTGTATGAAGAATAATTTTATCTATGTTGGGTGCATATTTTTTTGATAACAAATAAAAATTTTAAACTCGTCTATCTGTTAGTAAATTGTTTTTTTTTTTTTTTTTTTTTTTTCATTTACTTATAAAAAAAAATAAACAGTAGTACTATTAAAATAATAAGCACAATAAGATAGATAAAGTTATTCTTTATGTGTTCTGAAATTTAAATTTTATCTATTATAATACAATAAGTAATATAATAAATAATAATATAATAAGTAGCAAGACTGTTCACTGCAAAAATATTTGTCCATATATATTAGTTCATTTCATGATTACACAATAAACACTTGTAATAATGGCAAAAGAATACAATTTACATATAGTCACCTATACATTTATTTGAAAGTGAATTTAAATATTTTGTTTATTGATGAATGTTTGTTATTTTAAAATGCATTTACATCAACCCTTAAATATTGGGTGTGTAGCATCCTTTAAATGTATGTATAAATATTACCTTATTGTTATAGGATGTATTGAAAGATATGGTATCTCATCAATGCCTTGGTGCTGTTTGGTCTAAAAATAAAAGAACGGGATCTGCACCTACAGTTCTGGCAACAATTGACCAGTTTAATGCTGTATCACTAAGAGTTATTAGTACAGTTTTATTAGCAATTAATTCAGTAAGAACACGTATCATTGAAACTTGGATTAACATAGCACAAGTAAGTATAATGAAATGGGTCCCTAAGTATATACCTTTAAAATCATTCAATAATATAAAGAAAAACTAAATTAACTAGAAATTTAAATTATATGTCTGTATAAAATCAAATATAAAAATGTAATTTATTTATTTAACAATTGAAAATAATTATCATATTATATAAAAAGTTTAAAATTAGACTATCCTTATAACCCCATAAATTAATGCAAAATTTAACCTAAATATAAAATAAAAATATATTTGAATGATTCTGAAATTCATATTTTAATTAATACTTTACATAAATAAATTATTATAATAAGCTAATTTTAAATTTTATACAGTCAAAAATTAACTGTTTTTTAATTTGTTTTTTTTTTTTATATGTATAAAAAACACCTTCAAGCAGCAGTTTTGTCGCCAAAATCAAATTTTCTATAAGCCATTACAATATTTCATTTTTTTTTTTTTTTTTGTAGTTGACTTTTATTTAATTTCATAGGAATTAAGGGTACTTAAGAATTTTTCATCATTGAAAGCAATTATATCAGGTCTACAATCAAATTCTGTGTTTCGATTAAAAAAAACATGGCATTCTCTTCCTAGAGATAAGGTATTAGTGATTTAAATATTCAAATCATAATAGTAAATTTTTTTAATCCAGTTATCTTTTAAAAAATAATATTTGTTCTTAAAGCTGGAATTGTTTCAAGAACTTGCAAGAATATTTAGTGAAGAAAATAACCAGTGGGCCCAAAGAAAATTGTTAATAAAGGAGGGTACAGCTAAATTTGCTGACACATTTGGACACAATGATAGGCATTTACAAAAATTAATTCAAAAACAACAAAGTACTATGAGTGTAAGTTACCAGTTGTAATAAAAAATTATACTAATATTTATATATTAGTATTGCAGGTTATGTAACGCACATTTTAATAATTATTATTTAATATTAAATCAATATAATTCAATTTCTTAGTATTATTGTTTTTTAAAAAAAAAATATTGATTTTATGTAGAAATTAAACATTGGAACTATTCCATACTTGGGGACATTTCTTACTGATTTAACTATGATTGATGCAGCCATCCCTGATATTTTACCAGATGGTTTAATCAACTTTGATAAAAAACGAAAAGAATTTGAAGTTTTAGCTCAGGTATGTATTGTTTAGATTTTAATTTGATAAATATTAAAATGTTTACTGAAGTTGATAATAGTTTGGAATGTTTACAAATATTATTTTTTTTTTGTTTTAGATCAAGCTTTTGCAAGGTGCTGCTAATTCATATAATATATCTGATGATGTAGTATTTGACCAATGGTTTCACTCAATATTAGTTTTGGATGACAGAGAAGCATTTAGAATTTCTTGTCAAATAGAAATTCCAGACAATTTACCTCCATCCTGTACAAATTCAATTATTGGAACAGGAAAGAAACAAAAGTATATAAAATATGATATTATGTAAAAACATTAAAATTTCAAAATGATAAATCTAATCAAGTGATAATATTTGAATAATGTCATTACAGTTATGAACATAAGAAAAATGATTCAATTTCTAGTAATTTTAGTACTAAAAGCTACTATGGTTTATCTGATGATGGTTTACAATCACCAAACAACTCAATTGATAAACAGGTAAAATTTCTAAATAATGAATTATGTTTAAATTATATCTTGTTATTTTTTTTTTTTTTTTTTAATTAAGATCATTAATTTCTTATAACAATTATTTTTGAGATAAGCATAAATTGCCAATAGTTCATTCTACAATTAATTTTATATAAACGAATTAGTTATTTAACTATGAATGATAGAGTGATCATTGAAAGTAATATTATTATTAAAGAATGCCTAAATTATTGAAGAATGTTTGATTTTAGGATTCATTATTTGATTTATCATCTTCATCAAGTAACTATTCTATGAAATCATTTGATATGTCCTTGAATGGAAGCCATAATACAAATACTTTGGTTAAACACAATGTTAACAATTCAACATTGAACACTTCTCCTGATTTTTATATTATTAGAATTACTGTGGATGCTAACAATGTTGAGACTGATGGTATGTTTTATTTATTATTTAATAAAGGGTGATCAACTACAAGATACTCATTATCTTTTTTTTTTGTCATTTGTCACTAAAGTAACTATTCAATCAATAAAAAAAAAAAAACTATATCTGCCAATCTTTATCATTAAATTTTGATAATATAGGGTTTTCCAATTAGAGCGGGCCAATCTTATCTGCGCTGTATAGCCTTATCGTTTTGTTGAATTTTGTCGAAATACAAAACGAACACGTTCTATTAGAATGAATACATAAATAACTGAATATCATATATTTAATATACTACTTTTTTTTTTGTAGTATGTTTCTATCTATGTTATGTTATAATGAAGTATAAAAGAAAATTGTAATTGTGTATAAGTATAGGGTTTTCCAATTAGAGTGGGCCGATCTTATCTGCGCTGTATAGCCTTATCGTTTTGTTGACGTCTGTCTAATTTATTGTTTATTATTCAGTCACTAATGCCAAATCATCATGGTTAGTTACACTATAGAGCAGCGCGTCCAAATTATAAAATTTTATTATCAAAATAAATGTTCGGTAGTTCAAACTTTGCGCTCGTTACGTCCATTTTTTGGCCGACGTAGTGGTCCTTCAAAGTCGACTCTCCAACGTTTGGTGTCGAAATTTGAGACAAATGGTTCGGTAAACGATCAGTTAACACCCGTACGTCAAAGAAACGCCAGATCGGTCCAGAATATCGCCGCGGTACGTGAAAGTGTGCAGGAGAACCCGAGGCAGTCAATTCCTCGCCGTGCACAAGAACTCGGTCTTTCACAGTCTTCAACTTGGCGAATTTTGCGCCGGGACTTGGGCTTACACCCATATAAGATCCAACTGACCCAGGAGCTCAAAATTAATGACCATAGACAACGCCGATTGTTTGCTGACTGGGTTTNAAGCGCATTTTTGGATGAATGGCTATGTTACAAGCAAAATTACCGTATTCGGGACAATACCAACCCACACGAGGTTCAACTGGTAACAATGTATCGACAAAAAGTTACTGTTTGGTGCGGATTTTGGGCCGGCGGTATCATTGGTCCGTACTTTTTTGAAAATGACGTTCGTGAGGCCATCACCGTCAATGGTGAGCGATACAGAACGATGATAACCAATTTTTTTTTTTCCCAAAATGAACGGTATGGACGTAGACGACATGTGGTTTCAGCAGGATGGCACTACGTGCCATACATCCAACGCCACGATAGCCATTCTGAACGGCAAATTTGAGGGTATGGTTATCTCTCGCCGATGAGACGTGAATTGGCCACCAAGATCGTGTGATTAGACCCCATTAGACTTTTTCTTGTGGGGTTTCCTGAAGTCGCAGGTCTATGCCGATAAGCCAAAATCAACAGATGACCTTAAAGTGAACATAACCCAGGCCATCGCTCGAATTCAACCGGATATATGCGGCAGAGTCATTGAAAATTGGACCACTCGGATTCGTGCCACTGTGAGAAGCCGTGGCGGACATTTAAACGATATTATATTCAAAACATAATTGGCATACTTAGAACTTTAAAATAAAAAAAAAATTTCACTAATACCTCGCACATAGCTTGTTTTATTTCATTTCAACATCCACCCGCTCTTATTGAAAAACCCTATATATCTTTAAGATGCTTCAGTATAAACATTTTCAAACCTTTAATGATTACTATAGTATATTTATATAAACAAATTCAATTATTTTAGGAATAGTATTATACAAAAGCATTATATTAAATAATAATGAGCGAACACCTCAAGTCATCCGAAATGCTATGTTAAAATTTTGTATTGACGATAATCCTGAAAATTATACTTTATCTCAAGTTTTACCAGATAAAGGTCAGTAGACAATTTTATTAATACTTAAATTCTGTATTGTACGACTATTTATATATAATATAATTTTCCTTTGAACATTTCAGAAATGGTTTTACCAACCAATGCCAATGTTTATTATGCAATGAATACAGAGTATGACTTAAACTTTTTATTACGTAAAAAAATGTTGATAAACAATACAATTCCTAAAAAATAAATTGTTTAAACTAAGAACTGACTAGTAAAATCATAATGATATTTTATTTTATTTATTGTATATGTATATTATATGTACAAAAAAACAAAAATTATTATAATAAAATAAATTGTATTATCATTTATATCCTATTTATCCTTAAGTTTTCATAGGGTTTCATAGTTCATTTTGTTTTTGGGCATTTTGAATATGAAAAGAGCTGATACTTAGGTATGGGTGTGGTCACTATTTTAGTTTGGCAGTTGAGAAGGTATGATACATAAAGTTATTTAATATACCTGTAACCAAAGATAAACCATTACTAATTCGGTTATGCATGTTTTGAAAAACTGTAATATTTACAATTATCGACAAAATTTAATTTTAAAACTTATAAAAAATAAATACTACATTACACTCATTTTTTTTTTTTTTTTTTACCACTAAGTTCAACAAATTATCAAGCATTTTTATTAAGTCTAACAATTTTATCAGTGGTGAAATATTGAAAGGAAAAAATAAAAATTTTGTCATATTTCTGGTAGAAAAATGATGTACACATCACATTTAAAACAATGAAACCAGTAACTCCATGGCACATACTATTATTTTATAAATGCTTAAGTAGGTAAATATTTGTTTTTCCATTTAAAAAATGTGCCTAATATTATATATATGCATAATTAATATTTTGTTTTTTATTTTTAGGTTATAAAATTAAAACTATGCCAGGTCACAATGAGACAATACAGATTCAAAACATATTGCCCATACTAAGTTAACAAAAATTAAACAAAATATGAAAAAAATTAAAATATTTTGTTTGTTTTGTTTCTTTTTTCATTTGTCTACACATACTAAAAAACTTTATTTCAAAATTATAATGCCAACACAATACTTTTGATGTTTACCTATGTTATTAGAAAAAATATAATTATTTTAATTTTGTCACAGTGACATAAGATTGTATTTATAAACTTACACAAACATACAAGAAAAACTCAGTGTTTGAAAAAATACAAAACAATTTTCTGTCTTATTTTTGTATACTTTTATATAAATGAATGGTTTTATGTCCCTAAGCATCAATTTTTAAAAATATATTTTACCTATTAATCTTTAATAAAAAAAAAACAATTTCACCATAATTATTTATAGGTAATTAATAATAATGACTAAATTAAACAATAGTATGGAGATAACTTTTATTAAAAAGAAAATATTAATAAATGTATAATAAAAAAAAAAAATCATATTAGAGTCATTAGTAGATCTATGACTAAAACTCTTGTGTTTTTAACATCTTAATTTTTCTGGAGTAAATTAATACCCTTCTGTAAATATTGTCAATACTTATACAGGGTAATAACTTAAGAGACTTATTATCTTAGAGAGTATAAATTTTTTTTGTTCATTTGTATTTTATAAAATGTATAAAATAAGTAGTTCTAAAATGTTATATTATTTTTATTTTTAGGAGATGAAACCACTATTCACTTTTGAATTACAAATAACCTATACCAAAAATTCCAGAATAATTCTCTCACCCAAGCTTACCATGTCTACCTTAATATTATGTCTTTCTACCAATTTTGCTTATTGTATATAATATATAATGCAATATATACTACATACTATGTACTCATAGATTGTGAAAATTTAAATTTATATATAAAAAAAAATTAATTTTGGTGTAATAATTTTCAATTTCTATTTTTATTATTATTGTGATTCTAAATTTAAATTTTAACTGACTAGGGGGACTAGAAAGAGTATTGGAGTATCATTTGTGTAGCAGTGGAACATGTGAAGTTAAAGTAAATATTTGTAATTATCTACCTAGGTATCAATGGCTTATATTATAGAGGGTACAGTATACCTTACTACTATTAATATGGAATAATGTTTCACAAATGACCAATTCAAATGAACAATGTAGTGAATGGAGTGCGTATCACTAATAGTTGCTAACATACTTGAAGGTTAAGGATAATATAGGTATTATCTATAACCCTTATTCCTTGGACTATTATAAATCATAGATATAGTCATGGTCATTATTTGATTATGTACAAACTCACAAATATACGGGGTGATCAATCTATTTTATACACTTGTTATTCTCAGAAAGTATTAACTTTTTCCGGAATTTGTTTTTCTAGAACATTTGACAAATGTGCTGCTCTACAATTTTATATTTATGTTATTTTTTTGTCACCCTTATATTTGGGGGTAAAACCACTACCTACTTTTGATTTTCAAATGGCACCTATATTAAAAATTCTATAAATATATGGAGTATTATTTAAAATAAATTTGATCGTTGAAATTTTTGATTTCTGTCAAGCCATTGACGAGATATTCCACTTTTAAGTTTGGAAAAGAGTATGGTGCATAATTATCACGCCGTGTGCCATACCGCTACACAAATGATACTACATTATTCTCCTCCAACCCATACTTAAAAATGAAATATCTCGTCAATGGATTGACGGAAATCAAAAATTTCAACACTAAAATTTATTTTAAGTAATACATCAATTTATGGAATTCTTAATATAGGTTACCGTTTGAAAATCAAAAGTAGGTAATGGTTTTACCTCTAAAAATAAGAGTGACAAAAAATAACATAAAGTTAGGTTAGGTTAGGTTTTTTATTAGGTATTATTACATAATATGTAAAATTATAAAGCTGCTTGTTTCTTAAATGTTCTAGAAAATAAATTCCGGAAAAAGTTAATACTTTCCGAGATAAAGCACATCGTATGATAGATTGATCACCTCATATAAACCTAATATATTGGTTTATATATTTGTGATGGGTTTGAGGTATGAGGTTTCATACATAGACCTTAAACTACTAATTACTAGTACAAGATTATTGGGTTGAATTGTCAAGCATGAGGAGGACTATCTAGTGTCTATGCTTTGCTTGGCCGCCATCGTTTATTGACTTAACAAAACAATAATTATACAAAAACGATATTTGTCCCACCTCTATTCCAGCCGTCTACGATCGTCCCTGTAAGCGCCTTTGTTCTCCTCCTCTTTCTTGGTACCCAACAAATAGCGATATATATGCCTCCACTGCTCTCCATTTGTCCCGATTGCCCAACATAATGGGGACAATAAACTCTAGAGGAGATGATCCCGGCCAACGCAGCTTCCCCGCCCATCGACCGTAACCGAAGACGGTGTGTTCAGTTCAGCGTCGTCCTAGCATTCGCTGCATGACAAAAAATCCGGACTAGCCGCCCATGTATACCTGTAGAGGTAGGCCTGGAAATAGCCATGCTCTGTCAAAAATAATTGCGTCATATAGTAGATAGCGCCCTGTGTGGTCTGGTTACCACACAGTGGTAGGAATACGAATTCTAGTTCAAAAGCAGAAAATGTATCAGTCGTTTAACAGGTAGGACTTAACATTACATCGCGTCGTACTGTCGACGCGATGTAGCGTTAAGTTTCTTTTAATATTATTTGATTATTGAATTTTATAGAGTATTTCATTTACATTTGTAAATTGTAACGCGTTATAGCATACAGATTCGAAGAAAAATAATAATTGTTTACCTTTGTTTATTTAATTGTTTATACCTATTAAAATAGACGAGTCCATGTTAACTTTAGAATGTGTGATTTTAATTTAAATTTATATTTTAGGTTAAAATACATATATGATTTAGGTCTCCAATAATTAAGTTATTAACATATTAATTTTACTTAAATAATAAAGCAGCAAATATTTATAGAGCCTTTTAGAGGTTTGATTTTTTTTATATAAGTAAATCTAAATACATAAATATATCATACTAATTATAACCTCCTGAACCCCCTAATTAAATTACCTATTGATATTTTTTTTGACAAAAGTAGTAGGTAATGAGCAAAATATGAAAAATGGTTGTTTGTTTGAAGTATGTTTAACAAAAGGGGCGTTAGTACACATTATACAAGTGAAATAAAAAGTATATAGATTGATTATTTGAAAAACTTACGTTAGGTAAAATACTTTAGATATCAAAAAATGGCTTTCGCTGATAATAGCTAGATATTCAAGGAACAAATTCGATAATTTTTCGATTGGAGCAGGATTTATGGTGTTTTTTAACATGAAATTTAGTCATCTAAAACTGGTATTTCTTCCACTGTGCAGCGTACGTGCGTTCAAAATCAACCGCTTCGTCCATCGGCCACTGTAAGTTTCTTCCTCTCACTCCTGCTGCCATCAGCCCCATATATATTATTATACATGACCCGCATTGCATCTTCAACTCCGCTTCTTTGTTGCCGTCGGAATTCGCATCGGCCGCATGTCGCAAGGTGCACCAGCACAACACTTGACACCACCAGATATGCCCCCGTGTAAATACACATCACCATAATATGGTCTTTAAATCCAAGCCCGGCATTGACCTCGAAACCTAAATACCTAGTGAGGTCCTTGAGCTCTAGAATTATGTTAAGGAGCACAAATTGCGGCCGTCTATAGCACCTCTTAGACGTCAGCACTCAACACCACCGCAACTGTCTTGTTAGCTGAGATTGTCAGACTATTGCCGTCCTTCCAACCGCTAACCAGGCTGAGTACAATATTCATTACGATCTCTAGAAGGTCCGTCGTTTTCAGTGTGCCAACGAGCGCTACATCATATCCGTAAACGCTACCACCTCAATGCCCTCCGATCACAGTACCGCAACTAAGTTGTTTGGGCCCTAGGGAGACAGAAGTTTTAGTGCCTCAATTGTTCATACATCATATAACCTCCCTTCTCTAATAAATCGCTTTCAACCCTACCACAAGTACTCAAAATATAAACGTGGTATTTCGTAGGATGATTTCTCAAATTTGTTTATATCAGTATTCAGTAAACAAAACCAAAAAACACAAAGATCACAAAGTGTATCATTAAAATTATATTTAAATACCACTTAATCAGATGGTTTGAATATAAAAACAATATAAAGAAGCACAATATATAAAATAAAACATAACTATTACCAGTATTATTTTAAATAATCAAAGTATAAATCTTCATTTTAAAATGTCATCCTCTTTGCCTTTAAATTTGAAAAACCTGTAAAATTGTATTTAAAAATAACTCTCTGGTACGATATTCAATGTTTAAAACTGCAATATTTATTAATTGGTTCTTTCCCATTGAATAATAATTTTTTATTATTTTCGATTTAAATAATGATCTCTTACTTTTTTATTTTAAATTAAAAAGTGGTCTATTTTACATAGTAGTTATTGGTGAAGTAGACTATACTTGCAATTTTAATTAAAAAATCATTTAAACCCATCAGAATAGTGAATTGAACAAACAATAAACAGTTAAACCACAATTTTTAATAACTTATTCAACAAAATATTCTTAAAATTTATTTACAATATCCTTTTTATTAATAAAAACAAATTTTGGAATAAGATAATATAGAACAAAATAAACAACAAAATATTCTTTAAATTATTAAATTAAACAATAAAAAAAAATTAACAAATTTGATCATAATTTAATAGGAATTGAAAAAAAAACCAACATATTTTAAGTTTTAAACAGTCAACAAAGTTAGAACCTCATTGGTTACCTAATTTGAGAACTAAAATATCAAAAAAATATCTTTCGGAATTTCCTGTCATCGTCAATGAAATATTGGTTTTCCTCGAGTTCGATATATTTGAGTCTTTTTAATAGAATCTTTTACCAATATTATTTTAATTTTATTATACACAATCGTAGTTTTGTTTCTTTTTGGAGACTTTAATCTACCCCATTTAAATTTGATATTGTCAACTCTAACTTTTAGTATTGCATCATCAGAATCGATTTTTCTTCACAATTTGTTTTGCTTAATCCTTTTCAGATAAACTTCTATTTTAAATATCAATAATAACCCTGTTTGATCGTTTTTATCAAACTCCTTCTCTCCTGTTGTTACTTTATATAACGACCCAATTGTTCCAATCGACTCTTATCACCCTCCTTTATATGTTAAATATTGTGTTGACACATTTTTACTTTATTTAATTATTTTATAATTTGAAAAATGGTTATTTCCATTCCATTCTGACTTTTTAGGAGCTATTAACTGGGTAGCTATATTTAATAAAAATAATGAGATTTCTGAGATTCCCATGAATTGTATTGTTTTATTTTTGCTATTGATTATATTTAAAACGGAAAATAGAAATGTTTACAAAATACTTGTATTAGCCTTTTGTAGACGTGAAAAAACTTAAAACATTTTATCTAATTTTGAATTACTTACAATACCTAAAGTATGGTAAGGTAAAAAAAAAAAAAAAACCAAGAGTGTTGATATGTTCTAAATTTTATTATATAGGTACAGTCAAATTTATTTTAGTATTTAATGTATAATATTTTATATACAAATATTTTAACCATGCAATTTATTAGCCGATTCTTCAACTTCAATCTAGATTCTAGATTAATTAAAATTGGACTACTTAACGTTCTACGATTATGTTCTTATACTATTGGACCTTTGCTTTCCATGTAAAATTTTCAGATGATAAGAGACAGGTGATAATATATTTTAATTACAAAAAACAAACCGTAGACAATATTGCAAACTAGTTTTTTGAATTGTCTAGATTCTAGAACAAGGTTAGATAACTGTATCTGGAGCTAGAATGTAAAGTTACGTGTTCATAGTTACTTATCTATATTTATTCTTTATTTAGTACCTTGTTTTCATAATTATAATTGAATGCTCACTTTGTTTTATGTGTTACCGGCTGCCGACTTTTGTGTTAATTAATTCTGCAGATGAAAATATATTCTGTGAACGATCAAAAAATCATTTATCACATCATTAAATATTACCTATCACATTTAATAAAGGTAAACATTCCGTGGTTGTACCAATTTTTTTCCATGTTTAATATATTTGAAGAATTATGCACTCTAATATACCTAAACAATGCTCAAATTAAAAATATAACAGAATAGGGACTATGAGACTTAACCCCAGAGGGAGAACCCCCTCTTACAACACTTCAAACATAATTTGATAGTTACTTAGAAATTCATAAAACAAAATACACAAATACTTCTATGATTTATATACCTATTTTTTTTATAGGTATTTATTTATTTTGTGTATGTTTTAAGACTATTAATATTATGTATAAGTATTTAATTTAAACTAATTTTATTTTTAGAAAAAAAATTTTATTTTTGTGAAAAAAATACAGTGTTTAGATTTTTGTTAAATTGCTTACTTTTTTACCACACATTAAAAAATGCATATAATATAATAATGATCATATTTTTTAACAACTATAATATTTATAATATTTTTAAAATATATATATAGAGTTGGTAATATATGTTTTTTGAAAATGTCATTACTTGCAAAAAGAGTTGTCTCCAAAGAAAAGAAAAGAAGTAGAGTAATTCCCCTCCCCTTCCTCTAATTCAAACATAGTAACTAAATTTTTTTAGGTAGCTACCTGTATGAACCCTTTTTATGTGCATATAATCTGCTGTTGTCTTTTATTATTATATGTTTTACATTTTAAAGCACTACTTCTCTAACTAATCCTTAAAAATATTTTATCATTTTACTTTTTGAGTAATATTTACCTAATAAATACTAGTGTGGTTATTATATTATTATTGTTTATTATTACACAGATTACAATATAATTAAAATATTAAAATTGGTATATCTATTCTAATTTATCATATTAGTAATTTTTTTTAATTGTTTGAATGTGATTGATTATTTGAACTAATTAGTAATGAATTTTATAACTTACATCATACTTTTTAAACAATATAAAAGTCATGGTTACCTATTTTATTATTGATACCTAACTAACCTATTATTAAAATTTGATAATTTTTTTTAATTCTTTGAAGTACAAATTCCTTTTACCAGACAATAATTTTGGTTAATTATAAATTTTGTGATTTTCACTTAAAATAAGCTGTTATTAATTAATTAAATTTAAATTTTGTTTTAATTTTCTGTTTGAAATTATTTTAATTTTTCATTTTTAATTTTCTGTTTTTACAGAAAAATTTTTTACTTAATTGAAAAATATTTATAGTGTGATGGAAAAAAGAGATTGGCCACTATTCGTATATGGTGGTTTTTCATCGTGTATTGCAGAACTAAGTAACTTATGAGACATATATTTTTTTGTATTAAGTATTTATTATTTTTATCGATGATAAATGGCATGTTACATTACTTTAAATTAAACTGATAGAAATTATAATTAATTTTGTTTTAAGGTACATTTCCTATTGATACAACCAAAACTAGACTACAAATTCAGGGCCAAATATTAGATGGGCAATATAATAAAATTAAATATCGGGGCATGATTGATGCATTTTATCAAATATATAAGGAAGAAGGATTCTTGTCACTTTATTCTGGGTATATTTTTAAATTAAATTTATAAATTCTATTAATGTTGAAAGAAATTAATTGTTATAGAATTAGTCCAGCATTATTACGGCAATGTACATATGGTTCAATAAAATTTGGCACATATTATTCATTAAAAAAAGCTTGTAATGATTATTTGCAAATGACTGAAGATATGATTGTGGTAAATTTTACATGTGCAATATGTTCGGGAATTATATCTGCATCTATTGCTAATCCTACAGATGTACTTAAAGTTCGGCTTCAAGCTTTAGGTCGAGAAAAAGTGGGAACATATGTACAGTATAATGTTTTCAAATGTTTTCGCCATATTTATGTACATGAAGGGCTCGGGGGTTTATGGAAAGTTCGTATTTAACAATACAAACACTGTATAATACTGTTTCTTTTACAATGTGTAAAATTAAATAGAGAATCATTTTAATTTATAGGGTGTTGGACCAACTTCTCAACGAGCTGGAATTATTGCTTCAGTTGAATTGCCAGTATATGATTACTGTAAACATAAATTGATGGTCATTTTTGGGAATCATATTTCTAACCACTTCATGTAAGTTAACATTATGGTTTTAAATATAGTAAAACTATTTTGATGTATACAACCTTATTTTGAAGTTGTTCATAATATTTTAGATCAAGTCTCATCGCTAGCTTCTTTAGTGCCATCGCATCAAATCCTATTGATGTTATCAGGGTAAATACACAATTAATTGAATTATAATGTACAACTTTTATTTTTGTAATTTAAACATTAAATTTACTTTGAATATTCAGTGTTTAACTTAAAAATTATAAATATAATATACTGACATATTGTAATATGTTAACTAAATGAATAAGAAGCTTTATTTTGAAAATTAAAAACAGTATATGTAGCTGACTGTTTATTGTATTTATTTCTGATTTGAAATACAAGTTCTGGATCAGACTTTTATCAATAATAATATTTAAGAATAATAGTTTAAAAATCATAATAATTTTATAATTAAAAGTTATCTAAAGTTAGTATTACATTATACTATTAACAATGAAGAATGAACCAATTTTTCAGAATTCATCTTTATTTAAGATTTATTTATTGAAGTTGGGTTATTTTCTCGGAGAAAAAGAGGAGTGCATAATATTATATTGACATAGTAATGTACATTTATTTTAATATTATTTGATTCTAAATACATTCTAAAATTTCAGACCAGACTCATGAATCAAAATCAAAGTAATTATAATGAGATTGGTAATAACCATATCTATAAAGGGAGTATTGATTGCTTTTTAAAAGTATGTACTCTAATTTATGCTCTGTAAATAAAAATAATATTTCCATTGTTATGTTTTAGACTGTCAAATATGAAGGTGTATTTTCACTTTACAAAGGTTTTGTTCCTACTTTTGTCAGAATGGGGCCATGGAATATAATATTCTTCATAATTTATGAAAAACTAAAGTCAATTTAAGTTTTAAGTCTATTAAATATTTAAAACTAAACAGCACTCAATAAATTCTACTTAATTTGTATTACCTATCTATGTTATACTGAATCATTGTATTGCATATTAAATTGTTGTTTTAAATTTTTAAATTATTATTTAAAATAGTTTATAGTTCTATTTGTTTTATATTTAATTAAGCATATTTATCTAACAGTTAAAAATTGTTGAAAATGTATACAAAGCCATTAATTTATTACTTTATGTTATTAGTTATCAAATTATATTAGCATGTTAATTATAAATATTATATGACTAAAAAATAAATATATGTATATATAAATATTATATGTTTGTCTATTATACATGACCAACATTATATTAAAATAAAATGTGTCATCTTGAATACAACTAGGTCATTATTGTAATACAAAAATATAATTTTGAGTATTTATTGAATGTGCAACCTTCAAATTCATATTTTTATTTAATTTTTCTATATCGTAAACTTATAAATTGTAAATAAGTCTAAATTTCCCAGTCATTTATAGATTTTTTTTTATACAAATCCAGGATTATTTTTTATTTGTGTTGAGCAAAAACTAGTCGCTTGAATAATTAACTGTAGACCACATTCTTTTTTTCCAAACTATTCGGGATTAGATGCAATAGGTGCAATAGATGTCTAATTCTTTATACAATTAAAATAAAAAAATAAAAAAAAAAACAAGTATATTACAATATAATAATATTTCAATTATAATATGTAAGCAATATTAGTTAAAAATAACTTATGTACTAAAAACTTGAATTTTAAGAATTCAATAAGATTAATTTGAAAATAGAGCTTTATCCCTATGATTAAATTTATAACATGAAGGTACATTATGTAAAGTTTCCATATGATATGATCGTAATCATTAAAATGATTATTACATAAAAGGGATTAGTGCCAGTTTTCCAAATTTTCTGTAAAAAATTTTTTTTTCGTATTTTAATGATAGACTTTTCCATCAATCTTCTGCTCCGTATTTATCAATGAGGAGAGAGTGGTTTATTTTCTTTATTAACACATATACAATCTTTTCCAAATAGGTACAATAAGAGTGTTAATCAAAATAATAATATGACATGAATATTTGACAAAAGAAGTTACTCATTGATGGCGCTTTTAAATGATTATTTTTTTAAATTTTTTCTCAAGTTAAGTGAATAGATACTAATATCTATACTAATTTTAGTTTAAGCGCCTTGAAAGATTACCAGGAATGACATTTTTTAAAAGAGCTTTTATTAGGTAATTAGAGTGAGAAGCTAGACAATGAGGAAATCTTTTATACTATGTTATTGCTTTTTTGATAAATATGGGGGGGGGGTCTTGTTAATTTTCTTAATGTAATATTTTGAAAAGTCTGAATTTGATTTTTTGGCATTTCCATTAGCCATTCAATAGTTGGAAAAGAGTATACTCTAAAATAGTTTTTTATTGTCTAAAAGTATAAATCATTGGCCAATTTTTCAGTTATCCTATTTGAAGTTAAAACTTTATTTGACATATAATATAAAAGTATAAAAATAGGAAATAAAATATTAATTTTAGATTCTGAGTAGGTGAAACTTATGATTTTACAAAGATATTTATATTTTTTTTTCCTGTGGACAACTTTTTTACTACCAATTTTGCTCCGATCTTTTAGTGTAGCACCAAAGAAAATCTGTATGGAGTAGTAACTTTTTAATTGTCTCGAGTTTTCCCAAAAAATGTGAAAAACCGGGGGAAATTGGTATAATATTAAACAAATATTATTAAAGAAAATATATAATGCCTATTTAATTATTTTACTATAATATGACATATATGTATCATTGACAGCATCCTTACCAACTGAACTTGGTTCAGAATCGTTTTTTCGTTTTTCATTAGCAATGATTTATAGTTGCGTACAGATATAGGTACATTAAATTCCCTTATATATCCTACCATCTTAACTTCTTACCTACAATAACGGCTGCACTCGTCCCCATTATCCTAGGACAGCTTTTTTTTTTGGTACGAAACCTATTCACATTTTAACTCTGAAAAAACCATTTTCAAGCTAACTTCATGAGACTGAATTCTTTCAAGAATGTTTTTAGACATTTTATTAGATTACTAGGGCAGAATAAAATTACCACAAAACAGGTCTATTTTGATAAAAAAAAATATTATTTAATTTAATTTTGGAATTACATCAATTAATGATTGTTCAAATCATGGCAAATAGCCATGTTCAAATATTCGTAAACAAGCTCTTTCATGAACAATTTGATGTTGTGGTACAAATATAGGTTAGCGAACATTTTTTCCAAAGTCATTTGTTACGATGACCATTTCTTCCACAAGAAAGTATTCATGGAACAAAATTTCTTTGGAGGAAATATTTGTAGAATATAAGTACGGAATAAAGATATAGTTATCTTATAATTCAATGGTTGAAACAAGTATTTTGTGGGACAAATAGTATTCATCCAGATAATATAAATAATATTATTTGTATAATATCCTGTGTCGTTAACAGTATTATCAAAAATCAATTTTGTTTACGACTGATAATACGATGATAATATTTTGTATTAAGTAATATGTAGTTGTGGAAGTTGTGACATTTTGTTTGAAGGTTTAAATGTTCACTTTGTTTCTGTTAATTTTATTTGTATGGTTTAATAGTTGACGTGTATATAAATTTAATTATATTTTATTGTAGTATTTACATTATTAAAATTTAAAATCTAAATTTATTTTAAAAAAATGACTTCCAAGAAAAGTTTTTTTTGTATGAATTCACTGAAACACATTGACGCATTCGCTAAACCATTAGAGGAAGTTCAGATTAAAACTGTATGGGGTGGATTTGGTAAAAATTAATTATTTTAAACATATTTGTTTGGTATTATAATGTTTATAGTTCTCTACTGTAAATCCATCATCATTGTTTTTAGGATTCTTAGAATAATAAATAGTTTTATGATTTGGTGTAAAGTAGCCAGATTATATTTTTAAAAATCCATGAAAGCAAATTCCAAATTTACTTTTATGTAAGCTTTTTTTTTGGCATTTAGTCCTCTAATTATGATACCAATTTTCTAAAAGATTAATTCAAATTGTTTAAATATTTTAGAAAGGGGTAGGTATTAAAAATTAAATTTAATAATTTTAAATCTTTTATCTATAGTTAATTATAAGTGTGTTATAATTTTTTGTTGGTCAAAAAGTATTTAAAATCTATACGAAAAATATACTGCAATTAATTTTTTTAGTATATATTTATTATTATTCTGAAGTAATTAATTAATTTACCTATGTTTTTAGTTTCTTTGGTTTGTTTTTTAACCATTGGATTCTTAATGGTGTCAAATGTAGTCGAATATCTTGATAACACTCCAACCGAAGAGCTTTTTGTTGATACATCTCGAAATAAAAAATTACAAATCAATTTTGATATAATTGTTCCTAAGATATCTTGTGATTGTATGTACTTATTTTTATTCACTTTTATTGAAATATTCTTTAAACTAAAGTTTAGTTATTTGTAGATTTAGCTTTAGATGCAGTAGATAGCTCAGGAGAAACACACCTTCAAGTTGAACATGATATTTTTAAAAGAAGATTGAATTTAACAGGACATCCTATCAGTGATCCTGAGAAGTCTAATGGTAATAAGAATTTGTTTTATGTATTTTGTATATCATTATCAGTTTGTTGTATATTTATGAAATCGAACAGACTCAAATTTCAGTATGAATAATGTAAATATTTGCTACATTAGAATTTGCTTATAATGGGATTTAAAGATTCAGATTATTATATTGGGATTATAAAAAATTAATTTATTAAAAAAATGTTTTATATTAAGCATAAATAATTCATTTGTAGTATTAAATGCATAAGAGCATATTGCATTTTATATTAACCTAATAATGTTTTATATTTTTTTGAAAAATAATTTGTTATAGTACTTTGTTTATAATTGAAAAAATATGTTTTTTTTTTTTTTTTTAAAAAAACAATTTGCATCCATTGCAAAACATTGCAATCAAATAATGTGACACATTATCTGTTACAGATAAGTAGACTATGATAAAATCCAATTTGTTGGTTATAAATACATGTATATCTATAATAATATTGTTATAGACAAATGTAAAAACCAATTTCCATTTAAAAATAACATTCTTATATCTTGCTTATCTTTGTAACCAACATCATTATAAATTATCAAATTTCTGAACATGAGATATAAAATCAATCATATACATTGCTAGGAATCCTTTTACATAGAATATCATTGTGTATAATATTGTAGTAAGTGAAGTTGACAGTAATTTTAAACTTCTTAAGAATAGGTTCATATATACCTAAGGGTGGATTCAGGAAATATTCAAGGGGGAGGAATAGAATACCCCTTAAATGATAATCACTTTATTTATAAGTTATTGTTTAATATTAACTGTCCTGCACAGCTTTGCATGTAACTGTATTAAATTCAAAAATATGTAAAAATAAAAATGTGTCCCTGTTTTTCCAAATCTTTTAGTGATGTTCAATCTAATTATAAAAAAATACAATAATGAACTAATGAACTTTAGTAGTTTAAATGAGAAGTGATAACAAATATAAACTCATTTGTCCAAACAAACTTTTGCATTAGCAGGGTGATAATTATTTATTTTTGTATTGTTTAATGCTGAGTGCTGAGAATAATTAGCCTACATTCTGCTTCCTCCCTATACTAAAAAAAAGTATTCCAATATTAAAACTGCCTGTCTATATCACAAAATATGAATTTTTTTTTTTGAAATTATGCATACCTATTTATTTGTTTTATATATTTTTAGGGGTCAGCAATACAAAAAAATTAACAGTAAGTTATTAACTATAAATGTAAGTTTTTTGTTATCTATTGAATTTGAAAATGTTGTAATTAGCATATCTATATTAGCTTTACAAGGTGATTTTTTTTATCATGAACCATCAATTACCTCGTGAGTTTTTTAAGTGAATTTGTTTTCTGTTTTTTCTAATCATTATGAAATCATTTAAGCTTTATTTTAAAACCATTTTAAATTTTTTATCCCTATTCCGTATACTTTAAATAAGTGCATCTTTTTTTGATTTTCAAATAGGAACCCCCTCCTTTTGAATACAAATTTAATTAGAGAATATTTTTCTAGAAATTTTGATATGCATAACATTAATATTAGATTTACTGTTTATTTATTACCCTTATCTACTCCTCCCATCTAAATTTTATACTGTTGATCTGATATTAGTGTAATACATATCAAAATTTCTAGAAAAATATTATCTTAATTCAAATCTGCGTTCAAAAAGGAAAAGTGTTCCTATATAAAAATCAAAAGTATGCACTTATTTAAGGTATATAGAGTAGGGGTAAAAAATTAAAAATTGTTTTAAAATAAAGCTTAAACAATTACATAATGATTGGAATATACAGAAATCAAATTTACTTAAAATCCTCTGATAATTGCTGGTTCATGATAAAAAAAATCACTGTATATAATACATGTATGTGTAATATAAATATTTTAGTTTGAACCCCAACTAAATTCTGATGAGTCAGAATCAAATAAAACTTCTTGTGGTAGTTGTTATGGTGCAGAAAGTTCTTCATTTAAGTAAGTAAAACAATTTTTGTAATGATTACAACATTTAAAACTGTTATTAATAACTGAAATATGTGCATAAAATTAAATGTGAAATTTGTTAAACTATATTCACTATTTATAGGTGTTGCAATACATGTGATGATGTTAAAAGAGCTTATAAAATGAAGAATTGGGATTTTCATCCTTCTAATATTGAACAATGTAAAAACCAAACATTTAATAATGATATGCCAGACAATGCATTCAAAGAAGGATGTCAGATTTATGGTTCACTCCAAGTAAATAGGGTCAGTAATGAAAATATGTTTAAATACTGTTGAAGTACAAGGAGCAAGTAAAAATTATTAAGAAGAACCTATTTTTTTTTTTTTTTTGAAGAGACTTTTCAGCAATAATAACAAAATCATTATAATCTATTTAAAACTTATTTTTAGGTTAGTGGAAGTTTTCATGTAGCTCCAGGAACAAGTTTTTCTTTGAATCATATGCACGGTAATTTTAAGTTTAATTATTTACTAATTGAAGAATTAAGTGTATAAGTATACACGTATAATATATAAATAAATAAATTATAAAATATTGTGTTATACATCTCATAGTTATAATTTGGAATTGTACTTACTGGAGTATCTCACAACAGTACTATTAATTAATTTATGAATGTTTAAATAAAACTAATGTGAATTTAGATATTATATAGATAGTTAATTTTCTTGAAAAGTCTTCTATGCTATTTCATGTTCAATAGGAATGTCAATTCAATATTTGGTAGGGTAGAACATAATTATGATGGTCTCAATAAGTTTAAAACTAGATTTGTTTTCCTATTGCTTTAAAAGCCATTGAGGTCTTTTGTAGCTTCTATTAAGTTCCTCTATTTATGGTGGTCAAAAGTTGCCATTTTATCTACTATTTTAGATTCTGAGCAGAGAAAGGAATGTATTGGTTTTACAATGTTTTTATTTTTATTTTTTGTGAACATTTCTACCAGCAATTTTACTCAAACATATAATGATAGCAATTTTTAAATAGTTATTTTATATTATAGCACTTTTTCTGAAAGACTGGGGTGGTACTTTAAATAGGTCATTTTTGATTTTCCTAGTTTTCTCAATAAATGAGAAAAATAGGTATAATATTAAATAGATATTATTAAAGAAAATATATAATACACGTATAATTATTTTACCATAATATTAAATATATATTATTATTGACGCAAAGCAACAAACCGAACCCTGCTCAGAATTATTGCTTACAGATATACATTAAATTTCCCTTCTACCTTCCCACTTCTCACTTACAATGACTCAACCATGTGCAAAGTCTGTCCATATTTTTATATCTTTATTTACTCTATCTTGTCATTATTGCTGAGATTTTCCAGTTGGTTTGTTAATCACTACTTGCTGTACCCATTTTTTCTCCCAGTCTAGACACTTAATTTTCAGAAAACATTTAATATATGCTTTATTATATAGGGATTTCAAGATTGTTTATTCACCTTATTTTATATTTTTGCCTATATCATCCAACTATAATTTAATACTTGTTTACAATTTATATCAAGTAAAATATTCGTTTTTGTTAACATATGAATTATTTAAATATAAATGATCTTGACTTGATCTTACAAATAACCTTCAATGAACTTAATGCTGAAAAATTATTATCATAGATTACTAATAAATCATGTTCATCTTTTCATAATGGAATGTATGTTATATTATGGTCTATCGGGCCTAAGTTTGGATCTAGAGTTCATCAATGTTGACCTGGCAGCTACTTTAAAATGTAGGTCTGGACAAATGCATACTCCTGCTCACCTTTCAAATGACGCTCCTGATATTTAAGCTAAATATTACTGAAACTAAAAATCGCCTTTGTATTTTTGCATAGTTGGTTTACTAAACTTGATTGTAATAAGTGTGTTTTATTTATTTTATAAACCTTAATTTAAGTCATTAATTCTTCATTGTATGAATACTTATGTAAAGTAAACAATTTTTAATATATTAATAAGGATTTTAAATACTTTTATTATTATAGTTCATGATGTACATCCATTTACTTCAGCGTCATTCAATACAACACATACCATACAACATTTATCATTTGGTCAAAAATTAAAACATATTCAAAGTCAAGGCAACAACCCTTTAGATTTAACAGAATCTATTGCTTCAGAAGGTAATACAATAATTTGATATTGAAGCATTTTAAAACAATTTAACTCATATTGGATAATTTCTAGTTCTTGTTTAAATTAAATATTGGAATGCTATCCATATTTAGTAAAGTATTGAACTATTAAATGGGATGAAAAGCAACCATAGGCAAGAATAAGTCAATCATTTAAAATAATTTCATAACAAAAGATAATTTAACTGACATATAATTGCTTTCTATTAGCTAATAATTGTTTGTATATCACATATAATCATTTGGTATAAGAAATTCAATTTTAAACAAAAAATTAACTGAAAAGAAGCTATTTCAGATTTATTAAAACTTCATAAAAATTTAATTATTATATAAATTATTTAGTCATTTAACATCTAAGTGCGGCTCCGATACCCATAAATGTGCCAAATGTTCCACCACTCTGTAGCATAGATTTTGCCATTGTGCCCATGAGTTCTCGGCCTCTTAACCCAGACCTAAATTAAATATTAAATTGGAAATACACATTACATATTTTATAATTAATATTGCATAATTACCTTAAGCCTCCTACACCTCCAAATAGCATTCCAATTGTTAAACCTATTGTAGCACCCAACATGAATGATGTTGATACTCTGTCATAACATGAAGGTTTTTGGTGAATTGCTCCAAAGCTAGGAACTGGCATTTTTTTTTTTTAATTCTAAAATGAGCAGTGCACGAAAAAATCTTTTTATCTTGTCCCCGCAATGTTATCGTCATACTTGCTTTTTTTCTAATTTTATGGTTAATGTGGTTTTACAATGTTATCTCCAGTAATAATTGACTACTGTTATCACGATTTACACTAATTCGTAAATGATAAAGATTAGTAATAATTTAATCTTTTTCTATGATAATGACGGACCAAAAGCATAATTATTACTAAATATTTTAAATTTGTTATATTTAAATTCTAAATACTACTATTATAATTGTAATATTATGCCTTTGTTTTTTTTCCCTTCGGCCTAAAGAAATGGAGAAATTAATTGAAAAGAAACCCTGAATTGTTACATAAAATCACGTCGGGTAGTATTTTATTTGAAGTGGCTATTTATTTATTTCGTTACCAGTCTATTACTATGGCTGAGTTTCCAAAGATAGTTCTTATCCGTTTTCGAAAAAGACGTGCTATTCACTAGAACACTATCATATGTCTTGTATTTTATGGTTGCATCGTGGTAATTATGACAATATAGATAGGTATGCTATCAACTTTGTGATACGCAACATTCGGGCTCTCCCATTTCAAACGTGACGGCATTCATTTTCCATTTTTTAAAATTATTATTTATTATATTATAATTATATTATATTATATTGGTGTTCTGCAATTCTGAACCTTCTAGCATACCAATCTATTTTGTCATGATGATAATGATAGTAATTATCACGATAGTGGAAAATAAGCGCTCAATCTTTTGATTCTTGAATTTTTAATCAATTTAAATTGGGTTTACAATGTTATAGATATTTACAGAAATAATCACTCAACTCGGTCGGATTTTTTTTTTATAATAATAATAAAAATAATCTAATTTTTATCTATGGTTGATACCTACCTACAATTATATTGGTAACGCAACAATATTATAATATTTTACTATTCTTAAATGAAAATGTATGTATCATTGAACTCTATATTATGTTATACTGAAATAATCTCTGAATTGCGATAGTTATTTTATATCACAAATTTACAAGTTATTATAATAGTACATTTTTGAAGGAATTTAATTTAGGTACTTAGTTATTTTATGTAGTTATAGATATGTAATTAGTTTAATCTTTTGTTTGATTTTTTTTCGTATCTGAGTATCTGATGTATCAGAAATCTTACTCTAATAAAAATGACAACAGACTATTTTTTTTTTTGTTGTATTTTGTATCTAGTTGTTGCATTGAGGAGATTATCTTTTGATTTTCCTAGCAGTTTTCATAATACTTACGGCATTTAAAAACGCATATAACCAAACTTTGCTCAGGATCATTTTTTGTTAGTAATTAAATTAAATAAATTTGTTAGCAATTTTGTTAGGATTATCATTGCTAACATATATATATTATATAACTTTATATCTCCTACCTTCAAACTTGTATCTACAACAGTTGCACATCCATCAGTAGTATTGGTTCTTTTTTAAATTCAAATTTTATTATTCTTTAGTTATACAAATATAAAATTTGGTGTGATGATAGCTATAGTTAATATATCAAACAAATGTAAACATTTTAAATTCTAAGCAGAGTAAGGAGTGTATTTTTGTTAAAATGAAACCAAATCCAACCCATTTTAATATTATGAAAAAGAGATAGATAGCTAAACTGTAAATAGATTTATAACATACCTATATCTATTTATTAATTTCAATGATAAGTTTAGAGCAGATTGAAGTCTTTTTCTCTTGGTTCTTTAGTTTATTTTGGGTTTTTGCTACTTTTATTATTTCACTCTATGTACTTATATCTTAATCCCGGTGCTCATTTTTCTGGGTCTGTTAGAGCCTGCCTTTTTTAAAATTATATACCATTAAATACATGTATGACTCATTCTAAATGTTTGCTTCTTATAAATTACTTGATATGGTACACATTTCTCTATTAATTCACATTCGGTAATCCTCATTTAACATGATATAGGATCATAGATGTATTACAGTATTTCTCTTTTGAAAGTTAACAATTTATCTTCATTGTCCTCTATAACCAATCATTTTACATCCCTAGGATAGAACTGGCCATAAATCAGTTAAGTAAAGGTTTGTATTAGATTGTACAAATAACTGCTTTGCTTTGAAATTATTGAATTATAAATTACAAATATAAATAAATTATAAAATACATTTTTTTTTTTTTATTTAGCCCATGTACACATACAATATTTATGGTACAGTTTTCTCTCCTTGGCAAAAACTTAAATACTCTACTGATTAAGAAAGCTACATACATAGTATTTCCAATATAATAATAAATTATAGTTGCAAAAATAAGAGTTAGTTACGGGTTGTCCTTTAAGTACTCTTTTATCTGAAATTTATATGCATAATTATAAAATAAATAATATTATTAACAACACAATATATAATCTATATATAAAATTATATTATAGATATGTTGATGGTACTTTCATTTTAGTAAGAGGTTCAAATAGACAATGAGAAAATTTAGTTAACTACTTAAACAAAATAAATAAAATCATTTAATTTACACTAGAAATATAAATTAGTTTCTTAGATCTTATAGTTTCCATAATTAAAAATAAATTTAATTTAGTATTTACAAAAATCTGACAAAAACTGATGGTATAATGGTACTACATCATACTATATATTACATGATTCTAATCACCCTTATTCTCAAAAAATATAATTTTTTAATTCAATATTTTATAGGCTTGAACGTATTCCATTAAATAAATATAATTATCAACACAAGATCAATATTATCTATAATATAGCTCATAGACATAATTTCAATTTAAATACTATTAAAAAAAAAATTCATATAAGTATTAAAGAAAAAATAATACACAACTCGCCAAATAATGTTGTGAACTATTGTAGTATAAAATATTAAAATAATATATCTAACGAATTCTCTAAAATTCTGAACAATAATACAAATAATGTAAACATCGCTTTTTAGTCTAATAATAATTTAATCAAACATACATACAATAAAACTAAAAACTTCACAAAAAATACCCTTTCTTTTGAAAATACTAGTATATAATATATTAAATGTAAATATAATACATTTTATACAGGTAAGACAAATAGAAATTGTAAAATCAGTTATAGAAAACACACATTTCTGAAATAAAATTTAAAACAACCTGCCTTTAATTTAAATTTCACTAAACATATTTTAGAAAATAACTATAGATTAAGAGATATTAAATATCCAAAATAACATTTACATTAGTTCAGTTTTAGAAGAATTACATGTACACAATGAAATAAAGAAAATAAGTTCTAATAATATTTTAAATGTATAAACCAATTTTAAAAACAATATCTTATAGCAATATATTTTAGATAGTAAATAATAACCAAATAATTTTTATTTCTTAACATATCTATGTCTAATAATAGCCCAATTTAAATAATTATTTCTATGTAAAATTACTAATTTGTTTAATTATTTTTCTATGTATTCCTTCATTTAATTTTTTATATTCAGTCACATTTTACATTTTGACTTTGTGATATACCTGATGATGAATTCAGAACCTATACAATACACTTATCATAATACTCCAAGCATTCATTCATTTATTTATTTTTTATTTACACATTTATTATTAATAATTTACTATAAATTAATTAATTAATGGAAATGAACAAGAGTTTGGTTAAACTGATTAATTTTCATTGGAAATAGTAATCACAGAACAAATTACAATTATTTATGGTTTAACAAACCATAAAACACTAATAAAAATAAATCATGTTTCTTTTATCCTTTTTATGTACATGTATATATTAACATACAATAATCTTAAATTTTTAAATGGTTATCCACCAATGCCTTTTTAAAACTCAAATACAAAGTCTTAAAGAAAGTTTAAAAATATTGATTGCTATTTCAAAATAAAATGTTGAAGTGTGGGGAATAAGTCCCAAATTTTAAATATATATTAAAATATACAAGTTGTAATGAGTTCATATAACTTTATTTTGCTAATGATATAAAACTGATTAGATATTTGAAATTAGAAAATTATGATTTTATAAAGAAATTAACTAATATATCCGTTAAAAATCTGGTTTTGTCATATTCCAAATAAATTTAATCACATTGTTTTCTGAAAATATTTGTTTTGAAAAAACCCAATATCTAACATTCTGATAATTAATATAGGATATTGGTTTTTGTGGATACTAACTATTAAATATTTTATAATGAATGAAAACTAAATTAAATTTTCTCAAATTCTCCATAGATGTGTTCTTAGATAGTTCATTAAAAAAGAACTACCTGGCTTAATATAAAAATAATGTTTTTTTTTTTATATAGGTTAATCAATAGATTTTAGGAGGATAATACAATTTTTTTTTCAAATAAATATAAGATTTTGTTTTTATATAGGTGCAACAATGTTCCAGTATTACATTAAAATTGTGCCAACACTATATCAAAAAACAGATGGGACCGCATTTTCTAGTAACCAGTTCTCAGTGACTAAACACAACAAGGTAAATCACAATTTTAGTTTTAAATGAATATTTTGAATTTGAAATCTATAAATGAAATAGTGTATAAGAATTATTTCCTAAAACTCTTATATTTAACATTAAAATTTGTTTTTACAATTAAGTACCTAGAGGGTTTTCTAAATTTCATGTTAGAGTCAAACTTGTACACTTTTAAGTTTGGATTAAGGGAGAGTAGTGGAAGCATTATTTAAACTCTATATGCCACATGACACTCCACTACTCGCCCCTTACCCAAACTTAAAAATGGAATAAATAGTCAAATGGTTGATGGAAATAAAAAAATTAAACTTCAAAATGTATATAAACTAAAACTTCATCTATTTTATAGATAGGTTTCATCCCGAAAAATAACAACAATTTAACAATATAATGTTTACAAAAAAGTATTTTATGTAAAATGTCATTACTACTTGAAATTAAAAAGACCCTGCATACTTTTACATACAAAAAAATATTATACAATGTATTTAATAATAATTTTTCTATTGAGGACGTTTTGCTGGCATCTACTGTTTCAGTCCAACTACTGGGTAACATACATAAAAAATGTTTACGCACAATAAATAAAACTAACCTAATTTTGATTTTAGAATAAAAGTACCTATTATGAAATTTATAGAGAACAATATTTTTGAGAAAATTTTATCAATGATTTTTGAATTATGAACTATTAAAAAAGTCAGTTATTTAAAAAAAAAAAAAAACCAATAAATAAAAACATTTGTTTTGAGCTGTATATGTTTAATAATACAAAAACCCTGTGCCATATCCTCATGTTATGTACTTGGACTTAGACAGTAGATGGATACAGGGATAATGTCCTCTTAACTGCATTTATGCATTAATTATTTAATAGTAAAAAAAAATTGTTTTTTATCAACTAACACTTTTTTTTTAAATTGCTTTAAAGCAATAAACACAAGAGATTGTTAGGTCTAGCTCAGAGTGTTATGCAACTAGCCAGTACAGTTTGTGTAATTTTTATTTGATTTGCAACTTTTTTTCTTTACTTGATATTTCTAGTTGAATCAAGCTGCATTTCTGCATATTTTGCTAATTCATTTTATCATCTGTTGATTTAGGGTGATTGAGATGCATATGGTTTTATGTAGGGTGTAGTTAATGTGCACCAACTTGTCTTCATTATTTTTTATTTTCCATAGGTTTGTCCAATAATATATAATGTTGATTGTCACTTGTAGGATCTCAGTCCTAGTTTGTTAATCTGTACTTGTTGATATTATTACTGTGAACTAACTTATTTCTAAATTTATTTTTTGAATAGGTTATCGCATTTGATAGAGGTACCTCTGGAATGCCAGGAATATTTTTTAGCTACGAGTTCTCACCCATTATGGTGAAATTTACAGAAAAGCCAAAGTAAGTGAATTGTTTTTTTTTTTTTTAACACAATAATCATTTTTATAATTTGTAACATTAACTTTCATATTTGGAAGATAAGTAATCTAGTTAAATTTAATATATTATTATATCTATTTTTTAAAAAATATTAATTATTTTTAAATAATAAAATAAAAACTTAGGCAAGATTTTCTGTAGAAATGAGCTAGTACTGCTCTAAAATCAATATCCAATATTTGAGATAAAGCACTGAGAGATAATAGAGTGTAAATGAGTTAATGTTGAAATAATAAAATATATTGTGGTTTAAGACCTTTTTTTTTTTTATCTAGAATTAAATTTAATTAATTACACTAGCACATAAATTAATTGAAAAATGGTTATTGTAAAAAAATGTATTTGCAATTTTAAAATATGTTTGCTCTTCTAATAATTTTAAATATTTTGTATTTTTAGATTATTAGGACATTTGATCACCCAATTTTTATGCAACATAAGTGGTGTTTTTATTTGCTTTTGGATTGTTGATATAGTTATGTACAAAATCACAAAGATGTATAATTTACGCAAGGAGCATTTACCAGATGCTAAAAAATAAACAGAAATAATAATAATATTGTATTAATGTTTATTTATAAAATGTTCATAATACAATTTTTACATTTGCTTAAAAACAACCAAGTTAATTAATTTTTTTTTTTATAAAAATTTTTACTTTTTGGACCAGTATAAAATTTTGGTTTTCGTAAATTTGTAGGACCTTTCCTAACAATACTCAGTTTCTCATTCCTGTGTTTTTCGATGGCCATGGAGGTTTTTTGATAATTTTTATCCTACAATAATAATAAAATGTATATATACAAATTTTGATGTCTTTGAAATATTATAATTTTGTGTACAATATTATAAAACACAAAGTAAAAATATAATAAATATCTTGTACTTATCGATTTGTTGATTTTATTGTAATAATATAAAATATGTATTTCAAAATGTATATAAATATTATAGCAATTACCTTATTAGTTGAAAATGTCAATTGTCTATTACCACTAGATAATATTTTGACAGAATTAAAGTTTTCTGAAATAATTCTTTCACCAAGTGTGGCACTAAAATTAAAATATAAGATTAAATCATATAGATTAAATATTAATATTGTATATACCTAGAGTTGTTTGTAGAATTCAGTTGATTATTATTTGATCCAACAAATTCTTCTCCTTCTTTAATTTCATAAAATTTTGGCTGTATTTTATTTAAATCACTATCTATATTATCTTTAACGTTGAAAATGTTTTCAGATTTCATAACCTCATCACGTTCAGCTTCTATTCTTCGATATTTGGCTGCTCTATATTCAGATTTTAATTCTTTTGTCCAACTTTGATCATTATCATCTGAACTATATCCATCATTATTTTCTTCAGAACTAGAGCTAGAACTACCTTCAATTTCATCCTATCAAATTTTAAGTTAATGTTTTAATTTAATAGTAAACATTTAAAATAATGTAACAAAACATTTTTACTTCAACTTGATGAAATTGTTTTTGAATAACTCCTTCTATTTCTTTTTGTTTGGATTTATCTAATCGTTTTAAAATCGGATTTAATAATCTGAAACATCAATGCATTACATAAATATAATATTCACTTTTACCATGGGTAAAATAATAGAGTTTAGTGTAGAGAAAATACTGAGACAATTAAACCATTAAATTTAATTAAATAAAAAGTGGGAAATTTGATATTTAATTAAAATTTTTTAAAAAATTAGTGTAAATGAACATTAAATATTCTGTATTATGTGTTTTAATTAATATTAATAAATGATAAAAAAAAAAACTTGTGTTATTACTTATATTCTTCAGCATTTGGATCAACTTGGAAATCTGGATTTTCAAATAATGCTTTAAACCGATCATCTTTCAATAAACTGGTGGTAATTTTATTTTTTTTCCCTTCTCTTTCATCATTTATCAGTTTTAAAGCAAATTCTTTATTTATAGAAGGTAATTTCTAAAAAACAAATTTTTAAATATCATTAAACCACTGATAAATTAATATATCTTTTTTTTTTTTTTTACCTTAACTTGGACTCTATTAATTCTATTGGATTCAATTTTTTCTCGTACTTTTTGCTTACGATATTGTTCAAAAGCAAATGGTTCAATTACAGATTTTGATTTTCTATACAATCTGATATCCACAAAATATCCATGCATATAGGCTTTTAATAGATTTGTTCCTGAAAATTATTTTGAAGATATGATAAATTTCTTATGTGTAATAAAGGTAAGTAAAAGATAATATATTAATAATATTTTACCTATTAAATGTGATAAACCAAGTTCTTCTAATTCACTACGAGTAACAAATTTATAATCATCATAAACAGTTTCTTGATTTATTTCTGCTAGCTCTTCTACTAATGTATCCAGGAATCCACACCATTTTGGAGCAGGACCCAGACTCTAAAAATATAAATAAATACAATTTTTATTTATATAAAATTAAAAAGTAAGTAAATTGTCTAACTGGTATGTAGTAGGTTTGAATTTTTGTACTTTCATTAGCAATAAATAATATTCCTGTTTGTGGAATTATGCATAAATTGTTGAATTGAGTATCATTTCCAGATTCTAAAGCAACAAATAATTTTCCCTGTAAAATCAATATGTTTACATTAATTATAAGACTTTAAGGACACAAGTTAAGATTAGTTATAACTACATACAGAATTTTGATTCCATATTTTAACTGAAGACGAATCCATGGATAACACATTGTCATCTTGGAATGCTAAACTTTTAATAGGTAATCCAAATAAATGATCTTTAACTCTAAAAGGTTTATTTGAACGAATATCATATAAAAGTATTTGGCCATTAGCTGTGCCAACACCAAAAGTTAATGCATTTTCAAATTCCAATGCCGTAATAGAAGGAAATGCATCAGAACTAAAATGAAAAAGAACAGTTATAAAATTGAACAATTTTAAATTTTCTTTTTATATTGACCTAATATTAGTACTGTTGGTAATTGAATTTAAAGCACAATCCAAAATACCAACACTAACATGAACTCTTGGGTCCCATGCTTCTATTCGGCCTTCTTTAGTTCCCGTTAAAAGTAAATTATGAGAAGGGTTTAATGCCAGTTTATTAATTTCACTACCAACACTTGAAGCAAATGGATTTAAAAATTGTCCTCTGTCCAAATTCAATCTAAAGATATCAGAACTAAACAAAAAAAAAAAAATGTATATATTATGTAACCACAAAAAGTAAAAACATTTAATTTATATTTTTTACCTTTTTCCTGCAATAAATAAGTCACAAGTAGGAGGATGATATTTCATATCATGGCCAAATTTTGGTACGCGTAATCTATAATATCGGCCTTCTTGAGAATGAAATTCAACATATCGATCACATTGTAATATAACAAACTAGACATACAACAAATATCAATTTAAAAATTTCGGTAAATACTAAATATATACTATTATATATGTGAGAAATGTAATTTGTATACCTTGCTATAATCGGTTGATAGTAGTTCAAAAGTTACAGCTTCAGAATCAAAGCATCTTTCAAATTTCATAGCCAAATTATTAACATCAAAACATTTAATTCTGGGTTTATAAATACCAGTTGCTAAGATGTATTGTCCGTCTTCTGTTATTTTAACAGTGTTACTTAGGCCAGGCATATCAAAGTCTTGTATTAGTTCAATTCTCTTTTTTAATTCTAAAAGGTTGTTTTATAATTTTATACATATTAATGAAAAATGAAACTCATAACTAGGGCCTGGAACTTGATGCATATACTTTTTAATGTTTATATTCTAGACTCGTCTTTATGGAAATTTGACACTAATGTCACACAGAATTCAATGATACAAATTTAATTTTGCATTTTTTACTTTTTGTAGATATGTTAGCATTTTTTTTTTGTTTAAAGTCTGAGTTATACTTGTGAAATCCAAAAATAAATTTTTTACTGTTTTAGTAATAATGGTGGATATAAAACAATTGCAATTATTTACAAAATATTGGAAGGGCAAGTGCCCTGACCATTCATATCTTATATTACGTAGTTTTTCAAAATTGTATAGGTTATTAAGTTCCGAACCCTACTCATAATATATTATTTTTTAAACAAAATTTTTATGCGAAAGAATAAGGGGCTTGAAGACACTTTTAAAATCACATTTTTAAGTGAAAACTTCAGACAAATATGAAATACTTATCCATTAATTTCTAAAAAAAGCATTTGTTTCTAATAAAAAAAACTCAATAAACCAAAGAGAAAAAAAAATATAATTATGAACATAAAACCAACTAGATTTCAATAAAAAAATACCACATAGACATCCCACATTTAATATGTGTTGATATGTATTATATAGTATTGGTATGAAATATAATATATTCCTTCAAATATTTATAAATTATCAACATTTTTCATTTGTAGTAAAAATGTAAATTAAGTAACTTACCAGGATTTTTTTTCAATAATGTTCTTCTTTTTCTTTCTGAAAGCCACTATAACCAAAATAATTAGTAATTATAAAATTAAGTTTAAAAAAAAACCTAATTTATTTTTTTAAAGATTTTAGAAATTGCATTTTGATAGTGAATGTTCTGATGAATGAGAACATTAGCTACTTGTAATTAAAATATAATTTTTAAAAACTGTGAATTGCTTTCAAACATTGAGTTTCGAATAAATTAATATTATTTAAACACTAAAATTTATTAAACAAATATGGTCACATTATGTTTGCAAAATATATTTAGGTTCCCATTAAAATTTCAAAAGTTGACCTCCTACCATAAGATTTTAATAAAATATACAATCATTTAAGATGTTTATAAATCAAATAATTTTCAAAAAGTTATACATTTTTCTCTATTTTCAATATGTATATGATAAAATGACAGTAAAATAAATTTTAAATTATACAGTAAATATCATATTATTTACATAAAAGTGGCAAAACACTTTAGAGTCCAAAAATTGATATTTTGGACATAATGCATTTAGCATAAACTTTATAGGTATTATATTTGTTTGTACAAAAGTGTTGAAATATCAACTATGGAATTTTTATTTATGAGTCATTCAAATCATAATATGTTTCCAAGTCACCTACTAATAATAAATACATAACTAAAATTAAATAAAATTCTAAAAGATTCAAGAACTAATATAATATTATTGTAATAGCTAATTATTTTGTTAAAAATTAATATCTGAATGAAAAACAACTCACATCTGGCAATGCTTTTCCACAGCTTAGATTATAAATAAATGGACTGTCCATTGTATAGGAAAAATGTCAAAACGTAAACTAGTAAAAAAACAATAAAACAAACTTTATTCATAAAAGAAAATGCATCATGCGTTAGACAAATCAAACAAAATACAAGTAAACACTAATTTATGAGTCTATAAGTTTATCAGTTTATGATGTGTGAATGTGTGATTATCACGATTTAAAAACATACTCTAATGACCACAGTTGTTATCTACAACCATAAACATTATAAGGGTGCGTTCAGAAACATTATCCACGATTTCTGAGGAATTCATAAGAGAAAGATTAAACACCACCTAAACGACCATGTTATCAACCAAGTTATCTCAAGTATGTTAAACTGTTTATAGTTTTATCAGGTTTTAACAGCCACAAGGTAACAGATAAGAATTAATATACAGTTAATATAATCATTAATAATTATATTAAATTTTATATTAAATAGCTAATAACAACGAAATTGTTGCCATGGCAGCGAGCTGCCAAAAATTTCTTTTTAATTGTGGACTGACTGAACTGTTCATTATTTATGATAATTAATGAGGTTACATTAGAGAAAGAATTTTCAATTCGAATTAAATAGTACATAGACAATTGTGTTTTACATTATTCTAATAATGTATTTTAAAGCTTAGGTAATTTAGGTTAAAATTAATAATATTTTTTTATTAGTGTAATTTATTAGCTTTTGTTATTAACTATAGTATAGTTCAAACACTTACAACTACAATTTGAGGAAACCTTTTTAAAAAAATTTAATCAAATCTGACGTTAATAAGCGTGATAAAATAATAGATAAGCCGGGACTCGGATCCACACTAGGACGGACGTTGTCGTCGAACATGTTCGTTGATAATGTTTAGTCAGTACGTGTTTATTATGTGTGCAAATACAATAATCAAATGTTCGCTCAACAGGCGGCATTTGAACGGACATCAAAAAAAAAAAAATGTGGCAATGCCGTCTTAAGTGTGTAGACGTGATCGATAAATTAGTTATAATATATACATACAATTTATTTAGCTTTAAATGAATAAGTATTTTTGAATAAATAATTATTGTTTAAAAATTGTACAAGAATTAACTAATTATTGATCAAGCTTAACAATAGATACTTTGAATTATTATTGTTTTGTTTAAAACTTTAAACTTTAATTTTAAATATTGAATAAAGAATTTTAGATTTAAAAACGTATGTATTTAATTTATAATTATTATTCAATAACAATTATTGTTTTTGTTGTTCTCCCGCCTTATAAATTGGCAACTTTCCAATTGGATTTCCCGCTCGCATTATTTATTTGCATGTTAATACATCTACAAGTATTTCAGTGCAATATTTTAACAACAAAAACGGCGTACGATCGGTAACGATTGTTTCCGATCTATTAACTAAAGGGTCCGGCAACGTTCAGCAGTTAGTCACATATGCGCGAACGGGTATGCTCTTAAGTTGGACAGGGTATATGGGTATATATGGAACCAGTCCTTCGAATCAGCGAATTGAATTCTGGTGGAGTATTCTAAGGAAACATTTTATTCATTTCTGGATGGACGTATTTTGTTAATTTAAAGATGATGGATTAGTTTTACAATGATGTTTATTTTTTTTTTGTGGTCTGTGGACATTTTTTTTCCTTGTAAACATGCTTAAAATTATGTACCTAAAATTATACCTTTTCTGAAAGCTCTTATTAATTAGTTTTGATTTTCGGCGCGGTATTCGAAATAATGGCATTCAAGTGGTAAAAAACGTACATTTTCATTATTTTAAATAAACACGGATGAATGACGTTTTTTTCCATAAATAAACACAAAATAGTGTTTTTTTCTTAGCACTACTACACTTTCGTAACCTATATATTATTTTAACTAATCTCTTGATTCCGAGCATAACGAGGAAGCTATTGGTTTTAGAATGCTGTTTATTTCTTTTTTTTCTTTGTTCTAGTCTGTGGACATGTCTTTTCCTAGTAAACTTGCTTCGAATTTTATGCGTAGCAAATTTTCTGAAAGTTCAAATTGTCTGGATGGTACTCTCAAGTCATTTTTTTTATTTTCAACGTCATTTTTAAATAAAAGCACATAAGTGGGAAAAAACGTAGGAAAACGTACAATTTCACGATTTTATTATTTTATAAAACAGGATATATAGGAAATTAGTCATCTTTAGTTATCTTAAATATATACATGTATACTTATATATATATATATATATATATATATATATGTATATATTTATTTATCGTAGTATGTGGAGGTATATATTATTATATTAATTTTAAAATTATAGGTAGTATTGTATTGAATATGGACACATATAAAACTATAATAGAATTAAGGATATTATGTACATAAATAGATTGTATTTACTACCTAATTAGTATTGGTTTTATACTATTATATAAGAATATTCAATGAGATATTAATTTTCAAAAATTGCTTCAATTAATATAAAGGACATTGAAGTTTTTGTAAATAAAATATACAACATTGACCGTTGTAATTTTTCATTTTACACCCTCCCAGGAATTACGCCCGGGGCGTAAACACCTTTCGCCTCCCTCCTTGCTATTTGCCTGATCAATTTTTGAGAATAAACTTGTAGGGAAATGAAAGAAGATAAAAAGAAGGCCGTAATATATTTTACCTAATACCTACATTTCTTATATTTTCCTTCATTTTTTTTTCGGTTTTTTAAATTTGATGAAAAAAATCGAAAAATAACTTTCTCTAAAGTACCTCCCCACACTGAATTCCTTTTAGATAAAGTGCTACAATTAGAAATCTGAGTAAGTATTCTGGTAGAAAAGTTGCATACACATAACAAAAAGCAGAAAAAAAATGTATTTAATAAATAAACATCTTTGTAAAACCATAAGTTTCTACGCTCTACTCAGAATCTAAAATTACTTTGAAGATTTATTCCATCGTAAAGTAATAGCGAAGCCAGTGCTACTATAGATAGATCATAGGACAGAACAGGAGGTAAAAGATATATACTTGGAAGAAATAAAAAACGTAATCAACAGCCTGAAGAATTCAAAGACACATATTGGCCATCGTCATTCCACTTTACAAGAAAGTTGATAAAATTAATTGTAATAACTACAGGGGAATATCACTGCTGAATACAGCATATAAAGTGTTCTCAAGGATACTATTAAGAAGGTTACAATAATTTGTTGAAGAATGCATAAGAGATTACCAGTGTAGATTTTAAATAGGAAAATCAAAAATGGATCAGTGGTCGGTGATTGGTGAAACTATGGAAAAAAAAGTTGAATACAAACCAAATGTGTGGTAGGTATTCGTCGACTTTAAAAAGGCTTATGATAGCATCTACCGGAAAAGGTAATATAATATAATGTACGAATTTGGAATTCCAAGTAAGCTTATTTCCCTGACAACAGTATGTATGAATGGTACACAATATCAAGTAAGAGTTGACAATGTACTGTCCAGAGAATTCCAAGTTATGACAGGCAATTGATAGTGCTGTTGAACAACTGACTAATAACATTGTAAAAGCGATGAAAGCGGCAACACCTATAACACCAACAGGTGGTAAACGTGAGATTACCTTCCCAGTGGAAGTTAGGAAACTAGTAAAACAAACAAGAAAGGCACGGAAAAAATGGCACCGAACGAGAGATCCTTCGGATAAAACCGTCTGGAATCACACAAGCAAACTTTACTTAACATAATTAAAAAAGTAAAAATAGAAACGTTCAAATCATACTTAAGTGAACTTTCTGCATCGAATAACACTGGTTGTTCATTATGGAAGGCTACACGACGTATGAAGAGTCTGGTATGTACCACCTATATGAATGGAAGATGGATCATGGGCACGCTGTAAACAATATAAAGCAGATATGTACGTACGTCATTTAGAACGTGTATTTGACTAAACGAAGTGGTTTCCGAACTCGACATAGTTCAGTGTCAACCACTAAATGAAACACGAGATAAGATAAAGCACCTTACTTCAGTTGAAATCACAAAAGAAATTAATATGAATATTAACCCAAAAAAAGGCGCCTGGGTACCACCAGATTAACCAAAAAATCCTGAAAGAGTTATCCAAAAAGCTATGATTCATCTAACACACATATTCAATGCCATCCTACATGGTACTTAAACCAGGAAAACCACTAGAACAATTAACTTCATATAGACTAATTTCGCTTCTTCCAAGCATCTCAAAACTATTCGAAAAACAACTTCTAAAACGCTTAAAACCGTTGATAAAAGAAAGACAGCTTATACCGGAACATCAGTTTGGATTTCGAAATAAACCCTCAACCATTGACCAGGTCCATCGTGTCATCAACGTAATAAGCAAAGCGCTTGAAGAGAAAAAGTATTGCAGCGGAGTATTCCTTGACGTGGCACAAGCTTTCGATAAAGTTTGGCACTAAAGATTACTTATAAAACTATGTGAACAGCTGCCACATACCTGGTGCGCATTTTTCGTATCTTTCCTGGCTGAACGTCAAATCAGGGTAATTGATTGGAAAAATATATCGGCGGGTGTACCACAGGGAAGCGTCATTGGCTCAATCCTGTACTTACTCTACACAGCGGACATTCCAACCAAGAACTATTCAATGACAGCCAAGTTTGCTGATGACACGGCAATGATAACAACAAATGAAGATCAGCAGACTGCGACTGATTGGCTTCAAAGGTCCATCAACAACATTTCCAACTGGACGAAACGTTGGAAGATTAAAATTAACAGTGAAAAATCGGTGCACGTAAATTACACCTTGCGTAAAACCGTCTATAAACCGGTATTATTAGATCAGCAGAGCATTCCACAGTGTGACTCAGAAAAATATCTAGGAATGCATCTGCACTTTCGGCTCAACTGGAAGCACCACGCTAGACAGAAAAAAATGCAAATAAAAAGAAAATGCGACAATTATATTGACTGGTCAGAAAATATTCCGAACTAGACCTCACCTCACAAGCAAACGCCTCTTGTACGTAATGATAATTAAACTAATATGGACTTATGGAATTCAACTGTGGGGTTGTGTCAGTAAGCCCAATATTGAGATTATACAACGTTGCCCGAACATTGCTCTCCGTATCATTGTCGCAGCTTACCGGTATGACAGAAACGACATTATCAACAGAGATATGATGATCACCTTCGCCAGGACGAGATTACCAAGTTTGCCCGCAAATATGAGAAAAGACTGGATAAACACATCAATCCAGCAGCAATCCAACTACTAGACAACTCTCTAGACATTAGGCTTCTCAAATGTCGAAGACCATATGACTTAGTAAAAGACTCTTAGACTAAGATCGGAGCCACTCCACTGGGAGTGAGATTCCACACGTTTATTTTTTTTGTATATACATGCATCACAAATAAATATGTACACCTTTGATAATGTATTGTTAAGGATTTATTTTGATTGTTACAATAAAAGCTTTCAGGCTGTTTAAAAAAAAAATATAAATTATGGTTTCCTAACAATAGTAGGCTAACAACGAATAGACACGCCACAAATTATTATCAACTCGGAAGTCGTACCGTAGGGCGAAGTTTGAAATTAAAAAGTTGTATTCGTTATTTTAATACAATCATATTAAACAGCGAATAATAATCATCGAGAATTTTGTTGAGTAAAATATTGAATGTTTCTAAAAGTTGAATCAATATAAATGTATTCACTGACAGTATAATGTCTTGTTATTTTAAATTCTGTTGTGGTTTTTTTTATATCACTGTTATTTTTACATCGATATTGTTTTATGATACGGACAAATAAATGTACAAAAAGTGTGAAGTTTTTCGAATATATGTATCACACATTATATATTGTATATACATATGTAATGTAAACTACTTTTATAAATAATGATAAAAACGGTCTCCAAATTGTCTCAGACCCTTAATATAAGTTTGCTCACGGCGCTATATGGGCGTAATCTCCGGATCTCCATTATTGCGCAGTCTTACTAGTCTTACTGTTTGAAATGTGGTATTTTTTAAGATCGGAGCCACTCCACTGGGAGTGAGATTCCACACATGTTTATTTTATTTTTTATTTAATTTATTAAAATTTAATTATTTTGTACACCTTTGATTAAAGATTTATTTTGATCGTTACAATAAAAGCTTTTGGGTAGTTTAAAAAAAAAAAAAAATAAAACTAATACAAAATATCAACCTCTTAGGCAGGCTCCAAAGTGAACTTCAATCAAATTATTGGGTTACCAATATGATGAGAATCTATAATTATATGGTTTAGATTTCTTTTGATACAAGAATAAACAATGGATTCAATGAGCTTGACTAAATAGGGTAAAATGAATATAGGTCTGTAGTTGAAAACATCGGAGTGAATACCAGCCCTGAAGATGGGGGTGATAAAACTAGTTTTTCACAAATCGGGAACAATGCCTTCATCCTTAAAACACCTGAACAGAATAGACAGGAGCTGCAATTGCATGTCGAAAATTGTAGAGTAGATGAGCAGAAATACCGTCCGGGCTGTTAAATTTGTTATTTTTCGAAGATACAAGTGCAGAAAGTATATCCTCAATATTAAAGTGACAGTTTGAGAGTAGATTATATAGTTATAAACTATCCAAGTGGGTATTAGAAGGTTAAGAGAGAGGAGTTTTGAAAACGGATAGAAAGTATTTAGAGAATAGATTGGCTGAGTCAACGAGGTTCGAGGCTGATTCATCATGGAGATGCACCGTGGATGGGATTGGGGGGAGGGTTATATTTTAAGTTTTTTGTAAATTTCCAAAAGTGAGAAGGATTAGATGAGAGAGCGCTTTCGGTGTTTTTGATGTAAAGTAAATAATTAAGTTTGCATTGTCGTTTACGTTCGGCACGTAGTTGAGAGAATATCAGATAATCAAAAGAAAGGTTAGACAGTTTGGAGATTACATGAGCACGATTCTTGAATATTATCATATTTTTTGAGTTGAGGGGAGACCCAACGAGGAAATTTAGGTGTTATGTACATTTTTAGTGGGATGAACTTATCAATGGAAATGGGAAGTGCATAATTGAAGACGGATGTGGCGTCGTTAATGGAGTAAGCTGAACAAGTAGACTTCCAGTTAAAAGAGTTTAAGTAGTGATATAAGAAGGTGTGATTACCAGTTTTGAAGTCGTAAAATGAGTGGGATGCTAAAGCAAAAGGTTCTGCATTGTGAGAAAGAGAAATGAGCAGAGGTGGGTGGTTGGTGTCGGGGGACAGGAAAGAAGTTGGAGCTCTAGCGACACTTAGGGTAGGATTAAAAAAAACTAAGTCAAGGGCGTTACCACTGCTATTGAAATAGTAGTTAAGTTGGAGGAAGTTTAAGAAGAAAAAGGAGTCAACAATTGCAGTATACGAAGGAGACAAGTCACCAGAAGCAGTGAAACCAAGAGCATCAGATTAGCATAAAAAGTGAAGTATGTTACAATTACTGAATAAAATTACAGCATTAGGCTTGAGTGTGGGTAGCAGATGGTCAGTGCATGATATGTGAGATTCAACAACAAGCAGAGGGGAGTAAGAGGAAAGATAAGTGGATCCTATTAGTATAGAAGTTGAGTTAAGCGTGGTCGTAATGAATAGGTGTTCTACGTTATTGGTGTTAAGGGCTACAGAGAGGGGGTTGAATTTGGGTTTAATAGCAATGAGCACTTCACCACCTCGGAAGTAGAGGCTGTTATCAATATTCTTGCCCAGTCTAAAACTTTAAAAGCTAAGTAGGCCGAGTTCGGAATTAGCAATGTTGGGGATTAACCATGTTTCCGTAAGAACTAGAATATCATAAGAGATAAACAGGGGAAGGGAACTTCTAAGATTAACCAACTTAGCACTAAAATCACGAATATTTTGGTAGTAGATATTTAAATTAAACATATCAAAAGTGGTAATGCTACATGCCAGAGTTGGGATATAGAAATATTTTTTTTAAGAAATATAAACTCATTAGTAAAGTTATCATAGGAATAAAAACTATTAGAACATTTAATAAAATTATTGAGGTACAATTATATGAGGTATGAAATCTTGAGCATAACGATGATAAGTAGACAGGAAACTGGTGAGATAAGGCAGGGCGACAGTCGATTAGTTTTTTGGCTTGGATCTAACGACAGAGAAAACACTGTTGATGTATGAAATACAAAGGTCCGATTCCCCAGATCGTTGTCGACGTTCTAGCTCAGCGTGAGAATAGCGGAGTAGTTAGCGCTTGAGAGTTGTTTTGTTTCGAACTAAACGCATATTGTCAGGCAATCTTGAGCCACTACTGAACGTAGAGCGGTAACTACGGAGAAAACTGGCGGCTTCGTCTTTAGTAGAAAAAAACATATTCAGGGGCTTCGATTATCGTGATCTGAGACTTCCCAAGCGAAATAGCTTAAAGTAATTAGTAACGGATAAGGAAATGAATTCCAGGACTATCAATACTTCTGATAATTGATCAGAACTCTCAAAGTAGAGTTGTGAAACCTTTATGGATTATTCATTTTAAAGAAAACCCGATTTAGGTAATGGGACAAAAAACAAAAGATATTAAATGTACCTAATTGCACACAATTATTAAGTATTATTTATTTAACATTTTAAAATTACCATTTATCTAAGATTTTTTTTCTAGAATTTAGAATTATTTTTTTATAGACGGCCGTATTAATATGTTATAGCCTACATGAACTGGATTTAATTGTAGAAAATAATAATAATATAAATTTCAAGACTGATACTGGTAAATAAATTATGTGGAACCATTGGTGCACATGCAGAGGTGCCATGGAGTGTTTAGCATCCCTAAATTTAAAATTAACACCCCCCAGATTTTGATCGAAATAAAATAAATATAATACTCAAATAGTACTCAGGTATGAGATAAGTAATTACTATTATACTATTGTGTATTGATTTATATTGTATATAATATATTAATAATTATATAGTGTTTATATTATATTGTTATGTAAGTTTATATTAATTGTTTTTATATTTTTACCCCCTCCCTCATGATACCCTATCGTAAATAATTTTAGCACTCCTAAATTTTAGACTGAATTTGTGCCAATATGTGGAACAATTCTAGTTACTGGTCTAAGCGAATTTTTCAATTTTATTTGTTTTGATCATATGAAAACCTATAATTACCTATTGTTTATTGGCTATTTACTATTGGCGATGGTAAAGTTAGAATTGTGCGGATTGACTTAGTTTCTAAATCATAGTTTTTTGAAGTTCAAATATTACGTGGATATTATACCTATGTGTTATGTTAAACAACTCAAAATTATCAATTTTATAGTATGTGAGTTATAGTCAGTGACAGTATATAACTGTTACCGTACTAGTGATCGCAAGTTCAGACCCGGGTTCCGTAATTTTTTTTTTACAAAAGCACGTTGGGTAGATAACAGGGAAAAAACAAATGAATAAATACTACGACCTTTCAAAATATTTGTAACCGAAGTTCGTTCCAAATCGTTTTTCGTTATCAATGGTTTATCGTTATTTACAGGTATAAACAGTGGCGCTGAATCTTTTTGAAACAACTACAAAACCCTATTTATGAATAATACCTACCCACCCATTCCTGCCGGATTAAGGGGGTCGATCTTGGACCCCACCTATTTTCACTAAATATTTTTTCAATACTCATGTTTAAAATCTTTTTCTAAATATAAATTATTTTACTAGTAAAACATTAAATAATAAAATATTTAAATGTTATTTTCAACACTGTTATTGATTTATTTATTTTGTTTCTAAGTTACTTTATATTTTAATTATTATGACTAATGTTTTAATATTACATATTTTATTTATTAATTTACTATTCTATTTTGTAATTATTATTTTTACTTGTATTACTGACAGGACGATAAATGTTACATGAATAAATTAATAAATTTAAATGTTATATATTTATCAATTTTCGTAATTTTATATCATGAAATATT